GTAACATGACTGAAAGCTCACAAGAGTCCATTTCGTGTAACATAAAACTTTTAAAATTCATGGACATTTGAAGATATAGATAGTTCTGCACCACCTTAAGGCAAAACATTGTAGCTCACTATGGCAATATGCAGACAGGAAAGACTGTCTCACATCTTCAGCTAATTTTAAAGCAGTGGGAGCATGTGATAAACCATTCCGCGACTGCAAATATGTCCCCGCGGCAGAGAATCTAACTGTGCCTTCAATGTCTACTGAAATAACATGCAAATTTAGAGCACAAATACAATGTAATGAACTCAAATGTCAAGGTTTTTTTATGGGTTGTTGAGGCGTTTATGGGCGAGGACATGCAAAACAGATGTGGCCATAAACATGCAGATTTATTGTATTGCAACATCAACAAAGCCTTGCAGTGTCCCACAGATTTCTTTTCAGACTTTGACGAATGCAAGGTTTGAGTTAAAAAAAACTTCACAATGTCAAAGGGCCCATATTACGTTATTTTTTTATCTGTGTTATAATGTTGTTTCCTTGTCAAAAAACAGACCTGGAGTTGTGCTGTGTTTCATTTACAAATGTTTAATACACAAATCCTGAATATTTCTCAAATAGAAAACTATCTTTTCCAGCTTGCCATTCATTAGAATCTTTGAATTTGGTATAGAATCTAGAATTTGGATTATTTCAGCCCTGGTTTATTACTCAAATGTGTGAATGAAACAAAATACAACTCAAAGTATGTTTTTGATGAGGTTTTCTTTTCTTTAATTGTCCAGATTGTTTTAGACTATGCGTGATAAAAGTATGCATATATGTAGTATTTGATATATGTCACTATCTTCAGGTTACAACTGCAAATCATGTCTCCTTAAACATAGTGTGATAGTCATATTTCTCAAAAGATTTCACACCAGATGCCATTTCTCATGTAACTTGTAATGCCACATAAAAGTCCATAACATTGTTGGGTTTGCTTTGGGAGTGGGACATATTGGATAAGACCCATCACGCAATCAGTGTATTTATAAAATGGTTAAAATAAAGCCTTTGCAAACCGCTAACTTCCTTGGCGGTTAATACTAAATGGACGACAAATCCTGACTTTGATGAGAGAAAGTACAGGGAAGTTCTTGGCTCACGGTTTTGAATTTCTGTGTCTGGATGCCATTTTGAAAACGCTTGAAGATGAATGAAGGCAGTTTAAAAGCTATTAGCGGAAGAATGCAGTCTCATTACGCTGATGGAGAGTGGGACAAGTGTTAATTTTCAAATGGGAATCGGAGCGTTGTCAGAGGGACAAAACCTATAGTCATGAATTAAAGGGCCTGTATTACACAAAACAGACTCTTGTGAGCTGTACATCTTGTTAAAATGTTGTTACCTCATCAAAAACATACATGGAGTTGTGTTTTATTTCATCACAAAGTGTAACTGAGTGTCCGAGAGAAGAACTCAGCTTAAATATGCGGGGTTTGTGTGTTAAACATGTGAATGAAACAAAACACAACTCCAGGTGTGTTTCTGATGAGGAAACAGCATTATAACATCGGCCAGAAAATAGCACACTGGGTCACACTCTTAATACACTAGGACGAAGTAGTGTAGTGAATTGTTTAACTGTCCCATCAATCATAATCCTGCTTTTCCGACTGTCATTTAAGACACAAATCATAGCATTTTCACCATAACGTTCGCCGTGGAAGTTCACATTACGTACATGCGATCATCTTCCTTCCTCTGACCTGGCTGACTAACAAGATGATCCAGTTAAATCAATGGTCCTAATTACTCACCGCATCAATTAGCAGAAATAAACTCATTACAGCTCATAGTCTGTTCAATACTACAGGGCTAATTGTTTATCAGTGGGACATTCATTGGCAGGGCATTGAATTATGGGTAATAATTTGATGATATGTTATGCCTGTACAAAATGTCATATTGGCTTGTCATCATGCTTGAATAAACTTTATGACATGTTAAAGCTTTAAAGGTGGACTGTGTAACTTTTCTGGTGAAGATTTTATACTATGGCATTAAACTTATAAATCATACAATTATTCATTAACATTTGTTTTTATGGGCAAAATAGCTTAAAATACATGCATTCTTTGTATTAGTGAAGTTGTCTCTCCACAGATCTGACCTGTAACTTGGCTGGTATGGGACCCCTGTTTCTTTCCACGAAGACACGTACATTTAATGCTGAACTGTTGAACATTCCAGGCTAAGAAATTATATCTCGACAACAACAAGCAAATGGTGGTTTCTCCACTAAAAATGTTACTTCGTGCATCTTTCACTATTCACTTTTCAAGAGACTGGAAAAGCTTTTTAGAAACTCTTAAATGTAATGTATTGTTATGTCTAAAGAAGTGGACTAAGGGAGTGTGACGTCACCCATAGCGTTCATCTCCAGTCAAATGAAGCTCACGAGGCTAGCAGTTTCTATATGAGCGAAGTTTGGGGCGGAGTTCCATATTAGGAATAGGAATTTATTTATTCACTTAATAGTAAAATAAAAAACAACCTAATAATGTTGAGCGGGTTAATATGAATATTGCAAGACCAAAATGACAAGGCTCAGTGCAACATTTACAGAGATAGGCGTTAACAGATTCTCAGTGTAAAGTCAATTAGAAGAAGCGCCTCCATGCCCACTTCTTATTTGGAACATTGTGGCTAGTGGGTTTGCTATGTCCATTTACACAGTCTATGTGTCTAATGTATTGCTGCTCTCACAACGGCCATAAGTACATTTGCTTTAATCAGAAGCACCACCACTTCATTAAATTAAAATGAAAGTGGCTGTGAATACCAGCTTTTCTTTCAACTTGCAAATGTCCATTTCATTGTCATAATGATTGCGTGATTCAAAAAATATATAACTGGAAGAAAACCAGAGAAAACTCGGAAAGTAGCTATTTTAAAAGGTCCTATATTACTTGAAATTTAAACTTAAAATTTACTCTCTTTAAGCCATGTTATAATTTAGTTACTTCCTCAAAAACATACCCAGAATTGTGTTTTGTTTCATTCACACATGTTTTAGTAATCCTTTATTATTCCTCTGTCTGCATTTCCAAAGCTCTAAATGCTCTGTTCCACGTTGTGATGTCATGAAGCAGTAATTTTACCTTTTGTTTGGTAGAGATCACAAGGTGGAGCAACGGGTTCCCTGTTTGAGAGAAGAACTCAGCCTAAATATGTAAGATGTGTATGAAACAAAACACAACTCTGGGTATGTTTTTGATGAGGAAACATTATAACATATTAGATCAGAAAATTGTGTAATATGGGCCCTGTAAGGTATAGTTAAATGGAAAGCTTTATTCTTTGGGAAATTGTATTCTGCTCTAAAGTGGCTGTTGATGTCGAAACACATTATATAACGATCAAATATTAAGTGAGAACATAGCCATTTTAATAGATACACATTGTTGCCTTATATTGCAATGGCTCATGAAATTATTCATCTAATAAGCCAATGCTACCAGCTGTTTATTGACATTAACTTTATGCAGATGATAGACTGTGTACAAGAGCATAGCCACCCACAGTAGCACTTGATAATATCCCCAGGCTCTCCACTTATTATGGAAGAGTGAAGGATGTAGAGGGAGCTGGAGGCAAGCAGAAATTAATTTGGAGAATGGACTCAGATGAGAGATTGAGCTAAGAATACGCAAGGACATTTCATCTTTTAAATTTTATACCATAACTCTTTGGAAATTAAGTTATGCCACATTAAGAGGAGAGTGGAGATGGCCGGATAGGGTTAAAAACAATTAGCGCAAATAGCTACTGTAATGAAAGTGTAGGAAGTAGTTGTAATTTAAGCATTTTTGTCTTGTTCAATTACAGTAAACTGTTAACTTGTTGAACTTGTGGGTGTTAAGGTGACATCATCTTTACTTCCTGTTTCAAAATGGCTAAAAACTCATCAGTCAAACTGCAATCGTCAGCCAGAGCCATTTGTAGCTATAAGCAGAACATGGACAGGCCCCCGCTGAATGAGCTTCATCTAGGTCAGGGGTGTCAAACTCAAATTCACAGTGCGCCAAAATTAAAAACTGGGACTAAGTCGTGAGCCAAACTCTTCTTTCAAGATATGTAATGTTAAGTCTTTTCTTATTAAAATAAATGTTTAATAATAGTTTTGCTTAAACACTGAATCCAGAACAAGCATAATATACAAAAAATAACACATTTTTAAATAAATTATGTCTCTATATCCTGTCTGTAGCCGGCAGACCAGCTCAAATACATACACAAATTTGGCCCCCGTGAGTTTGATTGTTATTTTGTAGATAGCTTGTTTGATAGTTGACAACATAAATATTCCTTGTACATTTTTTTTTTTATATAAGGGTGCACTATGTAACTTTTTGATTGGGGGTGTATTACATTCTTGTTTCTATGGAATAAAACAGCTATGACTTACATTTAATAAATTGCAGGTGGTTTACACCTCAAAAAATGCATAGAAAAACAGACCGACCAGACAGATCTGACTTGTAACTTGATCTGGTTTGGTCTCTAAGATGATTGAAAGACTTAATACCATACTGCGAAACATTCAAAAGCAATAACTTCTCCTTGGAAAAAAATATATATTTGACGGCCCCTCCACCAGAAACGTTTCACAATGCACTTGTAAACATATTTATTTATTTTTATTGCATCTCTGTGTAAAATGTTAAAGTGCATGATTGCCAGCAGCGTTTCTTCATAGTTAAAAAGATAATAGAATGGATAGTGTCACGTTTATCAATAATATGAGTGAACCAATTGGGTTTTGGCCAATACACGGGCCCCCAAAATAAATTAGTATAGGCCCCCCATAAAGCTGGAACTGGTCCTGCATTCACTAACTATTAGTAGCGTGAAAGTGAATATAGCTGGTCATTGCATGTAACTTACTACTTGTACATCTGGAAGCTATTGACACAGTGAGCAGGAGCAGCCACAGGGTCAAGAGGGGTCAGACAGACATATTTGGTAGATGAGATGTTTATTTACATAAGGCATTCACTCGAGCACACACACACTAAACCAATCAGTGCTTTTCCAATTCAGTTTATACAGTACTTTGAAACAATAACATAGTACAAGAGACAGGTAGCATTCTTACATGATTTGTCAGTACATTTCTCAGCTGTCTTCGGGACACAAAGCAAGGTAGAAATGGTGCACAGATCATAAAACGTGTACATTACATTACGTTACATTTGATGACTGAAATAACTGAATGGCCGCAAAAATCTTGTGGTTCAAATTCCATACTAGGACCCTCTTTCAAATTGGTAGATAATATTACTTATTAAACTGCCACTCAATGTTTTATAGTTGACTTGACCTCACATAAAACAGCAAGGGGAAAAAATACATTTCACCACACTTAGTTGTAGCTAAGCTAAAGTGACAAGTATGCACAGACTACTTCAAGAAAATGTTAATATCTCCTCTTTTTTTTTATATTTTGTTCATAAATGATAAGAGGTAGCAACTGGTTTTAAGAAATGTACCATCTCAAATGCTGTACACTATAATACAATTTTGAATCATTGAAATTATCTTGCTAGTTAAGTCTCCTCTATGTGTTTTTTCATATCCCTCAATCAAAAGCTTTTGCAAAAAAAAAAACCAAAAAAAAAAACATTGGAAGCTGTGTGACTTATAACCTTTCTAGCTACTGGTAAGGTAAGCCACAAGCCACACAGAACAAAGGTCAGCAGTGATAAAAGGAATTCAAATTGTTGGGGAGTGGTCACAAAAATACACACCTGGAATTGTTGTACATTAGCCAATTCTTTTAGTTCTTAGTTGGATATTTGTATGTATTTTTGGTATATATGTCGTATGGATATGGATATTTACAGTGGTGGAAGGTAACAAGCTAAAAGTAGTAAAGTACTTTTTGCTTCACTACATTTGAGAGCAGGTATCTGTACTTTCTACTCCACTGCATTTTTTAACTGAACTGAAAAGTAAAAGTATTTTTTATGATTGTGTGAGACCTACTGAAAAGTCTGAGAGTTTATTTTTTAATACATTTATTATTTGAGCAAACAAAAATATATCAATAAAACAGGAAAAAATTGTGATTTCATTGTTCCTTTCATTGTGAAAGGAAAAGAAAAATTGTGATTTCATTGTTGAGCAAAATTCAGCATAAATCTTTATCAACATTGCTACATTTAAAGCCTTATAAGATCAAGTACTTCTTCCACCACTGCTGTGAAGAAACCAGTTTTGATGTGTAAGATCTGACACCAGCAGACTGTAAATACTTCCTTGTATTCTTTCTTGCTGAAAGATTATCCCATTTTCATCTACGTGAAAGGGAATATGAAATTACAGACGCAGCAAATCAGGGCTAGCCTTTGTCATACAACACTATTATTTAATATTTATGTGCATGTAATGTTGAAATGCAAGAGATGAACCAAAACTATCATTGAGGGTGCATTCATACATTCCTTGGTTTAATCCTGGTTTAGTCCTGATAGTCTCGGTTTACTCCTGTTCTCGTCCCAGTTTAGTCCTTGTTTAGTCCCATCTGGTTTAGTCCTTGTTTAGCCCCAAGTTTCATGGGGTGTGAATGAACGCAGCCTGAATATAGAGGCAACAAATACATAATGATTTTTACTCCAGAGTTCTTCCATTGGCCCAGCCCTCTCTGAAAAGTACCAATAAATAAGAATATAATACTTGTATAATGTTAAGGTCATAGAGTTCCCACGGACTGGGTGCCAAAGGTTTCCGTGTACTTCAGTGTGGGCTGGGATAGATCTGGTTGGACTTCTGAGTTCTTCTGGTTCAGAGACAGTTTACATATGGACCCCCTGGAGGTACCCCGAGGAGCCCTGCACACCGAAGCCCAGCAGAAGTGCATGACGCTGGGGGAGAGCAAGATGAACACCCAGGGGTCAATGATGGAGTTAACGGAGATGAAGCGCAGGGCAACCAGGTCATCTTGGTGCGACTCTTTGCGCTTTGCTATTGAGTTCAAGTACACGCGAATCTGGAAGAGACAAAACAGAAGCAGTGTTTGTGTTTAACAGTGGAGTAATCACTCAGTTAACACCACATGAGTCAGGCATCCTAGTTAAGATCCTGGTTGTGAATCTCTAGTCACAGCAATAAATATGACACCTAAATTGTTCATTGTTCTTGCAGGTGCACGTCCAAAAATTGCAAAAATGGATAGAATAAACTGAAATTTGTTCTTAAAGGTCCCACATGACACAATTTTTTATCTATGTTATAATGTAGTTTCCTCATCACAAAGATACCCGGACTTCACACCTGTTTAACACACAAACCTTGCATAATCAGGCTAGGTCCAAATCCTCTCTTCCACCTGGTGATGTCATGTGGTAGTACGGGAAGCACTCCATGGTGTTTTAAACTACAATCACTTGGATGATTTAAACTTTGGAATTACCAGTTTCTACTGAACTAAAGTTAAAAGGAGCTCTTAACTTGAAAACTATTGCTTCATGACATCACAAGGTGGAACAGAACAGTTTGAGCTTTGAAGATGGAGACAGACTAATAATAAAGGGTTATCAAACATGTGTGAATGAAACAAACACAAGCGCAGTATGTTTTTGTGGCAGTAACAACATTAATATAGTGTGTAATGTGTAATAAAGGAGCTTTACATTGAACAAGTAGTTTAAAATAGAGGTGAAGAGTGGGGAGAGACATCATGCCTATAGGACACAGAAGCATGTGCGTTACTAACTAACTACTTAGCCATGTCATTAGAGAAGACCATATACATTTGCATGGGAATAAAACAAGCTCTCTTCACTTAATCCAACATGAGTACTTGTTCACAGGAAGTACGCAGGAGACACGATGGATTCAAGGGTAGAGGATATTTGAATTACCCTGAGTGTCTCTTTGTTTGCTTTTCAAATAAAGGCAAATAGAGCCACTTCCATGCTTGAGTGGAGACGGTTGTGGTTTAAGAAGTGATTCTGAGAAGACAGTGTTTGAGTTTTAATATGCGTCCTTCCAATCAAATCAAATTTCTTATAGAAATCACTATGTTAAGTCAGTTAATCTGTGTTAAATTAGCAGACAAAATATGGCATTTTACCCAATAAAGTGTTGTATTGAATTAGTATTAGTATTAAATGTCCCATATTACACAAAATAGACTCTTTGTGAGCTTTAAACCATGTTATAATGTTGTTAACTCATCAAAAACATACCTGGAGTTGTGTTTTGTTTCATTCACAAGTAATCCTTTATCCTTATTAGTCTGTCTACAACCCCAAAGCTCAAAATGCTCTGCTCTACCTTGTGATGACATGTAGTGGTAGTTTTCAAATTAACAGCTACCTTTTACTTTTAGTTAAGTAAAGAATGGCATTCCCAGGTCTGAAATTATACACATTATTCTAGTGAAGTTGTATGGAGTTTAAAAGCACAGTGAAGTAATTCCTGTATTACCACATGACATCACAAGGTGGAACAGAGTGTTTTCTCTTTGAGAACTCAGTCTAAATATGCAGAGTCTGTGTGTTAAACGTGTGTGAATGAAACAGAACACAAGTCCAGGTCTGTTAGTGATGAGGAAACAACGTTATAGCATAGATCAGAAAACAGCGTTATATGGGCCCTTTAAAGAAATGTCTTGAGAAAATGTCACTAGTCTGAGAACACGCAAATTCAGTACAATCCAGGGAAGTTGTAACTCCTTCATGCAGCGTTAAACTCCTTGTGATCTCCCTAGGGGTCCAATTGAACAATATAAAATGTCTCACAGCGGGTCTTATTTTCCTCCAATGCTTTTTAGGTTCTGTTTTGATGTTTTAAAATAATTTCCTGTTCTCAGGCATTATAAATCCTCAATAGAAATTAACATCTTACTTGAGGGGCCCTAGCAAAAGCCATTAAAAATCACTTAAATTGGGTGGCTCAATCAGGGATAGTTCAACTCAATCATTCAAATGAAGGTTGGCAAATGTAATGTAAGGTAATGTAATGGTAAGTTTCCTATATTTGTCAAAAGGGCACATTTGGGTATTGTAAAGTCTGAGTCAACTTCAGTCTATTTTTTTTTTAAACTCTCCCAGCTCTGACAGGAAGTGTAATAAAAGTGTTAATGTGAACGGTCTGTGCTCAGAGAAGAGAAGAAAACACATTCCACTATTGACTTTTATGTTTACATATGGTGACTGCTTCATAGATCTATATTTGTCTTATAATGTATAGAGCTTTATTTCACACCTGCTTTTAATACAACCTTTATGTGCAGTATATGATTTTCTGTCGTCTACTTTCCCACATTACGTCTGTGATGTCTCTATAGCGGCTAAACAAATGTTAGTAATAATATTACAGAGATGAACGAGGTGTTAGGTAAAGACTTGTTAATACTATATATGGTATGGAAAAAAGTAAAACAGGATGGTACTACTAGATAGATACATAGCCTTCGTTTAGACCCTGGTTTAGCTCTGGTTAGCCCTGGTTTAGTCTTAGTTTGGTCCCTGGTGTAGTCCTGGTTAGTCCTTGTTTTAGTTACTAGTTTAGTCCTGGTTTAGCCCTTGGTTTAGCCCCTAGTTTAGTCCTGGTTTGGTCCCTGGTTTAGTCCTGGTTTAGTCCTGGTTTAATCTCTGGTTTAGCCCTGGTATAGTCCTGGTTTAATCTCTGGTTTAGCCCTGGTTTAGTCCTGGTTTAGCCTTGGTTTAGGCCCTGGTTTAGCCCTGGTTTAGTCCTGGTTTAGTCCCTGGTTTAGTCCTGGTTTACACCCTGGTTTAGTCCTGGTTTAGTCCCTGGTTTAGTCCTGGTTTACACCCTGGTTTATTCCTGGTTTAGCCCTGGTTTAGTCCTGATTTAGTCCTGGTTTAATCCTGGTTTAGTCCTGGTTTAGTCCTGGTTTAGTCCCTGGTTTAGCCCTAGTTTAGTCCTGGTTTAGCCCTGGTTTAGCCCTGGTTTAGCCCTGGTTTAGTCCTGGTTTAGTCCTGGTTTAGCCCTGGTTTAGCCCTGGTTTAGTCCTGGTATGGTCCTAGTTCAGTCCTTGGTTGAGTCCCTCTTTTAGCCCTGGTGTAGTCCTGGTTTAGCCCTGGTGTAGTCATGGTTTAGTGCCTGGTTTAGCCCTGGTTAGCCCGAGTTTAGTCCTCTTGTGGTGCCTTCCTCATGGCTTAAACACATGTATACTACTGTATTATACAGTAGTATACATGTTTAGTCCTCTTGTGGTGCCTTCCTCATGGCTTAAACACATGTATACTACTGTATTATACTACTAGTAAATAGGCCAGCACCCACTACCCAAGTATATAGTTCTGTTACTAGTACTATCACAAACTATGTCTTTACTACTATTACAGTAATATTAGTGCTAATACTAGGAATTTAAATTATTACAACTGAACTCATGCTACTTACGTTTTGGCATGTATATATAGATTGAATAATTAGTATAAGTATATTATCTATTATTAGTGTGTTTGATAGTGCTATTACAGCATGGCTTTGCCCTTTTCAATTTTTAATGACTTCACAGACAACTGAACTTACACTACTTACTTTTTTAGATGTGAATAGACAAATATATAGAGAGAATTTTAGTAATTGGTATAGATATAAGCATATTTTCTATTATTACATCGCTGCCTTTCAAGAGTGTCATACATCATGACTTCGCCCTTTTCAATTTTTTATGAGCTCATGGACGACTGCAGCTTTAGCCGTTCCAGATTGGCACCAAAATGAACAAAACGAAACTTGATATTGCTTTCGTTGTTGCTATGGGCTTTCTAGGGCTTTTCAGACTTGAGGCAGCCATATCATGTTACAGTCTGGACTCTCATGATCGTTTATATAAAGCTTTCAATAAATTATGCATTCACACATTCGTAAAACCCTTTTAGAATAACCATAAATACAATACATACACTGCCAGTCAATTTTTTTATATGCTTTGCTTTTGACATTTGACATACATACAGAAGACATTAAATATATGAAGTAAGATGTATGGAATTATGTAGCAAAGAAAATAAAAATTAAATCACAGTTTCTTAATTTGCACTCAATCACACAATTATAACCAAACCCTCAAATTACCCACACTTTGTTTTGTCAAAAAATATTTAGTCGACTTAGACTTAGTAAAAAAAAATTTAAAAATTTTTCTCTAAATAATTCCATATATCTAACTTCATATATTTTATGTCTTCCGTGTGTATCTAAAAAAAAAAGAAACGAAAGTGGTAAGAAAAACAAAACAAAGCACTAAATGAGAGGATGAGTCCAAAATTATTAGTGGTAGTGTACATAGACATAAACCCCGGTGTGCCAGTATTTCCCCCTTGGCATGCTCACTTCCTATGTGATTTGAATGATGTATACCAAAGGCTTAGCTTCGTCTTCCTGCAGGACTGAAAGGGAATTATATTGGAAGAGAAGAGAGGCCAAATAATGACTCAGCTCAAACGAATGGCACCATGCATTACATTAGGATCACCTGCTGAAAGGTTCAACATTGACTCTTGTGACTCTTCAAGCCATGTTATAATGCTATTACATTCTCAAAAACATACCTGGAGTTGTGTTTTGTTTCATTCACACATATTTGAGTACACATCTCCCAACTCCAAATGCTCTGCTCCACCTGGTGATGTCATGAAGTGGTAGCTTTCAAGTTAACACCTTTTGTTTAGTAGAGATGGGCAATTCCCTGAAATCTGAAATCATCCAAATGATTCTAGTGAAGGTATATAGAGTTTTAAATCACAGTACAGCACTTCCTGTATTGGCACATGACATCACAAGGTGGAACAGAGTTTTTTCGGTTTAAGAGAAGAACTCAGCCTAAATATGGAGGGTTTGTGCGTTAAATCCGTGCGAATGAAACAAAACACAACTCCAGTTTTAGTTTTTTTTTATGAGGAAATAACATTATAACAGTGTAATATGGGCCCTTTAAAATACAGGCTTATATGCCATTACCTGCTTTCTTTTAGAACTTCTATTAAATAATGATTTCCATAGTGGCAAATTTGCTTCCCACGTGTATGGACAATCATTGTTTTATTCTTCCTTCTCCTATGCAATGGGAACACCATGTATGAACTTGGATTTTTTCAAAATATCGAGTGTTCTTGAAAAACACATTCTTACTATGATCGGGCTTGCCTCTGCACAGATATGAACTGCAACTTTGCCTTTTCGCATCAACTGCTTTCCTTCATGGAGATACATAAATTTAATCTCATATTGTGAAACGTTCCTGGCAAAGCTAACAAAGCTCCATGGATACAAACAATACAGGTGCAAAAGTGTCTGCCAGAAAAGTTACGTAGAATACCTTTAAACATCTGTTGTAATATCATGCCTGATTCATAAGTCATTAGACTACAGAAAGCTTAGTGTATGAAATGAACACTTTGTACAGCCACTTGTATTGACATTTCAAACTGGTCTAATTGAACACAAGCCACACAGTGACGCATATCAAATATTTTTTGTCCTCATAAACTGCATTGGGAACGCCACTATTGTAATTCAGCCTAGTACACAGTGGTCCACTTCAGCGTGATATTTTTGGTGTCTGAAGTGCTGTCTGCCTGCTCAAAAACTGTAAAGGACATCATTGAGTTCTCTTTTCAAATGCAAATGAGATTTTCAGAGCTTGTGTTTGGATTAGTCATGCTATTGAACCAATCCACAGCTTCAGATAATGGTCTGAAATAAAGTAATAGAGAGCAGAAGGACCTGTAATGTAATATAAGATTAAACATCCCAATTGGAGATTTTATCTTTAGACAGGATGCTACTGCACACTGCTGTAAGAAGGTCAAGCTATTAATAAGTGATTTGGACTGTAACATAATAAGCATTGGTTAAGTTTTCTTAGGTTATCTTAATGTCCTCAAATCTTCAGTGTTTTATATATAATGCACTTGAACTAATCTGATCAGTCTGTTCCAGATAACACTCATATTTTCTCTCTGCAAACCAATGCTGGGAACCATAACTGTCAGTCTGCGGTAGTATAAAGCTGTCACCCTCAATCAGGCTTGTGGGACTGAACTTTCATTTGCATACCTGAAAAAAGTAAAAAATGTATCTTAAGTTTACTGGCAGCTTATAGTCTAATTTGCATGGTCCTTAATCACAGAAAATGATGAAAATGTTTATTATATCAAATTATAAAATAGTGTCACTCCTGGAGTATTTTTAATGTCTCAGTTAACTCAGTTAAACATACAAACTTCAGGATTGTTTCTATACTGGGTGTTGACTAGGCAACACATTTTGTTTTTGCATAACTGGATAGGGAAGGTGTATGTTTTGCTATGAAAGTAAAATCGTTGCACAACATCAACATGCACATACCCTGAACTAAACCAGGAAACCAGGAACAGGAAAAACTGGGCCCAAAACTAGGACCAAACTGGAAGTGTGAACTTGTATTACAGTTTTATGTATTATTAATTCATGTTGCATAGTTAACAAATTAACTCCCTCATATGAACTGCTTTTTTGTGCTCTTACCACTATGGGTGTGCAAAAATACTGAAATATCATTGATATCCTATATATTAATACTAAATATCGATATCCAATATATTTTTGGCATATTTTAGTAATTTTATGTGACTGCACTTCAGTTATTCATTACAGTATTCACTGTTTTGATGATTAAAATAGATGTATTTCATATTAACTCTGTACAGATAGCAGTTTAACAAAGAAATATTTTTGCTAAAATGTATTCGCTTCTGAAAAAATGGCAATATATCACAGAGTATCATTTGCAATGTATCGCATGTATTGCCATATCGTGATAATATCGTATTGTGAGCCATGTATCATATGTCGAATCGTGAGGGACCTTGTGACTCTTAGCTCTACTTACCACCAGGGGCATGGTGCAGATGATGAAGATGATGGTCATGAACACGAGCAGGATGAGATGCTCCACCTCCTCGGCCATAGACATAGCCCTCCTCTCACTCTTGGACCTCGTGTGCACCATGATTGATCCATTCCTCCTTCTGCGCTGGTACATTCTGAACAGCTGGTACACCACAAACAGATTACACGCCACTATTGCTAGCACTAGCACTAGCACTGTAGCGTACAAGTTAGCATAAACCCGGTCTTCTTTTGAATCTTCTGGGTTCATGTCGATAAAACACCAAGTCCCAGGACAATACTGGACGTACTTCCCAAATCCAATTAATGGTAAAAGACAGAATAGAGCGCTTAACAAAAATAGAGTTGGTATGATGAAATAAGCGCACTTTATGGTTACGTATCTGCTGTACAGATATGGATAGCCAATGGCCAAACACCTCTCCAGCGCCATTGTAAATAATAGAGACATTGTGGCCAGGCTGAAAAACGTCATGGTCAAACCAAAATATGAGCACACCACACCGCTGTCTGGCGCCATGGCAACCAGCGTAGCATTTTGAGCGTATGACACCTGGACAAGAGGGCTGACCAGGCATGTCCCAGTCAAATCCGTGACCACCAGCGCGATGATGAGGATGTGGAAAAGGGCCCGTCTCTGGTTTCCGACCGTTTTGCTCTCCCTGCGTCTCCGGATCTCCAGTATCACCAAGGCGGCGACGTTTCCAAATATGCCCGCTCCGAACATGATGGCGCTGATGAGGGGGCTGTTGCTAGAGTCTATGTGGTGCTTCTTGTGACACGGGTCGTCAAACATGGCGGCAAAGTGGCAAAGTGGCAGAGTTGATTTGAAATGTCCAAGTTTGTTTTATTGAAGTTTAAATGGCTGGATTATATAGTTATCTGCTGCCATCCTGGAAAAAAGCAATATTAGAAAAAAATCAACATTGCACACAAGAAAAATTACTGTTTGGAGAGAAATTATGACAATATATCACTAGAGACATGTTGATTTGTATATTTTTCACTCAACTTAAAAGTAATTACACATGCATTGAAGATGATTTACTTGATCCAATATTAAATAAATAGACTTTTGTTTCCCTTTACATAACACAATAGCCTATCCCGTATGTATCTCCCTTAGAAACGTGGTAAATGGTCAAATTTTTATACAGCACTTTTCCACCTTCAAGGCACACAAAGCGCTTTACATCAAGGAACCACTCACATTCACACACACTTCTATACCAGTGTACTCAGGCACTAGGGGTAAGGTGGTTTAAATGTCTTGCCCAATGGCACAACAATAGCATTAATCTGTGGGAGCTTGAATCGCACCACCAATCTCTAGGTCAGTGGATCTAACCAATGACGTACATATGTCGAGAGCGGGATTTGAAGCTCCAACCTCTGGATCAGTGGACACTCATAATGATATTATAGTTGAGTCAGATGCAAAACAGGCAAATGGTTTTCTTCAAAGTATTTGTTTGCTTTCTAGTAATTTGCTTCTCTGTGCACGATGTGCCAATTTTATTTCCAACCCGTTTAATCATTATTGTCTGCTCCAGTGGCTGCCTGTGTTCACACTTTTGCTTTGGTCTTGGTTTGATCTTTAGTTAAAGGTCCTTTATTCTACTATTTTCTGTCCTGTTATAATGTTGTTTCCATATCACAAACAGACCTGGACTTGTGTTTTGTTTCATTCACACATGTTTAACACATAAACCCTGTATATTTAGGCATATTATCTTCTCTTAAATAAAACACACCAATACCACTTTGACCACACAAGGTGGAACAGAGCATTTTGAGCATTAGAGATGTAGACAGACTAGTATAAAGGTTACTCAAGCATGTGATTGAAACAAAACGCAACTCTGGATATATTTTTGATGATCATTGATGATTATAACATGACTAAAAGCTCACAAGAGACAGTTAAGCATAATACAGGACCTTTAAGGTTATTCTTTTCTAGCCCTGATATACTCCCTCTTTTATGTTTTTGGTGGGTGGGTTAAGTTTTAATGCAGCCTTAGGAACATCTCGGTTTTATGGAGATGTTGTGGGGAATGTTTATTGCTTCATATAAAATGCGTGCACTTCTAGGCGAAACCACTGGCCTGATTTCTCTTCTGCTTTCTCGCACATCAGCTGTTTTTTGTGGCTTTCTTCCAACTTAATGGTGTATTGTCTTGATTTTTTGAGTCAACGCTTTAGACCCATGACGAACTAGCAGCTGTCGTGTAGACATTAACTTACATTTGGCCTTACAGATGTTTTGTTATCATTATGAACGCGCGCTGCAGTGGTTTTCAACTTTCACTTTGCACAAAAATCTTATCGGTCACTCACCTGCAGCTGTATCCATCGTGCCACACCAAACGCCCTTCGCTTCTCAGTATACAACTGGCGTTACCACACTCGTAGAAAAACAGAGAAAACAGCGAGGTATGAGCCTCGAGCGAACCGAATTATGGCCAGATGTGTCCCGGTGACGTGCGTGGCTTGGGGCTCCTCCGCGGAGATCAGGAGCGGTTGATAAAGACAACTTCAAAAGTTCCTGTAAATGAGACAGAAATGCATATCAACGTGGGCGTCATCGCAGTAGGCATCTGTCAAGACACGTGTCGGCCAAGTTACTCAAATGATGAAAAATACGAATGTTTTGTCACTGGTGAATATTTCGAACTTTTTTACTCTAGATACGAAAATATAGTGGGTCTATGTGGCGTTTGGTGTCATGTATCATGATTGACGTTTTGAAAATACCTCGAAGAGTCAATTGTCCCCGAAGTGCAATGAGAACATATTTGATAATGAGGATCTCACCTTCTGTTTGCGTTGCTCCGGTGCGTAAATGATTGGGTTATTTCCATATAAAAGTAAAGTCAACTTTTTCTCGCGCTGTGTTGTTTGCTTTTCAGTTTTTGCTGTGCTCTTTTGAAGGTGAGCTGGGCAGAGGCGCGCCGTTGTGATGAGGGAGGCATGAATGGAGCCCGACTTCACGCAGGGCGGCGGTGATGTCAGCGCCTTTACGCACGCCCACTTTTTGAATATTCAGTCGCGAGGGATTTTAATAAGCATCACTTTTAGGAACCACTACTCATTTAAGAATAACCATATGAGCTGTTAACTGTCCTAAAGGGAACAGGTGCTTTTATCCTAAAATTCTGGAGAATTACGAATTAATATTTAGTTACATTACATTACATTACATTTATTCACTTCATGGCATTTGATAGGGATAGTGATATAGCATTTATTTGCGTCTTAATTGCTTCCAAGGCACATATGGGGATGTGTGTAATTTGGTAACTGATACGGTCAAGTGAGAATTAAAAAAACTTGAACCGTCATTGGTAGTTTCAAATGTACTGTGGCGGCACACACGAACATAAACTGACATTTTAGGTTATTTTGGCCCAATTTTACTATAACATTATTCTTTTTGTCATTTGATACTCTACAGTCATTAGCATTGAAATGTTGACCACACACAATGCTAATTATACATCTTGTTTTACTGCACTTTTCTTGCTCTGCTCAGTTTCACACATTAAAACTTTTTGACTGATGTGAGCTATCAAGTTATTAGGCGGTTACTGTGGCCAGTGTGTATAATAAATTCAAATCATTCTTTTGTTTCTTTCTCAGAATTTAGTAGCTCGCTCTGAAAGCATTAAAAGGGCTATTACAACTATTTCAGAAAACTCCCTGCATTTTGCTCCATTAATGCTCATCTAATTGTAATGTTTGTCTACTTTCTGTACTTCGGGATTATTCTTTGCCCATTCTTTTTCTATTATACAGTGTGGACATTTATGTTTTCCAGAATTAGACTCTAGGGAAGTAATAATATCCAAATCTCTTTGTACAATATTTTCACAATATACATCTCTCTGTACAATATTTACAATATTTTGAGGCTAACAAAACTCTGAATATGCTACTTTTTCCTTTTAAAATGCCTTGAGAACAATTAATCCAGAGAACTAAGATTTAAAAGTGCTTATAACATTTATTTCTTCATGTATTCTATGCTGAAACAGAGGAAATGATCATGGTCTATGTAGTTTCCTCTGTTTTTTATCTGTTGCTGCACCATAACTATTCATTTAAGCAAAGAAACTTGTAATTTGATATATTGTGATGGTCTACAATTTTTTTGTGTGTGAAATCTTTTTTGGTTATTGTTACATTCCTGTCAAACTCTTGTCCCAACAGTTTCAGATAGAAGTATTGGTTTAGACGTGCAAGTGCCTGGGCCAAGTAAGCAGAACTAAGTTATTCATGAAAGTAGTTGTACAAGTAGTAGTAGCAGTGGTGGACTAGTAGTAGCTGTAGCCTGTAGTACTAGTAAAGGATACTAACTGACAAACCCTACTCTTAATACTTTTTCGATTCATTATTACTGACTTGAGTTATGTTTTACAGTGTCGATATTTAGGTCTGTCATGGTAACAAATTCTGAAGTGTGATATATACTGCTGAAGTAAATATAGATGATGATTTTTGCCACTGACACAAAAACCTAAAAGCAGATTTGCACCTCAAAACATATTCTAAATCTACAATACTGGTACAAAAAATTAGCTGCAAAATAAACAGCAGAATTGTATCTGTAATCATGTAGTCATAGAAGTTATTAATTCAACCTTATGTGGCACAAATCGCACCATATATTCAAAAATAATAAAACATTTCCTAATAATGATAAGAAAATGTACACACGGTAAATACTGACCCCACAAAAATATTATTCCAACTTTTATATATTGAACGATAATTCAAAATAGTAATTATCATGGCAGGTATATCAGTACTTTTCACTTCTACTCTCTCAGCTAAGCGCAGTTGTTAATGTGCATGAGGTTACAGTTCACAACCTGTAGTTATTTATAGATTGTTCTCACAGTGGAATCCTGGGCAGGTTTTCCTCTTGCGTCATTACATGTGCTTTTACAAGACAGCTATTTTACTGTATCGTATCGCTTTACTACACTGGCATTAATTACAGCTTAGTAACAGCCCCAGTAACGATTTATGCTAATTATAGTTTGTGTAGTCACTAGTACTCCGACAATAATGGCATCAAGTTAATTGGTGTTGGATCTTAAAATGACTTATCTTAAATCTTATTCATAAGCCAACTCGTGGTGGAAGAAACACTCAATTTGTTACTAAAGTAAAAGTAACAGATACAGGAGAAAAAAAAAAAAATTCAAGTTAAAGTATTGAGGAAATAAAAATATTTAAGTAAGAGTAAAAATAAATCCTCAGCCTTTTCAGCAGATCTCAAACAAGAACGAAAAATACTTTTACTTTTCAGCCCTCTTTAAAAATGTAGCAGAGTAGAAAGTACAGATACCTGCTCTCAGATGTAGTGAAGTGAAGTAAAAGTAAAAAGTGTCCACATTAAAATGTACTTAAGTTAAGATAACTACAGTTTTTATTTAGTTCTTCACTACTTTTACTTCATTAAATTCCACCACTGGTAACATCTCCAGTAACAATTTGTGTTAATTATAGTTTGTGTAGTCACTAAGTCTGAAAATAACAGCAGTGAAGTTAATTGATTCCTGGATTTTAAAATCTCTCTTATCTTAAATCTACACTTAAGCAGGTGCCATTGATCCAAGTGGCACAGAAGCTTTAGACGAATGCTTTATTGAATGTCTAATGTAATTACCCATGAAGGCTCAAACCCACAGCTCATAAAGTCTGCTCATGGCTTTGTTGATGGAGTCGCTGACCATGCTGTTGTATTGTTCACCTCTGGGGCAGTGTATTCTACCATTTTATATGCCAAAGCTATGCACTGTCCCTTATGTCTGTGTGTGTATGTGTATCTATGTGTGTGGTTTGCCTAATGGTCTACATCTGAATCATTGATGAGTTTATTGATTTAGTGAGCAATGATCTGATGTACAAAATGGAAAAGGTGAAATGGCATACAGAAGTTGACATTTCAGCCAATAACACTGCAATAGGCTATACAGCATATACCAGGGCACATATATGCAGAATAGTGGGCTGTCATTATACCACATGAGAACCACAGTGTAGGCTTTATAGTTTTACCAGAATTGGAACTGAATCAGCGATTATGTGATGTGACTAGGTTTACAGTTTTATACTTGTCTTTGTCTCCACCTGCTGGTTTGTATCTGTAAGTACAACATAAATTAAGAGTCACTGAGCTTCATTGCTGATACTTGACAATACATAACATTTCTCCGTGATAAAATTACTAACGATTTTTTTTAAGTTGTGGTTAAGATTTTTTTTGTTTTGTTTTGTTTTTTTCTCCGAGTGCATGTATTTATTAATTAAATTTTTTTTCCTCGTGCATGTATTTTTCGGTTCACGTTTTTTTTTCTATTCCCTTTTCCCTACAGGCCTTGCGCGTAAAACTACACAGTTTTTACATAAATGCAAAACGACTAAAAGATATGAGGACACGACTGTTGCAATGCTTTATGTGAGCACTACGTGGCGCCAAATACCTACTGATTGCGGTAGAGTTTGCTTTTGTGCCACAGTCACAAAACTCTCAGTGATTGAAAAGTCATGGAGCATGTTTATTTGAAATTCAATCAGGTTATCGCTTTTCGTAGTAAACATTTAAGTATCCTCTATATGCACTATTATTGTTAACTTTAAATTCACTTTAATTTGAAAAAAAAATATACATGCATTTGGATTTAAAATACACCGTTTGCCTTTTGTTAAATTTGAGCCAGATGTTACCTCCTCACTCTTCCTCCTATTCCAACCTGCTGTCGATCAACTCACGTCAACCAATCAGAGCGTGCCTGAAGTTGCGCTCGCCCCACCCTCTTAGCGGACTATCAGAGGCCGTGGAGAGGAGCGCGACTTGTCTCAGTCCATCCGTCCCGCTCTCTCAGGTCCGGAGCTCAAACATGGACAGGGGACAAGCGCTGGCCGTGTGGCTGCTCTGCTGCTGCGGCAGTCTGCGTGTGGTCACGGGCATCCACAGAACCGACATGTTCCCCTATGGCTCTCTCAGTGGAGATCTCATTTTAGCTGAAGGCGACGATGAGACGTCCAAAGTGCTGACCCTGCCAAGACCCCTGTACTTCTACGACACGTCCTTCCCTCAACTATATGTAAGTATACTTTTATTACAGTCATGCTTCTGTTGTTTTGAGCACTTAGTTACCTATCTTCATTCAGGTGATACCCAAAACTTTTATAGTTTTTATATATTTTGCTATAGTTGACTATGCTAAGAGTTGATGTCTCAAAATGCAGTGTAATATATAGACCTATCATATTAGATTAGCTTCAGAATGCCTGACTATGTTGTTTTATAAATGACTGCTTACATTTCTCTTGTAACAAATGGCGTTGCTTTTTAGGCCAATCTAAACATATTTCATTCAACAGTTGGGATGATTTCTACAGAGAGGCTATAATAACAAATCTCCATCAGATTCCTATTAAAAGTCAGTCAGTTCAGTGTGTGACTACTTGTTGTAAAATTGTCCAGTGTACAACATTTTGAGAAGATTGCACTATACAAGGGAGCCGTTTGGGGCTTAGGGGAGGTAGTAGTGATTTACAGAGGATTCTACAAGTCTATTAAGTTGTTATTGCTGTTCAAAATGGAAATCCAGTGGTTTTATGAAGGGATAAATTGAGATGACTGAACTTGACTGAAATGTGCCTAGTTTAACTTTAACTCTATCTCTCTCTAGGTGGCTACCAATGGCATCATCTCGGCTCAGGACCTCCCCATGGAAAAGCAATATGTAGACGATGGCTTTCCGACTGATTTTCCTGTTGTAGCTCCTTTCCTTGCTGATATCGATACAAGCAACGGACAAGGGCAGATCTACTATAGAGTAACTGAAACGCCCAGTGTGCTCAACAGAGTGGCCAGGGTAAGAAAGCTCATTTTTTAGCTTGTACGTTCAAATAATGCTTTTTTGTTAATAACTACATTCAATTTCCTTTCATCAATTTTCATTAGTTTAAACCATTTCACCATTCATTTTCCCATTAATTCATTCAAACATTTGCTCATCCAGGAAGTGAACAGAGGTTTCCCAGATGCAAGATTCGCTCCCACGCACGCTGTAGTGGCAACTTGGGAAAATGTGGCCGCGTACGAAGATGATCCCAAGAAACGGCCAACCAACAAGGTAAACACCAACAAATATTTGTCATTTTGTTTTGCTGAAGAGACAGTCAAATTCCTGGAAACTGTGCATCGCTCGTAATCTGGCTAAAGTGGGGGGTCTTGTTTGTAATCCTCGGTCCCCTCCTAATCTGCCTCTTAACCTTTTCCGAGAGGTCATAGGTCATCTGCGGGGGTCATCAAAGTGGCCCCCGTTCCAGTCATTTACACCCCCCTCTCCGGTTCACACACTATACGCAGGTAAAGGCTTCACGCTTGGATTGACTCCCACTTCCTCCCCAGTTAATAAATGTATTTGGGGACATTAGTTTGCATTGTGTGTCTGAAGGAAGATTTAGTGGGACCCCCTGTATAAAGAGAAGCATGTAGGGCGTGCTGATCAAACGGGACTTTGTTGTTGGCAGCGCGCAGCGTGTGGGATGGAGCGATGAAGGGGCTGGTGGTTTAGGCAAAAAACACCAAGGAGATGGCTGTTTACTCAAAGTTCATTTAAGGCTTCCTCCTCTCTTCCTCCATTGACAAAATTGACATTTAGTGCAGAAGTTTAGTGCGCTTTTTGTAACCCTTAGAGAAAAGACAAGAATGGGAATTTATGTCAGATGCCCTTCCAGACAGGACACTTAAGTCTTGCTGTTTGTCCGGGTTTAGAACTGGCATAAAGTTAACGAACCAATGAGGTGGAATGTGTGTGCATGTAATATACAAGTATTTTATGGCCCCTACTGATTAGATTAGCCAAATTTAGCTTCAAGTTTACATTTCTAAATAGTCCCTTAGCATACAGACGCTTTACAAACACAGCTTTATCTGTTCTTCTTATCATTATCACTCTTTCTACCACCCAAATTCCTATCTGCTTTAAATTGACACAGTTTAAAAAGCTCCTGATACAGCCCCCTTTGCATAGTATGGCTTGGGACTGGCACAATGGATAGAGGTGTGATAAGATAAGCTTAGATTTGCCTTGTTTTTTTGCAATTAGCATGGAATCACTGCTTACCTAGTTTATTCTAGTCTGCTCCCTTCGCTTTCCCAAATTCTAAGGGCTGCCTGTTTTGCAATTTTAAAGGTCCTATATAGTTCAGTAGAGATTGGCAATTCCAGGGTGGAAATGATCCAAATGATTCTAGTGAAGGTGCGTGGAATTTAAAAACACACTGGAGCACTTCCAGTATTACCACATGACATCACAAGTGCTTTCAGCTAAAGCTTAAATAAGAAGGATTTGATAAACATGTGTGAATGAACCAAAACACAACTCCGGGTTTGTGATGAGGAAACAACTTTGTAACACAGATCAGAAAACAGCATAATACGGGCCCTTTAAAAACAAGGATTGTCAGATAGTACTACTCTGCCCTGTTTCGGCCTAGGATTTGCCCCATTGCCCCCTCTCTTGATAGCATCTTTCTTTGAAGTCACTAGCCAGAGGGGTAGATTTGGGGCGGGTGGTATGTCTGTGAGAACTGATTAACGTAGGTGTGTGCTTGTCACTAGGGTCTGCACCATTGAAAAGTAAAAAGGGGGAGGGGACCCAAATGCTGCAGTGATAGAGCTTTGGTAACAGGACAGGGGTGAAGATTGGTTCTCACACTTCTTGAGTAGACACATGTTTTTCTTTGAAATTAGCCACTTAAATGGACTGCTATCATAATTGGCATGTAATTACTTCCCTTTTGAGGGCTAACACACAGCCTGTTGTATCTGCTACTATGTTGAGGGTTTGCTAATGACTAAACCCATTTACACAGAGACTTTGGCCTTCTGTGTGTCATCAGTAATGTTTAGCTTAAATTTCTGCTTTTACGTGACCATTTTATTGCTTCGAATCACAGCGTCAATTAAAGCATTAGGAATAATTTTAGGTTATGGAGTTTTCCAATAGCACACAATAAAGGTCTTAAAATACACACAATTGTCTCTTGTAGCTGTAATGTCATGTAACATACAACATGTTGTAACAGCATCAAAAGACATACTTGGAGTTGTGTTTAATTTCATCCACACATATTTGAGTAACTCTTTATTATTAGTTTGTCTACATCTCCAAAGCTCAAAATGCTCTGTTCCACCTTGTGATGTCATGTAATCATAGTTTTCAAGTTAATATCTACATTTTACTATACCCATATCTAGTTCAGTAGAAATTGGCAATTCCCAGGCTGAAATCAACCGAATGATTCTAGTGAAGGTGTAGGAGTTTAAAAACACAGTGGAGCACTTGCTATATTACATCATGACATCACAAAGTGGAACAGTGTTTTCAGTTTGAGAGAAGAACTCAGCCTAAACATGCAGGGCTTGGGTGTCAAATTGAATGAAACAAAAAGCAACTCTAGGTACGTTTGTGATGAGGAAACAACAGCCTAATATTGGCCCTGTAAAATGAATTCAAAATGACAGCTATGCACACTTGAACTTGTAACCGTAGTATCAAAGCCAAGGCCATTTCAATTTGCCAAAACACTCCCCAAAGACAGCTAGCCTCTCCACAATAGCTACATATTTGTCCAGGGCATGTTTGCTTACTTTGGGACCTCTTGCAGTGACATGGAGCGCCCCCTTCAAATACTCATCAGGACTCAAAGCACAGGCTGTTTATATTTGAATCCTTGGTGGACTTTTTGATTTGACTTTAAACAGTCCCTAATAATAAGAGCTCAAATAACCCTTCGTACTTAGATTTGCGGCCGGGCGCTGGACATGGCAACATTTCGTCATCGCTAATTACTGGTAGAGTCATTGGCTTCTGGTTTAGTGGCAGCAGCATGCATCAAACTCGCCAACCATTCATGTCTAAGAAAAGCAGTTATATTTTCCACCACAGAGTTGATTATAAAAGCATTTCAAAGTCTTCAGAATATTTCATCATACGGAGAACATTTCATAGTTGTAGGAAGTACAAGTAGGAATGGCAGAGGGTCAAGTATTGCTCAAATGTGAATTTACTGTAAAATTAAACTCCTCAAATACATACCTGGGGTTGTGTTTTGTATCATTCATACATGTTTGAGTAATCCTTTATTATTAGTCTGTCTACATCTCCAAAGCTCAAAATGCTCTGTTCCACCTTGTGATGTCATGAAGCAGTAATTTAGTAGCTTATTAGAAGTCAAGTTGCCTTTGAGACTGACTATTTTAGAGCTCAAATGATCCAAATGATTCTAGTGAAAGTGTGGAGTTTTAATAACACAGTGGAGCACTTCTTACCACATGACATCACAAGGTGGAGTGTTTTCTGTTTGAGAGAAGAACACAGCCTAATATACTGTATATGCAGGATTTGGTGTTAAACATATGTGAATAAAACAAAACACAATGCCGGAACATTATATATTATAGCACAGAACAGAAAACAGTGTAATAAAAGCCTGATATAATCTTTCACAATAACCCAATTTCTGGACATTAACATTGACAGAAAGAGTGACCAAGAATTTTTGGCATAGTCTTGTCTTATGTGTCCATGTACTAGTATGTATGATGTAGTTGCACATTTTTTGGCAGTTCCCACGGTGTAGACTTCTCAGTTGGTCGCACTCTGGTGAGGCTGGCAACTGCTCCACAGCTGTTCCGTGTCTCCACTCATTTCTGCTGCGCTGTCTGTGGCCCAAAAACTTTGAAAACCCACAAGCAACAAATAAGCTCTTCACAACACTCCTGCTTTTCCTGCTACGAGAGTGGGATCAAGCCCGGATAATTATTACATGATCCGCTACATTTGAAACAGCCAGTTGGTTCACTTAACTCCGGTTTACTTTATGTCTGGGTTAGAAGACTCGCTCGCACTGCTAATATAATCAAAACAGAGGAAGCTATGAATGAGTTGAATTTATCTAAATGCTAAACAATTTTAAACACTGCCGTAATAAATTGTGTTGTTTAGTAACAGATGACTAAGGCCATATTACGGTTTATAAAGTGTACGTGGAGTTGAGACATATGCTTTTTGCTGTGAATTAAAGGTCCTATATTACGCAAAACTGACTCTTGTGAAGTTTAAGCCAGGTTATACATGTTAGCGTAATCCTTTATTATTTGTCTGCAACTCCATAGCTCAAAATACTTTGTTCCACTTTGTGATCCAAAAGATTCTGAAGGTGTATGAAGTTTAAAAACACAGTGGAGCACTTTTTTATTACCACATGACATCACAAGGTGGATTTTCAGTTTAAGAAGAACTAAGAAGCCTAAATATACAGGATTTGTGTGATAAAGATGTAGGAATGAAACAAAATGCCATGGGTATGTTTTTGATGAAGATACATTATAACATAGATCAGAAAATAGCATAATATGGACCCTTTAAATTAGCCATACATGCATGACAGTAGTAATCATTTTTTTAAAGTTGTGAATTACAATTTTGGGAGAAAAATATCACATTAAATCCGTTTAAGCAATTAATTAACTTCAGATGAGCCAGATTTGTAGTGTTACAAAACCACTCTTCCATAAAATAACCCATGAGACACTTACAGGTCTGCTTTAAGTCACCACTAACATTAAAAAATCAGCAAGTAAGTGCTAAAATAACATTGTACCTTTTCATTAATGAAGACCCATTATCTGAATACACTTCCTGCTTTTACACATTTGCTTTTATCTACCATGTTGTGTTTTGGGAGACCCCCTAATGCTGTCATCACCCCCAGATTCAAAACAGTCACGACAGCAAAGACTTGGGGGGATAGGCACCTGAATCTGGGAGTGTTAGGACAGCACAGCCTTTTACAAGAGGTGTGATGAAACGCCCTTGGGAGTAAACAGAAAGAGAGAGACACCAGAGGGAGAGGTTTTAAAGGGGGGGTTGAGACGTCTCCGTGCCCCACACACATCAGCTCTTCTCTGGCCCTCGTGGTCTTTGATGTGTTGGCAGCAATTTGTTGTCCTCCAGCTGTGAGTGTGTAAAGAGGACCAGAGATAGTATGTGAAAGCAGAGAAGACTAGACACACAAGCTGGAGATGGCCACACAGGTATTAGAGAGGGGAGATAGGACTCAAAGTATGTATATTAATGTTTTAAGATAAAGCAAGAGAACCGCTATCTGTCCAATACAGTGTCTATTTTCTGATCTATATTTTAATGTTGCTCCCTTATCATACCTGGGGTTCTGTTTTGTTTCAGGCACACACTGAACAAACAAATCAAACATCTCTCAAACAGAAAACACTCTCTGCACACTTTCAGCTCAGGAATTGCCAATCTTTACTCAGCTAAAGGTAAAAGGTATCTCTTCATGACATCACAAGGTGGAACAGAGCATTTTGAGCCTTGGAGATGAAATAAAGGATTACTTAAACATGGCAAAGCTCACAAGAGTCAGTTTTGGGTCATTTAGGACCTTTATAAAACAGCCATAAAATAAAACTTATTTAAAAATATAAAATAATTATGGATTCAAAATTAGGCATTAAAACTACAAGATTTATTAGAATGTTAAAATGTACTTTGAAGGAAAAAAGGTAAAAAAGCTGTTTAAAAAAAGTTAAAATTTTGAGCAAATCATCATTACACACATGGCTATTTTATGCTATATTTCCATCACAAATAAGGTTTTACATTCTAGATTAGCCAAGTGCTAAGATGCTTAAAGTGACCAGATGACATTCATCAAAGCATGCATAACTTGAAGTGGTAAATCTGCGTAGCCAATATTCACACACATAAATCCAAATCTAATTCTGGATCTAAACCTGGACTAGATGAGGACTGAACTAGGACTAGAACAGGATTAGAGCAGAACCAAACGAGTGGTCAGTGAATGTGAGAGTCAATTGTCTGTTGTTATTGCATTGGTCCTGCAAATAGCCATTGTGTAGTTGTTTGCTGCCTCGGGCTAAAGGCACCTCACCTGGGTCATGTTACAACAGTGGTGGATGACGTACTCAGTTTTATTACTTAAGTAAAAGTACAGATACCGTGGCAAAAGATTACTCAAGTAAAAGTAATGAACAAATCTAGAAGTCGAAGTATTTAAGTACCTGTTTAAAAATTTTGAGTAAGAGTAAGAAGTAAAAATATTTTGCAGAGAATTTTAGATATTTAAAGCATCAAATATAGTGATTTTAATTTTTCTTTTTTTTAATGTTCAATTGATTTCTGAACATTTCTAGCTGTTTATATGTATTTGGTTTGAGCAAAGTTGAGACTTTTAACTAATTTCAGCAGGCCTCAACCCATAAAGAAAAGTACTTTTGGCTTTTCAGTTCAGATCTAAAATATAGTGGAGTAAAAAGTACAGATACATGCTCTCAAATGAAGTAAAATATCCACTGTAAAACTTAAGTATAGCACAGATAACTAAAAATTTTATTTAAGTATTGTACTTTTATTTTTATATTGTTACTTTCCATGGCTGTGTTACAGTTAGCAGAAGGAGAATTGGCAACATTAACAAGAATACAAAGTCTAGCCTGAAACACATCTTGCTGGCATATGTTACTTGTTTATTATTCTCATTTTAATTTTTTTGGGCTTTTACGCATTGAACTGCTATCATTAAATTGGTCTAACTTAGTATATCAGTTAACACTCACTCAATTTTACCCCATTATCTTCAGTTATTTTATACTTTGCAGGACTTGGATGCAACTAAAAAGCACGCCGACTTATATAACAGCAATAATAACCAAGAAACCAAAATCCAATGCGCTTTAGCTCCACCGTCTCTCGGACCCCCTCCCAACTAATTACACCGTGCCCATAGGCTGCGGACAATCCCACGCCCACCTACATGAAGAAGATAGCTTAAAGATGTTGATGTGAATAATTAGGGATACGCACACACACACATGCATTTTTTTTGTATAGGTTGGGGGGGACATCTGCGGGTGGTTGTGCTACAGCTAGACGTCATTACAATACCAGTGCCTATTGTAATAATGTCTGGTGCTTTACGCATTGCAACATCGTGGTGAAAGAAGGCCAGACGCACAGGAAGCCAGCTGTGGATCTGCACATCTGGACTGGGGGTTGAGACAGAGATAGAGAAGACAGGGAGAGAAAAGTGAATTAAGATTATGAGAGGAAAAAAAAAAAAGAAAACACCGAAACACTAACGTTTTTCAAATGTGGCTTGTTTTATAGTCCAAATCCCACATAAAGGTGGTAACATGTTTCCAAATCCTGAAATCTTGCCATAAAATCGCATGTTAAACTGTCACTGTGAAGTTACCGTGCAATAGGCCAGCTGGTTAGGTCAGTGTGTCAAATGACAATGGGGGGGACATACGCAGAAGAGAATTAGGAGTGAGAAGTCCTGACACGAAAGAAGAGGAAGAGGAGGAGACGGGGGAGGAGAGGAAGGTGTGAAGTTTAAATATGTAGTCTAGGTGTTAATAGATTTAGAGAGCACTTGAGTAAAGATGACTGTATACCCCGACACTAGAATTACCTCTATCCAAACAGCTGGTCTCCTGTCTGGTACCCCTGCTTCCAAATGAATGACATATTGTTTTTTACCTTTACGCAGGTCAATACGTTCCAGGCTGTTATTGGGTACGATGAGAGAGATTCATATGTTGTCTTCCTCTATCCTGAAGATGGCTTGAATTTCTTTGGGACCAGGCCAAAGGTAAGAGTGCAGACAAAGGACTTTGATATAGTGCATAACGGGACTGCAAAAAATTTGAATGGACACAATAACCAACTCTTTTTAAGTACCATATTTTTTTCTATTAACATATATACTACATATATACTATAAAAAAATCTGCAAACCTTGTAAGTTTAAATCTGCACAAACATGTACTGAAATGTGATTCTTGTAGGACTATTAAATTGCCATTTCATAATTTTATATTTTTGTTACTTATTCTGGGTATGGCATTTGCATATATTCATATAATTATGCCTTTTTTGACACCCGTCACTTGTTTTTTGCTACTTTTTTTAAAATTACCATTTAAATTTTTGCTCTTTTTTATTATAATTATAATATATTGTGGTGTGTGAGCTATTGTGTCCAAATAATTTCCCCTGTGGATCAATACTGTTAGTCTAAGCCTAATACTTGTCAGATATTTTTTCTAAATCTCTATTCTCTAAGCTGGCCTTAACATTGCTTTTGTGTGTTCAAAGGAGTCCTATAATGTGGAGATTCAGCTTCCTGCTAGAGTGGGCTTCAGCAGAGGAGAAGTGGCGTATTTTGTCTTTTCCAGAACAGAGGGGCCCCACTACAGTGTGACAAGTGATGAGCAGAGTGTGAAAAACCTCTACCAGTGAGTAGAAAACCCTTATTAACTTTGATAGATGTTGTCCAGCACATACTAGAAGCCTCTCTTATACTGCTTCCTTGTGACAATGTATAATATGAGGTAAGATATACACTACCAGTCAAAAGTTTGGAAGCACTGTTTAATGTATTGTTCTTTTTTTATTTCTATGATTATCTGCATTGTAGATTCTCACTGAAAGTATCAAAACTATGAGTGGCAGCCTCTCTTATACATGCTTTTTCCTTGTGGCAATGTACATATTATACTATGAAGAAAGACATACACTACCAGTCAAAAGTTTGGACGTACTTTTTCAATTATCGTTCTTCTTTATTTCTATGATTATTTGTATTGTAGATTCTCACTGAAAGCATCAAAACTCTGAATGGATACATAGTAGGAAACAAAAAATGAACTCAAAATATCTTGGAACTAAATTTTTAAAAACGAGACAACCTTTGCTTTGACCGTGGTTTATACTTTTTGCATTTTTGACCCAGATCAGGCACAGCTGTGATTTGAAAACCATTTCAGGAGACTTCCTTTAAGAAACTCACACTCAAGTCCAAGGGTCTGCAGCACTGGATTTGAATATAACTTATAATATAAGCTTCCTTATCTATGTTATAATCATTTCATCTCATATCTGGAGTTGTGTTTTGTTTCATTCCCACATGTTAAACACACAAACCCTACATATTTAGGCTGAGTTGTTCTCTTAAACAGGAAACACTCATTGTGATGTCATGTGGTAATGTTGTGTGTTGTATTTTTAAACTTTATAAACCTACACTAGAATCATTTCAGACCTGGATTTGCCAGTCTCTACTGAACAAAAAGGAAAGGAAAGTAAAAGGAGCTATTAATTGAAAACTACCGCTTCATAACATTACAAGATGGAACAGAGCATTTGAACTTTGGGGGCTCTTGACAGACTAATAATAAACAGTTACTCCAACATGTGTGAATGAAAAAAACACAATTCCAGCTATGGTTTTGGTGAGGGAATAACATTCTAACATCACTAAAAGCTCACAAGAGTCAATTTTGTGTAATATAAGACTTTTACCTTTTTTCTTTGCTATTTCATTCCACATATTTTACAGATCATATATTTGATGTCTTGTGTCTAAAATGTTGAAAACAGTAAACAAACAAAAACACTGAATAAGATGGTCTGTCTAAAATTTTCACTGATAGTGTTACAGTTACAAATGACTGATTAAGTTCTATCTGTCTATGAAAGACAGTATTACCTTTTTTGCTCACTTGCTACTGTGGCTAGTTCTTTTTCGATAGTTTCTAACGCAATTTCCACTTGCCACAATTATTTTAACATTTTTGCATGTGATTATATAATTGGTTTGTTTTTGAAAATCATCAGGAAAAGGGTGCGGTCACGTCTATTGTTTCAGTTTTATGACGTCTAAAATGCTTGTGTTTCTATTTCATTTTGTTTTTTGACCAGATGTGTAGATGTGGTTTGGTCCAGTTCTGGTCCTGTTCTGGTCCGAGTTTAGTTTCTGGTTGAGTCCCAGTGTATTCCCAATTTTGTTGTGGTGCTCAAGTATGTGTCAAAACCATCTGGCAATTTGTAATCTTCCAACATTTGGCTAGTGCTAATAGTGGCTATTGCTTCATTGTAATTTTTTATCTGTAAATGTATACAACTTTCTAAAATATGTTTGTTTGTTTTTTTTCTCAAGGGTTGGCAATACTGGAATTCCTGGAGTTTGGCTTTTTCACACTGGAAACCGTTACTCTTTCAACAACATCGTACCTGCCTCTTTCGGTGGACTTCTGGCCACTTCCCCACCGAGAGGATTTGAGTTTGTCTTGGTAAATTCACTTCTTTATTGAATTATCATCTTAAACAAGCGCTTTGGTTAACATTTCATTATCACTGCTCTTTCAGTCTTTTAATGATTCAGGATTACTAATTACTTAATTGTTACCCTAACCCTAATTAAAGGGCCCATATTATGCTATTTTCTGATCTTTGCTGTACAGTGATGTTGTTTCCTCATCACAAACAAACCTGGGGTTGTTTTGTTTCATTCACACACAAACCCAGAAAATTTAGGCTGAGTTCTTCTCTCAAACAAAAAGCACTCTGTTCCACTTTGTGATGTCATGCGCTAACACAGGAAGTGCTCCACTGTGTTTTTAAACTATACACCTTCACTAGAATCATTTGGATGATTTCAGCCCTGGAATTGTCAATCTCTAATAAACAAAAGGTAAAAGGTAGCTGTAAACTTGAAAACTACCACTTCATGTCATGGAACAGAGCATTTTGAGCTTTAGAGATGTCCAGCCCAGTAATGCATGATTACTCAAACGTGTGTGAATGAAACAAAACACAACTCTGGATATGTTTTTGAGGAGGTAACAGGATTCTAAAATGACTTAAAGCTTACATGAGTCAGTGTTGCTTATGAGAACCTTTAAGTACTAGTTACTAAGCCTGAATAATGCTTAATAAACTATCTGGTCATTATGAATGAAGTCTTTGTTCAGGCTTTTATTAAGGCTAATTAAGGTGTAGTTACAAAGTGGTACAGCTATTTCATGTACTAATTTAATGGTATGATCTTTTTCTTCTCAAGGAGTCCACCACTCCAGAGTACGCTGAGCTCGAGGAATATTCGGATAACAATTACAGCCCAGATGACGATGAAGAAGAAGATTACCCTGAGAATGGTGGGGACCCCGAGTATCCAACAGCACCCGTGGGAGGAAACCCCTCAGAGCCTGTTGAACCTGGTGTCACCCATGCACCCCCAACTGAAGACTCACCTGCCCCACATAGCACTGAAGATGTTCCAGTGACGGAGCCTAGTGAAAGGCCTCAAGTACCGCCCAGGCAGTATGCTCCTCCCCCACTGCGCAAGGAGACAGCGAACGCACCACCACAGGTAAGTAATGTGGATCCAATCACCAGTTAAAACTATTACAAATACAGTGATGGAAAAAGTTAAAGTAGTAAAGTGCAGTACTTAAGTACTTAAGTTTTAGGCATCTGTACTTTACTTAAATACATTTTACAGGGGATACTTTTTACTTTCTACTTTCTACTAAAAGTATTTTTTGTTATTGTTTGAGACCTGCTGAAAAGGCTGAGGGTTTAAATTTAACACATTTGTAGTTTGAGCAAACAAAAAATACAAATAAAAACAGTGAGGGAAAAAAAATCTATTCTATCTATTCAACTGTGCGGAGGGTCCCTGCGGTAAAAAACAAAGTAAGGACCGACTGCTGCCCCCAGGACCGCCCCTGGTTATAGACCTTCCTGCAGAGAGATTTTGTAGTTTATCTTCTATAGTTACATTCTTTTAGATAACTCTTGAAGATGTACTTTTACTTTGTCTCAGATGATGTTCTACCATTATAAAATATTTTATTTTCCCAGAATACAAAAATTGCTTACTTTCCTCTTCATGTTTCTTTAATTAAACAATCTTTGAAGCATATGCATCTGGTACAAATTGGGAAACTATCGCACCAATCTTTTTTGTGTTTTTTGAAAATGCCCGTGGGGAGGCCATGTCTGCTTGTGTGGCAGCATGTTTTATATTTACTCCAAAAGATCAGTTAACTAAAAAGGGGGTTTTCAGATGGCAGTGTTGTAAGTTGTGTCATGGATTTCATATGTAATGATTTGAAACTGTAGTCTGTTTGGTGCCATCTGAGGTTGAAAAACATGCATATTTGGGGTCATTGTAATGCCATTATTAAAAAGCATTGAAATTTGTAAGTTGTAAAATCATCACGCCTGGTGTTTTGTTTGTTGTTGTGTTTCATTCACACATGTTTAACACACAAACCATGCACATTTAGGCTGAGTTCTTCTCAGAAAACAGAAATCACTCACTTGTGACATCATTTGATAATATTAATACAGGAAGTGTCCACCATGTTTTTCAACTGCATACACATTCACTAGTATCGTTTGGATCATTTCAGTTACTCAAACATGAGTGAATGAAACACAACACAACTCCAGTTATGTTTTTGGTGAGGTAACAACATTCTAACATGACTTAAAGCTCACAAGAATCAATTTTGCATAATAAAGGATCCTTAAACATTACAATACATAAGAGGTTACTGTGTTATTTCCTAAATTTAATTTATATTTTTAAAGTTTACCAAAGGTGCTCTGTGTAACATTTCTAATATGCCATCTGCTTGTCTCTAGGGAGGTCTTATTGCTTTGCTTAGAATGTTCCACAGTATAGCATTAAACTTGTATAACTCCTCTGAGACTGGTAATAGAGGTCACAGCTCAGATCTGTGGATCTGTGGAACCATGGGTCAGCTTACAGTAAGAATGCATAGCTTCAAGGTAATATTTGTCTGTTTAGGTCCCTCTTGAAGTTGTGGATGTGTACCCTCCTCCCCCCAGCGACCCCCACCTTTCCCCTGGCGGGCACGTGGTCAATGTGGATGAGGACGAAGTCTTTGACACGGGAGGTAAGAAAGCTAAACAGATTCTGAGTTCATGAAATTCTGATCACCAAGAAAAGGGGAAAAGCAAAACTCCAAAAAAACTACGCAAAACTGCCAAACCTCAGCCCCGTCTACAGCAGCTTGCAGCACAATACAGTCGTTGTGAGAGACTTCCAGGTGTGTCTGACCCACTCCCACCAAGTTCTGCCTTGAAAATGAACACTTTCTCTGTCCTTTTCCTGGTTACATAATGATCAAATCCCCTCTGCGTAGTAGGAAATAATCTAACGTAATTTAGTCCAACTTAAAACTGTTGAAATGTGAAGAACTGCCAGTGTATTTTCAAAAAAAAGACATTATAGTTGTTGTAATCTTTCCCCAGTGAATTCATGGTCACTGCGAAAATATCCTGACTTCCTGTGTTGCTTGTGTATCCATGAGATGCCCCTGTAGGAATAGAGAATGTGGGTCCCAAGGCGGGGCAAATAGACAAATAGTGACTGTTCAATGGGGGAAAATGAGTCAGTCAAATGCACACTGAGGAGTTATGTGAGTTTACTGGGGTTGCCTGAGTGCAGTAAACTTGAAAATGACAAGTAAAAATGAATCTGACTTAAAGTATGCAGAAGTTTTTAGGAATGGGATAAGATCTTCTGCCACAAGATTGTACATACATGAGTTAAAACTGGACTGGACAAAACAGATTATGTGATGGAACAGTAACAGCAGCATAACGCACCAAAAAGCAGTACTAGAATGGCAACTAAAATATGAAATAAAATTTAAAAAAAAAAATGTGAGGCCAAAATTGGGAACTGGATTGCACAATTTGTTTATTATAAAGAATGTCAAATCTCATTTTGTCTCGTATTGTGGAAATTGTATCTCGTCCCACCCCATCTGATACTCATTATTAAAAATGCTATTTTTCAAAATAATAAAAAAATATTAGAAATATATATATAATTTATTTAATGTTACCATGAGTTCTATTCTACCTCTGTTGTGAAGTTAAAGTTAAGGTACACTTAATTAAGACTATTCTAAAACTATTAAGGAAATGCAAAACTTTTGTCCTGTCTATGTGATTTCCTATAGTACAGGTACTGATCAGCATCTAGTTTTGATAAATATTTGGGATATGACAATCTTACTCAGGCTTACAGTGTCTATCTCACTCAATGCCATCTTTATGTTACACAACTGGATTTCATGTGTATCTTTGGAGGGGATTCCCATAGAAGAACAGCTGGTTTCCATCCATATCTGTTCTCAAGCTTTAAACAGTTTAAGTCTTTGTTTATGTCCTTTTAATCCTTTAACTTGACTTACTTACTTGTCAGTGTTTCCATACATGGTCACATCCTTTTTAAAAAGAAAAACTGACAAACTCATGTTATGTATATCTTTTTGCACTTGTCATCATTAAACTAAATCTTACCGTTCTGTTGACATTACAGTGATTCAGTACACCACTGAGAATAAGGAAACATGTGCGAGGTAAGTTTATTCATAATTTTAATATGGCTGGTGCTAGACAGTAGGCTCTGGAAGTACAGTTTGCTGTGATTAGTCGAGTGAAGTTAATTTGGAGCAGAGTATGAGTATGACTTAATTAACGTGTTAGCAGTACCTTTAAAAACATATTTTACTAGCCTTTTCCCAACATACAACAAAAAAGGTAACATTTTAGGCCTGTGCAATAGAAATGTACTCATTACCACAGAAATAGTGGTTTGTCATCACTTCAGGTCATCTGGAGCTGACTATCTATGACTAACCTTTTAATAATCTGAAACTTGTTTAACTGTTTACTGACTTTTTCCCAACAGATTTCAACAACAATGTTCCCAGAACGCCATCTGCTCCGACTATGACACTGGTTTCTGTTGTCACTGCAAGTCTGGTTTCTATGGAAATGGACGCCAATGTCTTCCTGATGGTAAGATTTCTTTAGAATTATTTTATTATAAACATACTAGGCCTGAGTGCAGACCAAACTGACTGAGAATGCATTTTATTTTATTAAATTACATGTTTTTATTGCTCAAAAAATACCTTGAGTAACATGCATTCTTATAGTGACAGGGCTTGCCTCTCCAAAGATCTGACCTGTAAAGGGTGAAGTATAGTTCTGCGTCAACTCAACGTGCACTGCCGCTGTCGCCTTGTTGCCGTCGTTTTAGATTTATGGATCTGCGTCGAGGTCTCTGCACCGCAAAGTAATTCACTGCCAAAACGCTAGGGGGCAACGATATCTGTCCATTCATATATACAGTCTGTGTGTATGACCCGCAGACGTGCAGATGTATAATCTCTGAAAAGTTTAACATGAACCAGCTCTAACGCGATAAAAGCACAGAACAGACACACCATTAGTACAATATCCCTCTGTCACAGAAAGAACACTCATATTCCACTGAGTCGTTCCTTTTTAAGTCCGAGAGAAGCTGACCGCGTACCAGGAGCAAGCTGTTTTATGAGCGCTTTGTTTATGCAAGTTAGCCATGCGGTTTTAAATTTCTGTAAAACGTAAACATATATGCGCAAAGCTGCATTAAACACATTATTTCTCAATGTATACTGAAAGAAAGAAAAGCCGACAGGAAATGTATACAGAGCGGTGGTACAGAGGACCAATCACAGCTCTTATCGTCTGCATCGCTTCCCCTGCTGTCTGCGTCGTTTTGACGCGTAGTTAGAAAATTTCGGAGGTGCACGTCGGTCGACGCAGAGGCTCTGCGTAGGGGGTACGCATCGACGCAGACTCTCTGCGTTGTGACGCAGACGATTTGACGCTGGACCGTAAATTGGCCTTAACTTGGCCTGATCAAATCACCTATTTTAGGCACCTGGAATAAGGGTGCTAACATCTTAACTGAGACTGCAATGCAGTCTTTTGCACCCCCGTAGACCTGAGCCTGAAACATACATTCATCAACTTAACCTGTTTATGTATTAAATATGACTTTGTTTCCCATGGCAACAGGTGCCCCCCAGCGTGTGAGTGGAAAGGTGAGCGGTACAATCACGGTCGGCTCCACTCCCGTGCTGCTGGACCATGTTGACCTTCATGCTTATATCGTTGTGGGTGATGGCAGAGCATACACCGCCATAAGCAAGGTATTAGTCCTACTACTATTACTATTACTACTCCTACTACTACTAATACTACTTCTACTATTACTTAATTATTCTTCAATTATTTCTAATTCTCTCTGTTGATACTACTTTTAATACCACTACTCTTTCTATTATTACTACTACTACTGCTAATACTTCTACTACTACTATTATGATTTCTCCTATTGCTTCCAAAAGTTTTTTTCTGTTCATTGATTTTCCTCGTTTTACTACTACTACTACTACTACTTGTTAAGGTTTGGCAAGAGGGACCCCAAAGCAGAGCCAGGACTCAGTCAAGTTTTAAACAGTTTATTTTACAAACGGAAGGCTGGCTAAGGAGGCAGGGAGCTGGCCGGCTTCTCCGGAGGCAACGGCAGACAACCACGGAGACACCTGGGTGAAAACAGGAGCAGGTAAATCCAAGACAAACAACAAGCAAAACGGGTATATATCCAAGAGCCTGATAGAACTCTACCGAACAGGACAGAATTATCTGGCGAAGTGGTGGTGAGAAGACCAGGGCTAAATACAGAGGCTGATGAAGGAATTGATTGCAGGTGTGTCTCATCTGCTCCGGAAGAAGCCAGCCACGCCCCCTGCCACACTCAAGCCCTGCAACAAAAAGGGAGGGGGAGAGAACAAAAACCAAATCCTAACACTACTACTTCTATTAATACATTATTACTTCCACTAGTAATCATTAGTCCTACTATTACTATCACTCTAACTACTAGCATTCTTCTTATTTCTACAAGTTCTGTTCTGTTCATTGAATGTACTTACTACTGCTACTACTACTGTTGTTGTTACTACTATTCTTGTTCTATTCTATTCATTCACTCTGTTACTACAACTTCTACTACTACTCTTACTTCTACTACTACTCTTACTATTATCACTACCATAGTACAAAAATACATTTATTCAAATTATTCAAAAATATTCTGAATTTGTAAAATATTCTCTGTTTGCTATAGGTCCCTGATTCAATAGGATGGGCTCTGATGCCTGCTTCACCCATTGGAGAACTGTTTGGATGGCTTTTTGCTCTTGAACTGCCCAATAGCCAAGCTGGATTCAAAATCACAGGTACAACTTAGATTTTACATGAAAAGTGACCTGGGAACACATTTTAGCACAATACAATGTTAGATTCTATATAACATTTATACCATCAAATTGCTTCAGAGTCAGAATATGTTGCTGCTTACATTGTAGGAAGTGGTATTGTCACGATACAAAAATTTCAAACCCAATTTCAATGTAATTTTCAACATTAAGTCATAGTACTTTGTTTTACATCACCATGTGGCTTTATATCCCTCAGCTGTCCAGGTATAGGGCGTATACTAGTGATCTTATATTTGTTCTCATTTAGTGCAAGATCATTCTAAATCTATTCAGGAAAAGGTTCATTTCTGTCCTGTAAATGTGACTTTTTTTAGTATCTATACCTGCTCAAATCAGTATCTAGTTTCAATTCTAGTTTTAGTCTCTTTTAGTATCTGATTTACAATGCTTCTGACAACCCTAGAAGGAAGTAGTGTTACAACCTTTCTGTGTAAGGATTGTACTTTTTACTGTCATGACCTAAGATAAGACAGGACTGGGATGCCAATGTCAATAACAAAGTTGAACATAGCTTCGGAGCACATCTGTAGTGGACTAAGCAGGGAACTCCTCAATAGTGAATTTGTGTGCATTTGAATGTGTGTATTTGTGGTTTTTGTGTGTCCCTGCGCTCTCCCAGCCAGCTGTATTGTCTCCAGGGATGTGATGTGATATCAGGCTTCCACCTCCCCTCTGCTAATAGGAAACAGCTGGTTTTGTATGTGTACAACTTTGTGTGTCTGCAATGTACAGATGTAGTAGACAGGACAGTTTAACTTGCTTTTGGCCTGCGTTCAAAAACCTGCAAAGAAAATAAACAAAATAGACTGTTTCATATGATTTCACCAGCTCTGGTTTCTGATTGGCTAATTGCTTTATGCCAGGGGCGGAGTTCACCCGTCACGCTGAGGTTGTCTTCTATCCGGGCAATGAGCGCTTGTCAATCATTCAAACGGGGCGGGGCCTTGATGACCAGAATCACATCACCGTGGATACTGTCGTCAATGGCAACGTGCCCTCCATCCCTTCTGGAGCAGAGGTGACCATGGATCCATTCAAGGAGATCTACCAGTACTATCCATCTGGTAAGTTATAAGTGAAAAAGTTCAAATATTACAAAATGCTATGATATCACTTAATGTTTTAGCTATTCTGAGTTTTATTTGTATTGTATTTGGAGTTAGTTTAATACTGGTTTAGTCCTTTAATTTAGTGACTTTAATAAGTTTAGACCATAGACTGTGTCAAGAAGTGGACTAAGGGAGTGTGATGTCCCCCATAGCGTTTGGCTCCAGCCAAATGAAGCTCACAAGGCTCTCAGTTATAGGAGCGAATTTGGAGCCTAGTTCAGTATTAGGAATTTATTTACTGTCAAAATAGCAAAATAAAAATACCAGAATCATGTAGAGCACGTTAATGTGTCCAAGACCAAAATGATGAGGCTCACTGCAGCAGATAGAGGGGCATCAATCTTTAAATGTAAAGTCAATTTGAAACAATCCATGGAACCGGAAGCGCGACCATTAACACTTTAATCATAGCCAATATCTACTGACACTGTACTGTGAAAACCAGATAGCTTCATCAGAGCTATCTGGTTGGTAGCAAAACATTGGCTTAAAAAATCTAAATCCAGTTGTTTTTTGACTTGTTTTTCACTGATAGTGGCTTATTCCTGGATGTCTAAAAATTTGCACCAATTAATGTTATTACATTTTGGTAATATTCCTTGCATTAGCCTCGGTATAGACTTATATATAAAACCAACAATAATGTTTTTGTCTTGTCTTTTGTTTGCCCATAGTGGCCACCTCCACATCTGTGCGTGAGTTCAGTGTTGTTTCGGCGGACAGGGGCTCCGAGTCATTCTCCTTCCAGCTCAAGCAGAACATCACGTTCCGAGACTGTCGACATGACACCCGGCCCACCCTGGAGACGCTGCAGATCACCATGGAGAGAGTCTTCATGATGTATGTGAAGGAGGAGCGCATCCTGAGATACGCCATCACCAACAAGATCAGCGCCGTGGGAGGTGAGCTTTATGTCTACTATTATTCATATTTATTGGATTTGATTATAGATGTAGTATGTAACTTTTCTTGTGATGGTGAAGATGTCATTGTATTGCCTAGAATGTTCCACAGTGTAGCATTAAACTTGCCCATATTCAGTTATGGGTGCTTTTATTGCTTTAAAAAATCTATTGAAAAAAACTTAAATTCTAACTGTGAGTCGGCAGGGAGATAGATAATGATGATAGATAAAGAATGCCATACTGTGGAACCATCCAAGCAAAGCAATAACATTTAGAAACTAAAAAGGGAATATAAGGTAATATAAAGTAAGATGTCCTGTGGAAGAAATAAAATATTATGGTCAGTGGTCAATGGTCACTTTTTTATATTGCACTTTTCTGAGTTCAAGGTACTTAAAGCGCTTTTATGTTGAGAGCGGGATTATGTCTCTCTTTGGGGTCTCACTATGTATGAAACCTACCAACCCTTTTTTTAGCCATCTACAAACATGTTTCAAAGTGCACGTGATAGCATTTAACAAGCGCACGGTCAGCAAATTATTTTAGGAACTATATTTTGGTAATCTATTGTCAGAAATTTATAGAAAAATACATTATTTTTCAAGTCATTCAGCCCTTCCTTTAAGTTCCTTTCTTTAAGATAAAGTTTGCCATAGCTTATACTTCTAAATCACTTTGATGGTGAATAAATAATAATTGCCTTTTTATGACATCTTGACTTTGTTCCAGCAGTTATTTAAACATGCCCAGTGTGAAGTGAACATAAAAACTAAAAAGTGCGCCAACTCTAAAGTGGAGCATGTGTCTTTCATAAGTGTAACAGCTCAGATGAAAACGCTGTGTAAAGATGTAAAAGGCAATACATCTGATATTGCATAATGGCTGTTGAGTAAGTCCTGGACACATGTTGGAAATACGTGGGATGAAATTTAAGTGTTTTAAGCTGGGGTCAGGGATGAGGGAATGATGTCTGGTCTAACTGTGATCCTAGATAGGAACATGGTGTGTGAGTGACAGTTTGAATTAGCCTTGTCTGTTTGTAAGTGTCGTGAGGTTTTCTGCGTTAGACCTCAGCAGCCACCAGACCAGTGAGTAATTGTTTCAATGCAGCAGATAAACCACAGTCAAAAACTGATGCAGAGTTGGTCAGAGCTGCTCTTTAAACACAAATGATTCAAGACATTGACTTTATAAACTTTCACAATCACCACTCCTCCTCATGTCTGGTTAATGTCACCTGTGATACAGATAGTGATACTACAATGACAGTAGATTCTTAGAGAGCCAAGACTTAAGCCAAGACTTAAGAGCAGATTTAGCAGCCAATATTCCAATTGCACATAGTTACTTTTTGTGATTTTGTTTCATGGAGGTGTTTTATTAGAGTATCTTCTTCCTCTTAAAAACTACACCAAGTAAATTGCTCATCAGGCATCCTAATTCTGTTTTTACTATTTTGTGAACGTGATTTCAAAAGAGAAGAACAGTGACCATATCCTGGTATTTTCCTCTGAAAATCGGAGGTAACAAATTGCAGTCAAACGTGTGATGTTTTCCCTCTATCAGCACCATAGTGGTGTCTAACCTCAGAGCTGTGATGAAAAGCAGAAGACTGTGGCAGTGAGAGATGGCAGCAGAAAAGCCTGTGTGAGCGTCACTGAGGCACTGGGCCAAGTTTCTGTCATTTAAACATCAACACGTTGATTAAAAAGGTTATGATGACACATCTTACACATGATGGTGCACACACAGATACAACAGAGCACAGCTGGAAGAGCTTTGAGGGATCAGAGGTTTTGTAAACACAGCTTAAGTGCAGTGTATGTGCCATCGGGACAATGTGAGCGTGTGTTTCTGTTCAGGCCTCTTACACTTTCTGGGAATAATATCCTGGCCAATGACAGATCTTTAACAGAGGGGGGTCTCCGGGCAGAATGGCTGCCCACTGATGTCATGAGAATCAGCTGCAGAACAGCTCTACATATCAAAATGATGGAGTTGTGTTGGAATGTGCCTGGGCTACTACATGTCTTAATATTTTGGAATGAAAACTACATTTCTTAAATTATTTGGACACAATAAAACATGACAAGCTGTTCTGCCTCTAAATCCCTACAGTAGTTTTGTGTTAGCTCCAGAGAAATGCAGTAAAATATTATTACTATGCCTTCCATTTGTGACCTCAAAACCACAAAGTGTTAGCATGAAACTGCAGGCCAGATCCTAGCCTGTTTCCTCTGTAATGTCATATCATTTGAGTCAGTAAAAGTCAGTGATGATGGACCATTAGGCACTCTCAGGTCAGACATTATAAGGACCGGCCTATACCTTGTCCATAATGACACAGCCCGGTGCATGGAGGCCCTTAGTAAAGAGCAGCAGGTGGAAAACTGCACTCACCACTTTGATGCTCCCCCTCCCCCTCCCTCCCTCTCTCTTTAATTACTCCTCAGTCTACTCTCCCATCCATGTGCGGCCAGCCCTCTCATCTGCCTGTCTTCTCAGCCACATTCGGGACGTTGAAAGAGCCTCCTTCGCTTTGATAATGAGCCAAAATTGGTCTCTGGCCCAGGGAGATGGAAGCGAGCTGCGTCTGATTTTGTTTAGGTGTAAGCTTGTGTTGTCTATAGCGTGGGATGTTCTCAACGGTAAAGAAAGACACGTTACTTTAGTCGGTGGTTTGTGGTCCAGACGTCTAACATGTACCCTGAAAATCATAATGTAAATGTGTACAAAATTACGCAGCAATCATTTTTGAGTGTTCCTAGGGGCTTATTGCATTTGTTTTCATTGTACTGACATTTCCTAACCATAGAGTCAGAAGCAGTTAAGCAGTCTGTCCTGGTTTGGTCTTGGTTGATCCCAGTTTAGTTCTGTTTTAGTAGCTTGAGTGAGTTTTTCTCATTTAATTAGGCTGGGACACCTTACATTTTATGGTAAATAAACTTGGTATAAAGATTCCTATTTTTTTTCTTGATACCTTTCTTTTCTAGTGGTATGGTACCTTTCTTTTTTTTCAATACCACAAACATATCTGGTACCCTGTCTTACTTATGAGTTATTATTACCACATCTGGTGGGACTTGTGCATCTTCACAAAGCAAAATTCCTAGAAAGCAATAACAAATATGTAAGCTTGTGTTAAAATTAACTGTTTTTCTTAGTTTTGAAGACATTCTTTTGTAGTGGTATGAGAAAGCACGTACCACATCCTCTCTCTCCATGTTGTCTATAATACTAGTATACTCTCCCATGTATACGTGAGTCTAACCCTGTCCATATGGTGAATATTGGGAACATGGAGGCAGTCACTTCCTCAGAGGAAACCATCCTCCGGGAATTTGTCTGCAGTGATTTTTACATGTGTATTTGGTTAAGCTACCCTCTAATCATTGCATTGTAATCATGGTACTTTTAACATCCAATAACCCTGATCTCTATTAATCTACATTCAGACACTCCAGACACTATTCATTTGCCGCATTTGTGTGTGTTTTGGGCCAAAGTTTCAGTAAGATTTATTGACTCAACTTGGGTCCTTCATGGTTTGCTTTGACTGGATTAAATTATGTAAACCAAGAAGTTACGAGTTTTGGTTCGCTGATAGTTTACATTGCTACAACTTAAAAGCTACACAGTGTCAAAGAGATGAGATGGCGGAAAGTCAAGTTCAACTGTATATATGTCTGTATGACTGCTATAACACACTATCTTGATTTATTTTTGCATAGTGGAGCCGAGTGGACCAGACCAAGTGAACCCATGCTATACTGGGACCCATGACTGCGACACCACTGCCCAGTGTATACCACAGGAGGGCCTGACCTTTGAATGTAAATGTGCCACAGGATACACCGGAGATGGACGCAACTGCTATGGTATGATAAAATACAAGTTATAACATGTATCTGGTATCATGGAGATATTATTGCTTTGTCTGCAATGTTTCCCAATATGGTACTAAACTTTTCTACCTTCTTGGACACCATACCAGACCAAGTTTCAGGTCAGATCTGTGGAAAAACAATGCCAGTCACAGTTAGAAATCCTGTTTTTCTACATATTTTTGAGATATAAAGATAGATACACCTGTAATTGAATAAATTTTGCTAATTGGTTTTAGTTGTAGGATCTGTCAACCCAAAGTGAGGAGCACATTCTACTTTCTGACTGGATAAAGAGTAAAACTTTAACAGATGGACTTTTAGAAGCCAACATTTCGCTATCAATGATGTAGCATCATCACACAGCTGTTAGTTTTACTCTTTGATATATTTTATTCCTGTATGTGTTTCAAAATTTGAAACTGACTTGGTAAACCTGTACAGGAGATATGAAGTAGAAGATGAAATAATATGGACCTTCATCTGTCATTGTGGTAATTTCTCACTGTAAGAGGCTTAGCGATGGTCGTCCTCTGAGTTTAAAGTTTTATGGGCCCCTTGATTATGCACACACACACACAAGCACACACACATGCAGACAGAGTTAGAGACAGTTCAAGGCAGCGTGTCTGTGTTTCATCAGCATATGTCCACTCAGAGCCCAAGGTCAAGTACAGGTTAGGCAGAAGGACTCATCCTCTCTCTCCTCTCTCTCTGTTACCTACATTCTTTTAACTCATAGCCCTCTTCTCTCCTCTCCTCTCTCTTTTTACCACCCTGCCATTCTCAGGTGGACGGTTTTGTTAGCGCAGACACACAGGAGGTTTGAGTAAGTGGTTGCCCTGTCATTAGCCCAACAGACAGCTCTATAAAACCCACAGCCTAGAGTTCCCATAGCTGTTCTGTCATACTTCATGTGTCCTACTTAGCGTGTAAAAACATTGATGTAATTATTCCTTATAAACATTAAAGGACCCATATTGAGCTGTTTTCTGATGTATGAGAGAGACCAGAATTACTCAAACAAAACAAAATTCCAGGTATGTTTTTGAGGAAGTAACAACATTTTAACAAGGCTTAAATTTTGCACAATATAGGACCTTTAAAAACTTCTACTTTTTGTGATTTGTGTCTGTTTGTTCATAAAGTGTAATGTCTTCCCTCTCCTCCGCCTCTTCAGACATAGACGAGTGCGTGGAGAGTGCGAGTTCCTGTGGTGCACATGCTCAGTGCGTGAACCTGCCTGGGAGCCACCGCTGTCAGTGCCAAACTGGATATGAGTTTGGCTTTGATGGACGCACGTGTGTGGGTAAGAACAGCTGTCATTTCAAACAACCTTGTGTAAAGTCATAGTCCGAAATATCAACAGAGATAGTTATAGACTCTCAGTGGTTGAGAATTCATGCCCAATCGCAAAGGTTACCAGTTCAACAACAACCAGTGATTGTTGTTGTGCCCATGTATGAAACTGATGAATGAGTGAGTGGTGGTGATTAGAGGGACCTTAGTCTCAGATTGGTAGCCTCACTTCCAATAGGCTACAGAAGTTGTTTATTTGCTCAACAAAATTAAAACAGGTTGTCTCCCTCAGTTAAATCAAATCAAATACAAGACCAAAAAGCCATAGGTTAAGCTTATCTTATTATGCTTATCTTTTCCCATCACTACATATGGCAATTTAGCATATAATACTTTCAAATAACAAAAATAATATACATTACCACCAAATGTGAATAGCTAAGGAATAATACCAGTATATGGAATAGTAAAGCAACGTTTGCAACTGGAAATGTTCTAAAACGTATGTATTTATATTATATTATTAGTCACTACCTTCAAAATCACAAACTTCTTTGCATCTATCAAGTTCATTCATTCATGTGTTGCAATAACTACTTATATACACTACCAGTTAAAAGTCTGGACACATCATCTCTTTCAGTGTTCTTATTTTTACAACTTTCTACATATATACATACTTTTTGCTTTGTCAAAAAATATTTAGTTATTTAACTTTTTTTTTACTATATAATTCCAAATGTCGTACCTCTTATATTTCGTATCTTAATGTAGAAAGTAGTAAACGTTGAATGAGAGGTTGTGTCCAGAAACAGCATAGCAAGAAATTCAGTCCATGTCCATTTGAATCACAACGACCCCACGTTAACTGTCAGAGGGGGTTAAGGTTTACACAGTTACACAAGAAGTCTAGGAAGCACTGAGCAGATGGAGGATAGGAGAACAGGAGGAAAAAAATAGGTGAAGAGGACTGATGTGAGAATGAATGGGGGAGATTAAACAGAAAAGAACTCAGCGTGAAGACGAATAGAGTAGTGACACCTTGTATTTGTGTGGAATGTGTGTGTCCTGGCTTAACCTATCGCTCTGAACTCAAACTGAACTTTCTCTCAACTTCCTCATCTCATCTACAAAATGTTTACACATCTTTCTCAGTGCAAACAAAGACTTAGAAATGTTTTTACAAGTGTCTGTTATGTTTTTCTGTCTTTCTGTTGTAGATATTGATGAGTGCAGTTCCTCACCGTGTAACCTCAATGCTAGATGCATGAACTCGCTTGGTACCTTCCACTGTCAGTGCCACTCTGGGTATTATGGTGACGGATTCTCATGCAGCCAAGAAGGTGAGTAGATTTTCCATTTTAGTGCTACAATTTAAAGGTGTACTAATGTAACTTTTCAGGTGTTGAGTCCACCACCTACTTGCCTCTATTTTTCCTGACATGTTCTGACAATGCGTAACATTTCTAGTGGACGGTCCCCCACCTGCTTGTCGCCATGGAAATGTTATTGCTTTGTCTAAAATGGTCCACAGTATAGATTAAACCTATCTCTCACAAGGGAGACAAGCAGAGTAGAGCACACTACATTACAATTCACATCTGTGGAGAGTCACCCCATTCACAGAAGGACTTATTTTGAGCAACAGAAACACCCGTAATGATTAAATGCTAGATGGAAAGTCATACTGTGGAATATTCCAGCCAAAGCAATAACATCTTATTAAGAAAGCAGCTGGCAGACCCTACACCAGAAAAGTTGTGTAATGCAACTTGTCAATCTCCATGGACACAAGCAGTGATGCCACAAGGGCAAGATGCAAATCAGGATTTGGGGACAGTAAAAACACCAAATCGAATAAATACAAGATCGGCAAGTTTGGTGGAACATACCAGGCAAAGCACTAACATCTTCATGGAGATAAACAAATAGGTGATGGACCCTTTTTCCCAGAAAAGTTACACAGTGCATCTTGAAACAAAAAAGAGTATATCTATTATTTGCATTACTAACTGTATGTGTAATAGGTCAAACAGGGCGTCCAAAGAGCCACTGTGAGCAGCATAGAGACAACCTACAAAGTGGACTGGACCATGGTGTTGGAGCTTTTATTCCCCAGTGTGAAGCCGATGGACGCTACAGGCCACTACAGGTATATACAAGATCAATGTACGATCTGTTGATACTGTAATGGGAAAATACTGCTGTTGCTACTATTCACAGTTTTGCTACTATGCGCAGTTATTCACAGTTTTCATTGTGTGTTTTATATCCTGTTTTAATGAGAGCTGCTCTCCTCATATTAGGGAGTAACTGTCTTTGCATATTGGGGCAACATGACCCAGCACAGACGCAGATGTTTCCTTTCTTTTGGTAATACTTATTTTAGACACTACTATATATGTTTTGTGAGTCTGACGCTATCTCAGACAGAGTTACAACCCTGCATTGAACAGGCTTGTCCTCCGCCTCTCTTTGCAAAAATATTAAATAAACGTCTATTGTTGCTTCACCAGATGTCTGTTATTTAAAAAGATTATTTTCCATGACAATAATTAACACTGACATCACGCTGGGGGTGTTCTACATGTATCTCTATGTTGCATGCACACATTGCACACATTTGCCAATGCAGACAAAAAGTTTCAAGATAGTCTAACATAAAACAAAATTACAAAATTGATTTAAAGAGCACATTTTCAGGAGGTTGTCATCATCTTTCTTGTTTAACAGCGCAAATCAGCTCACTTGTTGTAGTTCCAACCAAGTCAGTTCTGGTTATGGTGAGATTCTGTTAAAACAAAGCTCAGATTAAAGTCTAACTAGAGTAACAGAGCACCACACCCCTAGGGAATGTTGATGACATCAGCTGCAAAGTATCAATAGTGTAATGTAAAAACACAAATAGATTGTAATTGATTAGAAACTGATTAGAACTGATTTTCATTTCAGTGTCATGGTTCCACTGGTCATTGTTGGTGTGTGGACAACAGTGGACAGGAGAAGCCAGGCACCAGAACTCCACCAGGGACCTCCCCCACCGACTGCAGTAGACCAGGTAGGCTTGAACAATTCATTTTTGTGGATTTTAATTTACTCAGGTTTATCTTTTCACTGCTATTGTGTGTTTTTCCTTGTCTAGATGAGCCAGGTCGCCATAAAACCCAATGCGAGCACCATAGAGACAGTGTTCAGACCACCAGCCCTGAAGGTTACCCTATCACTGGAGTGTTTGTACCACAGTGTGATGCAAATGGGCAGTACATATCTCTACAGGTAAAACACTACTTACTACTACTTTTCCTAATAATAAAATCTGAGTAATGTAATTTAATGTTATCTTTGCAGTGTCATGGATCCACTGGGCATTGTTGGTGTGTGGACGGTACAGGACAGGAGAGACCAGGAACTAGAACGTCTCCAGGCTCACCTCCAGCAGACTGCAGCAAACCAAGTAATCGCCATTTATGTCATATTTAGAGTTAATCGCATTATAACTAGTGATTTAATTGTGCACTGTGCAACCTTTCTGGTGGAGGGCCCTCTAAGCACTTTTCAACATGGAGATGTTAATGCTTTGCTTTGAATGTTCCATGGTATGACTTTAAACATTTCCATCTAGCATTTATTCATTACAAGTGTTTCTATTGCTCACAAATGCAATGAGTCCTTCTGTGAATAGGGGTGACTCTACACAGATCTGGCTTGTAATGTAGCATAGTGTTGTAACCTGCTTGTCTCCCTCATGGCAGGTTAATTTATACTGTGGAATATTTTAGATAAAGCAATAACATTTCCATGGAGACAAGCAAGTGGTTGACCCTCTAGTAGAAATGTTACGTTGTTTGTTTCTGGTAGTATAGTACTTGCTTGTCTCCATGGAGATGGAATTGATTTGACTTGATTGTTGCACAGTGTGGTATTAAACTTATCTACTGTCATGTTGAAAGTAGGCAGTCCCACCAGGTTAAGTTACACATTAGAAAAGTATGTTTTTTTAGGTATTCTTAGCTAAAAACCTGTAAGTGCAAGATATATAAGTTTAATGCCATACTGTGGAACATTCTAGTCAATGTAATAATATTTTCCATGTAGATAAGGAACTTTCCTCTCAGAAATGACATTGTGCTCCTTTTGTAATAAGCAATGAATGACACAGGATGAGAATCATTTATAATTAATTATTATGTACAATTTTTAATATGATCATGTTTTTCTATTTCCCAAAAGTTTTACCAGGTCGTCTTAAGACTCACTGTGAGCACCATAGAGACAGTGTGCAGACCACCAGCCCAGAGGGATACGAGATCCTTGGAGTTTATGTACCTCAATGTGACCTAGAGGGACAGTATGTGCCACAACAGGTAAGAATATTACAATTAAGCATATTTATTTTAGTGCTGTCATGCGATTAAAAAAAATGAGAGATTAATTAATTATGATCTGTAATTAATTAATCTAATTAATCTCATTTTAATCTCACCTAAAAATTGCTGAGAAAAGCCTTCAATTTGAGGTATTTTCATTTAAATTCATTATTACATTATTGTGGCAGATCAAAAGACTGATATAGAACAAAAAAAGTGACTTTATAAAGTCATTTATTGTTTAACAAATCTCTCCAAATTGGCTGTTGAGCCCAAGTCTCCATGAATAATAAACTGTTTGCTGTAAAGTAGCAAAGACGAGGAAATCTGAACATAATAACTTTTGTCTACTTAAAGACAATAAAACGTCCAGTCTTTCCTTAACCATATTAAAAATATTATTGATAGAGAAATGCTTTATATATGAGATCACTGGTTTTAGTCCTTGTTTTAGTCCTGGTTTAGACCTGCTTTAGTCCTACTTTAGTCCTAGTTTAGTCCTGGAATGGATTAATCCTGGTTTTAGTCCTGGTGTTAGTTCTGGTTTAGTCCTGGTTTAGTCCTGGTTTAGTCCTGGTTTTAGTTCTGGTTTTAGTTCTGGTTTAGTCCTGGTTTAGTCCTGGTTTAGACCTGGTTTAGTCCTGGTTTAGTCCTGGACTGAATTAGTCCTGGTTTTAGTCTTGGTGTTAGTTCTGGTTTAGAGGCTCACAGGGGGAAGCGCGGTTTACGCCGCGTACGCGAGAAAACACGATCCACACGTGGCTCACGGGAGCACGTCGGTGTCCGCGCAGTGTCTACGAAAGGAAACGTGGTCCGCGCGTTGTCAGGTTAATGACGATGATGAAGGTGTGTGTTTGTGTTTGTGTGTGTTTGTGTGCGTGTCCCCTCATGTGGCAGGTCACTATAGGACAGTAGTGCAGACATCATGAGCCTATGCAGGTTGTTTTCACCAGTGACATTTAAGTTGTAGGCGATATTATATTTGTTATTTTCTTTTATATTTCACGTCGGGAGAATAATTTCCAAGACACGAATGCGTTTTTACCTGTGCACTGCTGCCTCTGTTCTACTGGCTGGTCCACCTCGTCCATTGTGCGACTGACGCCGTAAACGTCGCCCTTACTGCGCGTGTTTTGTGTGGGTTTCCGACAATGAGTGGAATTGCCGAAATTAAAAAATGTATAAATGTGTTTTTTGTTTGTGCATGTGTGTGTGTTGTTGTCCCAACAACACATAAAAACAGGTTTTATAATAAAGAAACTCACATACAGAAACAGTAAAGTTAGAGATTAAAAATGAGATTAACGCGATTAAAAAACATAACGCGCTAAATATGACTGTAATTAATTAATCGCAATTAACGCGATAATTTGACACCCCTAATTTTATTTATTTATTTTTTTTGTTATTTTATGTCTAATGTTTATTTTAACTTTAGTGTCATGGTTCCACTGGGTATTGCTGGTGTGTGGACAGCACTGGGCAAGAGAAACCAGGGACTCGGACTCCTCCTGGGGCATCACCTCACAACTGTAGCCATCCAGGTAAGTCTTTAATTAATACGTTTTCAACTCAAGCATATCTACAGAATATAATAAGTTAATAATAATATCTTGTAGAAGGACCAGTGCGTCCAAAAACCCATTGTGAGCACCACAGAGACAGTGTCCAGACCACCAGTCCAGAGGGGTACCCCATACTTGGAGCTTTTGTACCTGAATGCGATGCTAATGGGCAGTACACACCTCAACAGGTATGTTAAGTCAAATACCAAAAACATGAATATATGAATTGTTTAATCATCTAATCATGTGTTATTTTTAGTGTCATGGATCTACTGGACATTGCTGGTGTGTGGACAGCTCTGGACAAGAGCGCCCAGGCACTAGGACCCCCCCTGGTACCCCCTCAGTAGACTGTGACCGACCAGGTATATTTCAAAAAATATCAAACGCATTTTTGTTTCTTTAGTGAAATAATACAGATATCAAGTTTAACTGGCCCACAGCTGGGACAGTTTCACTGTTTTTGTAGCTTGCCCCACTACCTTTACCAGCAGGTGCATTATGTCATTGCTTTCCAAGGGCTTTCTAGCTAAACACTGACCCCTGACCCCTTTAATTCCTGAACTGGATGACAACTCAAACAGACAGCACGTTTAACGCCGGTGTGTTTAACCTTGTAAGTGGTGCGCTGCCGGGGTCATTAAGTGATATCCTTGGAATGCCTTTAAAAACATGCGATATGAGCGGGTAGCCCTTTGTGGCATATACGCACAGGTACAGTTTACGCAGAAAAGCTTGACTGAACCTAAGTGCTCTTTATAAGTACCACTGTCACTGGGATAATAAACATTCCCCCAGCCAAAGCCAATGAGATGTTTACTCTAGTACATTTGTGGGCTCCTATTACTTATACTGCTCAAGATGTTTATTTAACAAAAGTCATGCTTTAAAACAACAGGGGTAATGGAATTTAAGAACTGTATTTTCAAGGACTTGATTTATTCAGCAGCGTGACTTTTTTTCTCTGTTTTTTAAAATAGTTGTTCCGGAGCATCCTAAAACTCAATGTGAGCATCACAGAGACAGTATCCAGACCACCAGTCCAGAAGGGTACCCTATCACTGGAGCCTATGTACCCCAATGTGATGCGAATGGAGCTTACCTTCCCCAACAGGTACGCATTTGTCTTTATTAAATTGACTGTTGTGAGCTTTAAGCCATGTTATAATGCTGTTACCTCATCAAAAACATACCCGGAGCTCTGTTTTGTTGCATTCACACAATTTAGAAATCCTTTATTATTAGTCTGTCTGTCTCCAAAGCTCAAAATGCTGTGTTCCATTTGTTTAGTAGAGATTGGCTATTCAAGGGCTGAAATTATCCAAGTGAATCTAGTGAAGGTGTATGGAGTTTAAAAACACAGTGGAGCATTCCCTTATTACCAAATTACATTGCAAGGTGGAGGGTTTTCAGTTTGAGAGAAAAATAAGCAGGAATATATGTTAAACATGTGAATGATACAAAACAAAAACTCCAGGTATGTTTTGATGAGGAAACGACATTATAACATAGATGAGAAAATAGCATTCTTTTTTTTTTTTTGTTGCCTTATCACCCACACCCAATACTTCAACTTCAACTAATGTTTATCTTCGTCTGCTCCAGTGCCATGGTTCTATTGGATATTGCTGGTGTGTGGACAGTTTGGGACAAGAGAGACCAGGCACAAGGACAGGACCTGGGACGTCTTCTGTGGACTGCTCCAAACCAGATGAATCAGCACGTCCCAAAACTCACTGTGAACACCACAGAGACAGCGTCCAGACCACCAGTCCAGAGGGGTACCCCATACTCGGAGCCTATGTACCCCAATGTGACGGTAACGGGCAATACAATCCTCTGCAGGTTAGCTCTGAAAATAACTTTTGATCCTTATGGTTTTAAAATATTAAGAGTTAACATTTTGTTTTGTTTTTGCAGTGTCATGGGTCAACTGGGCATTGCTGGTGCGTGGATAGCACTGGACAGGAGCGACCAGGCACAAGGACCCCTCCAGGTTCACCACCTGTAGATTGTGACAGGCCAGGTATGACTGAAACAGTATTAAAATTATTGGACAATCTGTTCACACTGTTAATATATAACAAAAAATATAATACTGTTTGCAGTTGAGTCAGTTTATAAAGTTAGTTTATAAAAATGCATGTGTCATTATGCTAAGCTTCATTATCTTAACTGTGAAAAAGTAGGCTTTTATTGATATGTGCTATTTTTTTTATCATTCTAGTTGAACCCACTCGCCCCAAAACTCACTGTGAGCACCACAGAGACAGTGCACAGACCACTACACCTGAGGGCCATCCTGCCATAGGAGCCTATGTCCCACAGTGTGACGAGAATGGACAGTACTTATCTCAACAGGTAATAAGAATATGTTAAAATGTTTGTATTTTATTTCTTTTTATCTAGAAATGGCTTAATTTTTTTGTACTTTTCAGTGCCATGGTTCTACAGGACATTGTTGGTGTGTGGACAGCACAGGACAGGAAAGACCAGACACCAGGAGTTCACCTGGATCACCAAGAGTAGACTGTGACCGACCAGGTACAAAAATATTTTCCTGTGTACTTTTGATGTCTTTGTTTAATAGCACAAAATTAGAACTACAAACTTTGAATTGTTTATAGATGATTGTGTCATGATTCTAGTTGAACCAACAATGCATGTGTTATTATGCTAAGCGTCATTATTAACTGTAAAAAAATTGGCTTTTATTGATATGTGCTATTTTTTATTGTTTTAGTTGAACCCACTCACCCCAAAACTCTCTGCGAGCACCACCGAGACAGTGTGCAGACCACTACACCTGAGGGCCATCCTGTGGTAGGAGCCTATGTCCCACAGTGTGATGAAAATGGACAGTACTTGCCTAAACAGGTAACATAAAAATTTTACATTAAAATTCTATGTTAAGAAATTCTCAAATGAATGTTTTTATCTGTTTCAGTGCCATGGGTCTACAGGCCACTGCTGGTGTGTGGACAGCACAGGACAGGAGAAACCTGGAACCAGGAGCTCCCCTGGAACACCACGAGTAAACTGTGAGCAAGCAGGTATAAAAAAGGACTTTGAACACACATTACGTAAAAATAATAAAATGTACTGTAAAATTTTATTTAAATTAATGAATCAATATCATCTGATTTTAGTTGAACCAACTCGTCCTAAAACTCACTGTGAGCACCACAGAGACAGTGTCCAGACCACTTCACCTGAGGGCCATCCTGTGGTAGGAGCCTATGTCCCACAGTGTGACGAGAATGGACAGTACTTATCTCAGCAGGTATCATTATAGCTACATTTCATTTCCATTGGTCTAGAAATTCCCAAAGTAAATATTCTTGCCCTTTTCAGTGTCATGGTTCTACGGGACATTGCTGGTGTGTGGATAGCACAGGACAGGAGCGATCAGGCACCAGGACCTCACCTGGAACACCCCGAGTAGACTGTGACCGACCAGGTAAAAGAAAAGATTTTCACTATACTGCACTTTTGTTTGTTTAAAAATGGCATAAAAATGTAAACTGCAGTGTTATAATACTTTTTGTTTTACCACTTAATATAATTCCAGTTGAACCAACCCGCCCTAAAACTCACTGTGAGCACCACCGAGACAATGTTCAGACCACTTCACCTGAGGGCCATCCTGTGGTAGGAGCCTATGTCCCCCAATGTGACGAGAATGGACAGTACTTATCTCAACAGGTAACATGAGAGTTTATAATAAATTGTTTATGTCAAGTAATTCTCAACTAACATTTTTGTCCCTTTCAGTGCCATGGGTCCACAGGACATTGTTGGTGTGTGGACAGCACTGGACAGGAGAGACCGGGCACCAGGAGCTCACCTGGATCACCACGAGTAGACTGTGATCGGCCAGGTAAACTTTGGATATATATAACTTACGTAAAAATATAACAAAACATATTGTTTACAAAGTTGTATGTTTTATTTATTCAATGCATTCATGTTATATAATGCTAGTTGAACCAAATAATAAATAAATAATTAACTGTACTGTAAAGTTTTATATAAATTAATGAATCAATATCATATGGTTTTAGTTGAACCAACTCGCCCTAAAACTCACTGTGAGCACCACAGAGACAGTGTCCAGACCACTACACCTGAGGGCCAGCCTCTGGTAGGAGCCTATATCCCCCAATGTGACGAGAATGGACAGTACTTATCTCAACAGGTACAAAAAAAACAACAAAATTATGTAAGATTTATCCAAACAATTCTAATAAACCATTCCCAATTATATCAGTGCCATGGTTCTACGGGGCATTGCTGGTGCGTGGACAGTACAGGACAGGAGCGATCAGGCACCAGGAGCTCACCTGGATCACCACGAGTAGACTGCTCCAAACCAGATCAACCTCAACGTCCAAAAACCTACTGTGAGCACCATAGAGACAGTGTCCAGACCACCAGCCCAGAGGGGTACCCCATACTCAAAGCTTATGTACCCCAATGCGATGAAGAGGGACAGTACATACCCCAACAAGTAAGATTAGAAAGTAAAATGTTACTGTAAAATGTGTTAGTTGCCATAGTTATAATGTATATTTTGCCTTGTGTTACAGTGCGATGGCTCCACTGGGCATTGCTGGTGTGTGGACAGTACAGGACAAGAAAAAGCTGGATCTAGGACAGGGCCTGGTGTAACCCCTAAAGACTGTAGCAAACCTGGTAAGACTTTTACAAAACTCCACGTCCTAAAAAACCCTCTTAGTTCAAATATACAAGTTTGTTTGACTTGCTCTAATTAAAACATGCTGTAATTGAAACAACGCGTGTGTTCTCCCCAGTTGAACAAACTCACTGTGAATATCACAGAGACAGTGTCCAGTCCAACTCAGGGGGACGACCTATGATAGGGGCCTATGTTCCACAATGTGATGCCGATGGACAGTACCTCCCCAAACAGGTATGAATGTTCATTGTGTATCTATTTATTATTGATACTTTGCAGCTGATTTCATTAACATTATCTGGGGGTGTGATGCTAACTGCAGGTATTGCTTTGTCCAGATTATTCAAGTTAGACTTGTGCATTGTGTCACCATGTTAATTGCTTAACATTCATTCACATAGAAGGAGATATTGAAACCCCCCAGTATGATGTCTCTGGAAAGTATCAATAATAATGTATAGCTATATGGTTATAATTTGTTGTTTATTTTATTTTAGTGCCATGGCTCCTCTGGACATTGCTGGTGTGTGGACATCAATGGACGAGAGAGGGCAGGGACCAGAACTCCACCGGGCAGTCCTCCCATAGACTGCAATAGACCAGGTACTAAATCATTCTTATAAGACAATTTATTACTATTATATGCCTTATAAACACTCATGAGGTTAAAATGAAAAGTCAAGGAAAGTTTACATATGATTTTAGAAAATACAGTTTGAAAGAGTTGTGCATTGTTGAAGAAATACTCCCTAATCCCTATTTTTTTTGACTTTTTTGCAATCATATTTGTAATGATATTTAGTTATGCTAACGATCCTAATTTTTCACACTCTTGAATTAATGGTGGAAACCTATATAATGTATACATTTCAGTTTTTGCATGGTTTAGTGTACAATTAACACCGAAAATTCAGAATATTCTATTAAGGAAAAACATGTACAAAACATGAAATTAACAGGATTAAATTTAAGGTTTACTCAACTATATTCATGACTTTGAAGAGCTTTTCCCACCCTGGCTTTAAGACCCATTTGCCCTCTCGCTACTCTCTAAACCTACCTATAAATCGTGTTTATGATGGCCCCAAACATCTGAAGAGGTCATTTCGTAGCCTGGCAACCCCCTCCAATACAAAGCACAAGCATTTCTGCACAGCTGAGCAGCTACACAGTGTTACGCCCACCTCACACATGCCAGGCAGACATAAACAGGACATGCACACTGCACTGTTAATCCTGTACTGTCCACCTACAAGAGCTTTGATTAGATTTTAGGGCTAGTTTCATTTCATTCAAGTCTGCAGTTTCAGTCCTTAATCTTACTTGCTTACTCCAACCGCACACTTCTGTTCCACTCCACGATTACTTAAACCCACAGTGTCTTTGATGAGTGCTGCATGTAAACTTTATGAGGAAATGTACAAATGCTCTGCTTATTTGAAATGTAAACTGGAAATGGCAGGTTTCCCTTTATAAAGTTGGAATAGTACGCGGTGTCACTGTGTCATTTCATCAAAACGTTCCGGATATAAAATTCCCATTTATTTATTCCATAGACTTTCAACTAATGTATTAATTAAAGGGCCCATATTATGTGACTTTGGGGTGATTAAAGGGCCCATATTATATGATTTTCTGATCCATGTTGTTTTTATAATCACAAACATACCCGGAGTTGTGTTTTGTTTCATTCACACGTTTAACACTCAAATCCTACATTTTTAGTTTTTCTCTCAAACTGGAAACACTCTGTTCCACCTTGTGATGTCATGTGGTAATAAACGAAGTGCTCCTCTGTGTCTTTAAACTCCATATTTGAATCATATGAATAATTTACAGCCCAGGAATTGCCAAGATAAATGGTAGCTGTTAACTTGTAAATTGCCATTTCATGACATCACAAGGTGGAACAGACTCAAAAAACAAGAAAAGATTAATCATGGCAAATTAATCATTGTCATTTTGCCTGGCCTCATCTGACTCGTATGCTGCTGCAGTGTCATTTGAAACCTTGCAGTAAATGTTTATATAAGTGTCGTAAGTAAATTGTCTGATAAATTTGCCTTCCAGTGCCAGTCGCCCCCACTCAGCGCCCCGAGAGTGTGTGCGAGCGCTGGAGAGCCAGTTTGATTGAACATTATGGAGGAAAACCAGAGCCACAACAATATTTACCTCAATGTGAACCAGACGGACAGTTCAGGTACACACAAGACCATATTACACAGCATATTGCATTTTACAATACATTGAAGGTGCACTGTGCAACTTTTCTGTCTCCATGGAGATGTTAATGCTTTGTCTAGAGTGTTTCATGGTATGACTTTGAACATTTCCATCAGGATTTATTCATTACAGGTGTTTGTATTGCTCAAAAATACAAAAAATTTTATTAAGAGCAACTCTACACAGATCTGACTTGTAATGTAGCATATTGCTGTAACCTGCTTGTCTCCCTTGTGATAGGTAGGTTTAATACTGTGGAACATTCTAGATAAAGCAATTTTCCATGGAAATCAGGCGGCAGACGCTTCACTAGAAATGTTACGCAGTGCACCTTTAAGTTTGTTTTACATACTAGTATATTTACATTAGATTCTCATACCTCTCTGTCTCGTAGCCCTGTGCAGTGTTATGGGGAGACCACTTACTGTTGGTGTGTGGACCAAGATGGACGAGAAGTTCCTGGCACCAGATCTCATGATGTTGTTAAACCAGCATGTAGGTATCTTTAAGTCTAAAACATTGTGTCTCAAAATGTGTTAAATGAGTGTCTCCCTCCATCCCTTATATTTCCTAATATTTAAATGTATAGTATTTTTGTGAATTTTGCACTTTTTGGCTGGTTATTTACTTATAATTTAAATTTTTCTTATCCCAGGCCTTCCCTCTGTGGCTCCGCCCACTGTGCGCCCCATACCCCGCCCAAATGTCACCCCCCCACCGGATGCTGAGGTCACGCTGCTGTATGCTCAGGGACAGAAAATCGGAGCACTGCCTTTGGATGGGACCAAACTGGACACTAACCGCTCCAAAACACTACTGACTTTACACGTATGATTCAAGTTTTACTCTAACCATTTTATATTATTGCACTGACTTGTATATTAAAGTTGCACTATGTAACTTTTTGGTTGGGGGTCCGTCACCTGCTGGTTTCTATGGATATGTCATTGCTCAGTCTGGAATGTTCCTCAGTGGGACATTAAACAGCTCTAGCTTACATTTACTCAATTGCAGATGGTTTTATAGCTCAAAAATAGTTATAAAAACAGGCATTCTGACTGTGAGCGATGTGTGTGCCTCTCCACAGATCTGACCTGTAACTTAGTCTGGTTTGGTTTCCATGAAGATAGAAAGATGTAATACTATACTGTGAAAGATTCCAGACAAAGCAATAACATCTCCATGGAGAAAAGCATCTGACAGACCCTCCATCAGAAAAGTTACACAATGCACCTTTAAAATGTATGTATGATTGTTTGTGTGTTGTAGGGCTCTATAGTTGTCGGTATTGCCTATGACTGCAAAGAAAACCAGGTTTATTGGACTGATCTGTCTGCACGGACCATCAACAGAGCCATGCTTCCTGGAGCTGAGCCAGAGATCCTCATTGGCTCAAGTAAGAACTTTTCTTTACTATGCTTATATTTTTTTCTTAATTGTAGACTTGAATTCACAAAAAAATTATTAACACTATTAATAAATTTTCATGCATATCATTTACAGTATTGTTCAATCAAATGCATATCATTTACAGTATTGTTCAATCAAATGTCTGTTTATGTAAGATAATAATGATAATTATAATTTATTCAGAACAGGGCAGTAAACAGAGGGGGACAAATGGGTTAGTTGTCCCAGGCGCCCAGAGTTTAAGGGGCCCAGAATTGGACCCTCTTCCTATGGAAGGGGGGGCTTGTGAGTTTTTTTACTCCGGGGCCCCAGACTTCTGTCGACAGGCCTGATGCAGAATGTTTTTAGATGATTATTTATTATTGCATCATTTTCTTATCATTACTATAGCAACTTATATTAAGTATTGGTTATAAATTCATGGATGATTTTTCTAAAGACGCACTATGTAACTTTTCTTGTCTCCATGGAGGTGTTATTGCTTTTTCTTGGATTTTTCCACAGTATGGTATCTTCCATCTATTAGGTTGGTGCTTTTATTGCTCAAAATGCCTTGGAAAATCATGCCTACTCGTCTTCACAGAGATAGACAGGTTAAATGCCATACAGTGGGACATTCTAGACAAAGCAATACTGTTTCCATGTAGGCAAGTCAGTTGCAGACCCTCCACCAAAAACATTACACAGTGCACCTTTGACCCTATAAACAATTTAAACTACTATTTATCTCTATATAGACAATAACAATGCAATTTATCTAATGTATTTTTTTGTTTTTGTGTGTCAGATCTGGTCAGTCCAGAGGGTCTGGCTGTGGATTCTCAACGCAGGAGGATGTTCTGGGTTGACTCGTCTCCAGATCTGATCGAGACCTCCAACCTGGATGGTACCGGACGAAGGACCCTTTTCGACACAAATCTGGTCAACCCCAGAGCCATTATAGTGGTCCCCTCCAGCGGGTAAAAACCTCTCTCTACATCTGGCCTGCCTTTACCGCACAATTTCCCTTGTTTACATTTGAGTAACACGTTTTTCCCAGCAATTTCTTGGCAGTGAAATATACAAAACCAAATTTCGTCCAATTATGTGTAAATGATTTAAGGATTTCAGCCAGGGAGGAAAGGCATGCCTTACTGTACACTTACTCACAAGATCACATCTGTTCCACCCTCTTTGCTGGCAATTTACAACCTGTATAAGAACATGCTAAAGCCATTTCTTAGATTTTTGTTGAGTCTGGTGTCTGGACTGTTCCATCTAAATATGACCATGTCAAGACAAATCATTATAAAATGTGAAAAATATGTGTTTGAGGATCAGAATATCCATCTGTTGACATATGTTTACAACTTACTCACAGCACTCTAGAAAGTAGAAAACTGTTTTGAATTTATTAGCGCTATTAATAAATTCAATCATACAGTCATACCAAAGACACACACAAACACACACACACATGTTGGAATTTCCATGCTTTTTGGAGACATTACATTGACTTACATTAATATTGTGAAGAATAATTCTAACCATACACATAGTTATAGTTTTAACCTAAATCTAAACCTATTTTAACCCAAGCTCTAACTTTAAAGGCTATGTAACTTTTTGTTTGGGACACTTGCTTGTTTCTGTGGAGATGTCATTGCTCTGCCTTGAATGTTCCACAGTATGACATTAAACCACTCTACCTTACATTTAGTCAATTGCAGGTGGTCAGGTAGTCTAAAAATACCTAGAAAAAAAGGCATTCTGGCTGTGAGCGTGGTTGCCTCTCCACAGATCTGGTCCGTAACTGTCTCATTTGATCTCCATGAAGATAGAAAGGTATAATACCATACTGTGAAACATTCCAGACAAAGCAATGATATGTCCATGGAGCATTTTAAGGACCCTTCATCATAGAAGTTACACAATGCACCTTTAAACTATGTTGTTAATCTAATAATTTACGGGTTACATCATGGGAACCTGATTTTTGTCCTCATAAGGTAGGCAGGTTAGCATAAACTGAGTGCATACACAGATATTAGGCTCCACATTGTGATAAACACCCATCCAAAGTGAATACTAGAGTCCAGCATTGGTCATCTCTCCAAGAAACCCATCTGCTTTCTATCATTGCAAATACATAATACATGGAGTGCATAAGTGGCTCATACAAATGATTAAAGAGAGCGGTGATAACTTTGTGACGTGTGGTTGGCGTTATTGCTTTGACAGTTTGCAGTTTATTTTCTGTCTGAAGGCCAGGTTTATGTGTACTTTGTCTTTTGTCAGAAAGCCAAGTCTTTAAGGTAATTAGGCCTTTACACGAGTACACTCAGAATGAACTGTTAAACGCCATGTAGTTCTAAGCCTCCACATGTCTTAAATTGAAGCCACATAACAGGCAAATAGCACACTTGAGTAAGAGTTTATAAAAAATATTCTTGAATGTAATGGTATGGGAATATAATGGTATTTGTCTACATTAAAGCAGACTTGTTATTCAAAATGGACTTTTCAGTGGATTTTCAGTGGTACTAACTTCGGCAACATTGTGTAATCATTTTGGTACAAATTTGTAAAAATCTGCAGCTTGCTTGCATGATCTGCAGCTATCTATTGGAGGTGTGCCATAGTACTAGAGCCTGACCGATATGGATTTTGTTGTGGCCGATATGAAACGGATATAATGGGAGTTGGAGCTGCCGATAGCCGATATATTTGCCGATATATTTAGTGATGAAAAAATTCACTGTAAATCTTGAATTGTTTAAAAAACTTAGGTTTGGCTCTAGTGGATTCTAAATTGGGTTTATTTAGGCAACATTTATTGTTGTTCTGACTCTTTACATAATATTTACATACAGTAGATTGGCCTAATGGCATTTTTGCATCACATTCTAGCTACTAGCGATGGGTATTCCAGTTTTTTTTGGAAAACCAGCTCTTTTGGCTCGGCTCACTAAAGCAGCTGGCTCTTTCGGCTCCCAAGCGACTCTTGAGATTGTTTTGTTGCAAGCAAGACTAAACCAGAACTGAACCAGGACTGAAAAAGGACTAAACCCGGACTAAAACAGATTTAAACCATGTGTGAAACAGGACTAAATCAGAACTTAACCAGGTCTGAGTGTCGGGACTCGGTTTCTATCTCTCTCCTTCACTCGAGCCCAAGATTAGTCCTGGTTTATTCATTTTATGCTGAACTGCAGCCAAATATGCACTTTTATTTTTTTATCCTATGCACACGCAGATTTCTGAAAGTTTAGTTTTCAGCCGCTGCTGCTGTCAAACTACGGGTCTACATGCGGCTTGAAGAGAAAAAGTGAGAAAAAGCGAAAACACGGCTCCCAATGAGAAAACATGCTCCCGTTGTTCGCTCTAAGAGCCGCTTCGATCGCGACCGACCCATCACTACTAGCTAGTAAATAAACTACCGCTATTAGCCTTTAGCCGTGCGCGCCGCGGTAATTAATTATATGCATAAATGTGGATCATTCACACGTCTATTCACAGCTCATTTACTTACATATCAATGCAGGTTCAGTAACAAATATACGGCCAATATAGTCACTTTACAATAGACCAATAGAAAACAGCCTGTTTATGTGTGGGAGCTACAGCAGCTAATCGCTAACAAAACCTAAACTAGCTTCAAAGTCGATGTATTTCTAACACTCACCGCTCACACAGGCTCCTCCTCACATCACAAGTCAGCACTAATAAATGTCCTTTTAATCCAGACTCAAACCGATTGTCCGTAAAAAGAATATAAACTCAGTGTTGCGCACCGCTGCGGGTGTAAACAAACACACGTGAGTGAAGTGACGTCACTCTGGGGGTGTGTTCAGGGACAGTACGGACACAGACACAGATAAATTAAACCGCAGATAAATACTGATGCGGAGCCACATATGAGGACATTTATCTGTGTGTAAATTGGATTAAATGAACATAATGTAGAGAGTCTAAGCTTTATAACGAGGTATAACATGCCCACGTGAAATATCGGCCCATATCAGCGAGCATATCGGCCGATAGCCGATATGTCTCCAGGTGCCCATATTGGCCGATAATATTGGCCAGCCGATATCGGTCGGGCTCTACATAGTACATCTTTAAGATAATTTCAATGCTTAGATTTCCTTCACTATCACCATATTTTAACAGACTTATCCTCATTTCACCAGCAGGGGGTGATCATGATTCCACTAAACAGAATTGAAAGTTACGTAATGATTGCTAAGTTAGACTTGGACTTAGACGTAGACAATCTTATTGATCCACAAGGGAAATTATTTGAACACAGTAGCTCACACATCATAATATAATCAAATATAATAACAAAAGAGCAAAAATATAAATGGAAATAACAAATTCAAAATAAGTGTCAAAAATAGCTAGGGATAGAGAGTAAAAATAAAATATAGTAATATAGTAATACAACCTATATCTGGCTATATTCAAGAGGTCATAAGGAGAAACAGTTCGAAGATGAAATAGTGATTGAAATGACAGAGGGTTATCTATTACATAAGGATGAGTTGATGGAGTATGGTACGTATGCAGTCCTCCTGTATCTCTCACTGTTGGCAGAGCTGTAGTGAGAGATACAGGATTACGTTCATACCATACTAATATACTTAAAATAATTCCTGTCGGTCAAAAAGAGTAAAGAAATATCCCCTTTATTCATGACTCTTGCCCGGTCTGACCGTCTCTCTTACAGTTGATTTTTCATGTGGAGTGTATTACCTGCTTCTCCCAGGGGACAGCCCATATGTGCACCATCTTCTGCACATGACACACATGGTACAGCCCACACACACTTTAGCCTCCAGCTCCGCCAATTGTATGCTTCTTCGAAAGTCCGGGAAACCCAACCCAAAACATGAAATGCATCTATCATACACCTTTCATAATGTATGCAGATGAAACAGTATACGAGGGAGAGGAGAGGAGGGGTCATAGGTCGCATGTTGCTTAGGGTAACCTGACCGTGACCTCATCAGCATGAGACAGCTGGTCCCATGTGCTCCATGCTCTAGCACACGTATGTGGTCACATGTGGAAGTGTGTGGTTTTCCTGTTGTCTTTTTGTATTAGCGAGATCTGGGAAGGTGCTTCAAAACATGTCACCTGGAGTCAAAGTGAAAAATGAGGTTGAGACAATAAACACTAATGTCCAGATGAATTGGTATTTTATGTCTCCAGTGCTCAAAATGCTCTGTTCCATCTTATGAAGCAGCAGTTTTCCACTACTAACGTCTAATACTACTACTGCCATTGTACTTGAGAGTTATCAGTACACATCCTTAGTGTTTTAATGGTTACAAAAAGCTGATTCCTGATACTGGATTAATATGTGTTCTTATATCATTAAATACCCATGTTTATATATTTACTACATACATATTAACATTGTTTCCAGGACCTTGTATTGGACTGACTGGAACCGCGAGGCTCCAAAGATTGAGACAGCTTCAGTGGAGGGAAAGAACCGCAGAGTGGTGGTATCAGATGGGATCGGTTTACCCAATGCCCTCACCTATGACTCCTCCACAGGGCAGGTCTGCTGGGCTGATGCAGGTAAACAAAACAAAAGACACTACTATCTTCTATAACGTGCAGATTAATATACTGGTATATTTATTTGAAGGTCCTGTGTTACACAAAATTGACTCTTGTGAGCTTTTAGTCATGTTGTAATGTTGTTACCTTCTCAAAAATATACCTTTAGTTGTGTTTTGTTTCATTCACACGTTTGAGTAGTCCTTTATAATTTGTCTGTCTACATCTCCAAAACAAGAGAACAACATAAATATGCAGGGTTTGTGTGTTAAACATGAATGAAACAAAACACAACTCCAGATACATTTGTAATGAGGAAACAGCAGAAGGAAAAAACCTATGAATCTATACTTTTTTGTGTGTTTTAGGTACAAAGCGTTTGGAGTGCATATATCCAGATGGGTCCGGTCGTAAAGTGGTCCATCCCAACCTCAACTACCCCTTCAGCATGGTTTACTACAGACAACACTTTTATTACACAGACTGGAGAAGGTATGAACATTTCTTATACTTTCTACTACCAATACTACGCAATAACAAATTCAGAAGTACGATATATTGTCGTACTAAATATAAAAGATAAATGATAATATTGAAACCATAAAGCAGAATTATCCCTCAAAAAGTATTCTGAATATTACAATATTGTTAAAAAACATATGAGCTGCAGTAAATACATAACCGAATGAAATACTTTAGTTGTTAGTTTGTATCATAGAAATCATTTATTCAACCTACTTCACCTCAAATATTATCATAACACATAAAAATAATCAAAATGTTCCCACTAGTACAAACATAACCAATACTGACCCTTAAAAATGATCTATCATGTAATGAACAATAAATCAATATAGTATTTATCATGACATGACATGACATTGTTATTAATCATGCATTTGCTTTTTACAGGGATGGGGTGATCACAGTGAACAAAGAGACCAATAAGCTGACAGATGAGTATCTACCAGAGCAGCGTTCTCATCTGTATGGAATTGCCATAGCCTCAACCCAGTGTTTATCAGGTAAGAGCTTTTTACATAAGAGTTGGTGCTAGATCGTATGCTCCGGAGAGATGGTTTAGTGTGTAGGGTTTGGAAATATGTTATGGGTATGTTTATGATTTTGAAATGGTTAAGGTTTGGTTTATATAAGTTTAAGGCCAAGGAAAGCTCTTCTGTCCCTCCCAAACTGACTTACGAGCACTAAGCTTCACATAAGAGTGCATTTCTTGATTTGATAACTCTCTGATCTTTACTGCCCTCTGTTGGTTAGTGTGAACATTGTACCAGCAGACACTACGGTATTTCAACAAAAAGTGAAAACCCCAAAGGTCAAAAAACGACTGTGTTCCATACTGGGTTAGCTGTAATAGTGTATGATTAAGAAGTCTGTATTAATTTTCTGTAATAATTTGGAAACTTTTACGTAGCTTAATCTACCAAGCTGAGCCCTCAATAAGAGGCTTAAAGTAAATCTATGCTGGTAGTCATTGCCTATATAAAAGAGGCTATAGTTCAGCTGTAGATTCTTGCCTTATGTTTATTGCTTTGCCTGAAATGTTCCACTGTATGGCATAAAACATATCTTTCTTATATTTCTTCAATTACGGGTGTTTTTTTGGGTTTTTTTTGCTATAGTAATACCATAATAATAATAAGCTAAGCTGCTCTTTATCTCTAGGGAGGTTGAATGCCATATTGTGAAACATTCCAGGCTAATTGACATCATCGCTATGGAGACAAGGCCTGCCGAAATGTTACTTAGTGCATCTAACAGCAATGCTTTTTAATTATAAATCTAATCATTGTATCTTGTTATAAAGTAAAAGTACTGTATTTAAGTATATATTTTAGATATCTGTACTTTTCTTAAGTACATGGATACTTTTTACTTTTACTTTATTACATTTGAGCAGGTATGTGTACTTTCTGCCCCACTACATTATTGAATTGCACTGAAAAGTGAAAGTGTTTTTTTTATTATTGTTTAAAACCTGCTAAAAAGGCTGAGGGTTTATTTTTAACACATATGTAGTTTGAGAAACCAAAAATATAACAACAAATATACAAATAACCAAAATCAAAATCACTACTTTTGAAGCTGCAAAATACTTTTACATTTTATTCTTTAATACATTTTAAATATGTTTTTTTACTTAGATTTTTTCATGTAATACTTTTACTTGAGTTTTTCTGTCTTTTTTTTTTTTTTTTTTGCTTCAGTATCTGTACTTTAACTTACGTAACAAAACTGAGTACTTCTTCCACCATTGGTAAAAAAGCATAGCATCACTGTGGTTTGTATTGTTTGGAGAATTCTGAATAGTCCAAAACAGTCATCAAACAGCTGGGACCCTCTGCAGTATCCAGCTTTAGCGACTTCTCATCCTACCGCCGCATAGACACAAGTACAATAATTACACCGCTAACATCATGCGTATAAGTAAAACACATAAGTGCAGTCCTCTCTACTTGTACTTTTTGTGTGAAGTGTTGAAGTCTACAGATGTCTGTCCACTTTGCTCCTTTTAACTACAAAGTGCTTCACTGAACACACTATAATCCCCAAAGCGGCACCTTGGATTAGTGTCATTGTCAAACAACCTCACACATACACGCCAAGTCTTATCTCAACATCATGACAGATACCACAGTAGGAATTGTGATAATTGGTGTATAAATTTAAAGGTCCTGTATTACACAAAATTGATTCTTGTGAGCTTTTAGCCATGTTATAATGCTGTTATATCCTCAAAACATACCTGGAGTTGTGTTTTGCTTCATTCACCTATGTTTGAGTAACCCTTGTGATGTTATGTAGTGGTAGTTTAGTTCAGTAAGGATTGGCAATTCCAGAGCGAAAATTATCCAAATGATTTTAGTGAAGGTGTTTGGAGTTTAAGAACACTGTGGAGCACTTCCTGTATTACCATGTGACATCACAAGGTGGAACTTGTGTTTTTTGTTTGCAAGAAGAACTCCTAAATACACAGGATTTGTGTGTTAAACGTGTGAAAGCAACAAAACACAATTCCAGGTGTGTTTGTGATGTGGAAACAGCATTAAAACATAGATAAGAAAATATAATATGTCACTTTAAAAGTTACAGGATTCAATAAAAGCTATATACAAGTGTTACGTTAGCTGGAAGAACGGAAAAGCTCAGTGGACTTCAAAGTCATTCTGTGGTCTAATTCGTACCTTGATGACAGGTCTAAAACATAAGGGCTTGGAATGGCTTGTCAAAGACTTAAAAGGTATTATTTCTGAAGACTGGGACAATACTGAAGAAAAGGGGTGTATGTGTGTGCTTTCTCATTATCGCAGGTGGAAAAAACTAAAAGACAGTACTTGGTGATTCAAAGTGACATTATTGCCATTACTAGCGTCTATAATGACCTCTACCACAATGTAAATCTGCTGTTCTGTACAACTTCCACTTCTGTTTCCTCCAGTGATGTAAGGTAACACAGTAAAAGTAGTAAATACTGTACTTAAGTACAGTTTTAGAATAGATACTTTTTACTTCTACTTCACTACTACACTACACTACAGCAGGTATCTGTACTTTCTACTCCACTACATCTGGACAGCACTGAAAAGTAAACGTATTTTTATTATTGGGTGCTGAAACTGCTGAAAAGGAGGGGGGTTTATTTTGAACATGTTCATAATTTGAGTAAGAAATAGCAGAAATATAACAGCAACAAATAAAAACAACAAAAAATATGTTCAGTTGTTTCTACTAACAAAATGCAACACAAATCTGTATCAGAATCATTTCACTAAGCTTTATCTCAAGATCTCAAAATCTGCACAAAATACTTCTTTTTACTATTTTGTTACTTAAGTAGATTTTTTCATGGGATACTTAAGTAAAAGTACAGATATCAGAGCAAAAAAAAAAACTCAAGTGACAAACTACAAACTAACAACTACTACTACTACAGCTCTTATGTTTTATTACCACTCTGCTTCTAACCCATTTTGCCTAAGTTTAAGGTGCATTGTATAACTTTTCTGGTGGAGGGTCCGTCAAATGCTTTTCTTCATGCAGATGTTATTATTCTGTCTGGAACGTTTCAAAGTATGGCATTAAACCTTTCTATCATCAAACCAGACCAAGTTACAGATCAGATCTGTGGAGAGGCAACCCCGCTCACAGTCAGAATGCCTGCTTTTCTAGGGATTTTTGAGCAATAATACCGCCTGTAATTTAATAAATGTAAGAAAGAGCTCTTTAAAGTCATACTGTGTAACATTCCAGGCAGAGCAATGATATATCCGTGGAAACAGTCAGGTGACAGACAACCAAAAAGTTACAAAGTGCACTGAAATACTTAAATTTGAGCAGGGCATACCTCAACTGGATTATTCTCTATTTCGCAGGGATCCACTAACGCTGGCTTTGTGGTTACTCCATTGGTGCTACAGTTGGGTGACGTCTCCAGGTGGAAGGGCAGCCCGGGCACAGAGGCAGTGCCCAGTGCAGCTTAGAAGGACTTTTTGAAGGAAGCAAGGAGGCTTCCGATGCCCGCTTGACCGTCACAGCAGTTTTACAAAACCCTCTGAATCTGAATCCACTCACCCCTATTCTCGTCTCGAAGATATAACCCCCAATATGTTTTGTAAATTTGTTTTATACCTCAATTCTTAGCTTTTTTTCTACTGTATTTTTGTACTTGAGTTGTTTTAGATTTTATACCAATTACAGAAAGTGTTATTTTCAGAAATTAAGACAAAATGTGTACCATTGATGATGCAGTATAATACAAAGTAAAAAGAGATGAATTAGTTGTTAAATATGACCTATGCAGTTCTATTGTCAGAACAGTCTCAAAAGTAATAGTTATTGATAAGTGATTTTCAATGAATAGTTTGAACAGCGTTGCCTTGTCATTTTCCTGCACTGCTTTTGTATAATTTCACACATTTTGAAGTGTTGTTTGCCAAATTAAATACCAAATATTTTCGACATTTCCCCAGATAACATTTTTATAAGATGTAATATTTATAACAATAAAATGTGACTTGGTAATTCAAGTTGCAGTTTTATTACATTTTGACTCATGTTCTTTTCTTCCCACTGTCTTATGTTTTTCCTCATGTGTTTGATTTTTTTTTTTTTTTACTTCTCAGAGGCTATTTTATTGTTGAGTGAGACCAACATAGAGACCAACAAGCTGAGCAAAAGTAGTGCAGATTTAACATGTCTATAGATATTTCTTTTTAATGATGCGTAAAGGTGCAATGTGTAACTTTTCAGGTGCAGGTTCCATCACCATAACCAATGCAGGACACTTTAATTGCCTTTTAATCAGCCCTAAAACCATCTTACTAAAACTAAACCAAGATATTGTTCAAGGCATGGTACTTTTTATTTACATGGAAATAACATACTTCCAATCAGTGACATACAATTGTACTTTCAAAGTCCACCCATTTTATATTTTTGTAAGTAATTCAAACCAAATGAAATGTAAAAATCATTCCAATATGCATCCAAATAAACAGTAGTGCTAATATGCAACAAGACCTTAAGTGGGGTCGGAAGACATGGCAATTGTAGATTAGCCAAGATTTTATTTCAATATTATTTTTAGTGTGAGGTGTAGAAATGTACATGGGATACCTGGATGCTGCACGGTTACTATGCTAAGGAGTAGCAAAGACAAAATGACATAACCGATGAATAATATGTGAAGAAGAAACTACAAGAGAACTAGTATAAGCAACTGTCACTTCAACGTTGATATTTTGTTGTAAACTTAAACTGTTGCTGTACAAAACAATTTGGCATGAACAAAAAAGAGAAATTTAAAGAAATCAAACTTCTCTTCCTGTCCTTTTGAATTATCATACACACACAGGGGCCCCTTGGTCTCATCTGCCCACCTTGCCCAGGCGGTGGTCAGTCTTGGGGTCAGCGATGATGGCCTGGACAGCAACTATGGCTTCATTGATCTTTGTCTGCAGCTCTCTCAGCTCCTCGATGTGCAGCAGACGCAAGATTTGGGCTGCTTCATTTAGAGTTGCATCTTGAAAAAAAAGGTACAAGAAATATGTTTGAGTATTGATAGGAGTATGGCTTAACGGCGCACTATAACTTTTTGGTTGGGGTTCATCATCTGCATGTTTCTATGGATATGTCATTGCTATGCCTGGAAGGATACACATTATGACATTGAACAGTTCTACTTTACATTTATTTAATTGCAGGTAGTTTTATAACTCAAAAATACATAGAAAAATAGGCATTCTGACTGTGAATGAGGTTGCCTCTTCCAATCACAGTCAGAATGCAGCCACTCTCTGACCTGTAACTTGGTCTGGGTTGGTCTCCATGAAGACAGAAAGGTTTAATGTCATACTGTGAAACATTCCAGACAAAGCATTTTCATAGACAAAAGCATTTGACAGGCCCTCCACCAGAAAAGTTACACAATGCACCTTTAAAATGGACTGGACAGCTTATCAGCTTCATAGTTCATTGCTCATAGTTTGATTAGTCATAAATTGCTCAAGTATTTTTCTGGATATGGTTCTGGTTATAATTTCTTGATCTTAAACATAAGTTGTGCACTTTTCAGTCATTGTTTTGTTTCTAAATAAAGTCAACATTAGAGATACAAATCAGTATCAGGGGACTTACCTCCTGTGTCAAATCCTAATATATGTTTGTCTAGTGCTACAGGAATACCCTAGAGAGGAAAAAATGAGAATCAGAAATGATGCAATTCTTTGATTAAGTTAATTTCAGCCAATATTTACCTCCTTATTCTGGCTTGCTTTGGCTATAGCTTCTGGGGAAAGCCTATCTTGAATCAGAATTCGTATCGCCTGCCACACAAAAAGCACATGCTAAATATGTTTTTCAAAAGAAGCAAAAATGGCTGGAATTCTTACCTTGAGCATAACCAAATAGTCATCGTGCCGCTGAATCTTGAGGATGTTTGCGAGCGCAGTGACTCCTGCTTTGAAGTCTGGCGAGTTACCTGATATACCACAGAATGCACGGAAAAAAACATCAAAATTGAGGGTTTAAGCATGCCTACAATGCAGCTGTGTTCCTACTCACTATCAAGGTTAACCAAGGGATCAGCTGGTTTGTCGCTGTTACTGTTAGATGCTAATGGTTGCACGTTCTTGTACTTTTCCACTGAAGAGAAACACAGATGTAAGGTCAAGAGCTTCAGACATTCAGACATTAGGCTTAAATCCAGTGTGTAACTGCAGCAGTAAGACGAAGGCAAGCCGTGTGAACAAAATGACCACTCAATACTGGTTTATTATCGCCATCTAGTGGCCACTTATATATACTTTTTAGTTGAGGTTGGACATGTGAAGTTGCCTTGTTTGAAATGTTCCACAGTACAGCATTAAAACTTGTCTGTCTTGTTTTACAGTTTACAGTTGTTTTAAAGCTCAAAAACATCTTGAAAAACATGCCTCCATGGAAATTAATTTAATGCTATACTGTTGTACATTCCAGGCAAGAACATCTACATCCACTAGAAAGGTTTCTTCATAGACCAGTATTTTTTAACTCTCATTCAAGGCTAGATGTGGCTGTTTTTCTTAACAAGCATATTTAAACCATTAATCAATAATATGTATTGTTTTAACTTCTTACCATTGTCTCCATATTCATATCTCACAGCCAATCCCAGTAACCAGTCCATTGCCTCCTGACGCTCCTGCACTTCAAATGGACAGTTCAAATCCTGTAAGTACTGCACACATAGATAACACGTTTAGACAGATCATTGAGTGCCCTGCTTTTATTTTTATTTGTGTAAGTGGTATAAGGGCAGGTAGAAAACATACTGATAAAATGCATATAAGACATATAATTTACATTGCAACAAAACTAAGTTACAACCTTCTGGTAAGCTTTAGGCCACTCTGAGCTGGGGATGTTCCTCAGGTTTCCTCTTTCCTCAATCTTATAATGCCGGATCTTTTGGTCCTCAAGCCAAACAATGCAATTCCTGAACTGAGTTTCATCTGTACATGAGAATGAGAAAGAAAAATAAGGGCAGGGTAAGGGTATATATAGGCTATGCCTAATTCACAGACTACATTATACATGCCATTACCAAACTTATTCATAGCCCTGTTTGTCATTTCATTTATACCATGACTATGGTGGCACAGGTGATCCATATTTGTAAAATCTTATAATTTGGTGCATGTCAGTTATTGCTTCGATTGAACAAAAATTATTATGATAACAATATAAGCATGAAGTATAATATGTATAATGTGCATTTGTAGCAATGAACATGTATTACATTACAAACCCGTAAATAATTGTAATCAATTTAGTAACACGTTTTAGTTAATAAATCTGTTTAAAGGGAGGCTCGGATAAATCAGATCTATAACTAATCTCAGACAGGCTTATTTGCTTTCCTGCACCGGAAACAAAATATATTTAGGACTGTAAATTATTATTATTATCATCATTTATTTTTAGTGAGGTGACAGCCCCATGCATACGTGTTAGCCCCGGTATGGATAACATTTACATATGTCTATTTAATGAAAGTACACAGTTCTCCATACCTTTACAATCGAATCCGCCGGGGTTATGATAATCTAGTGCTGTTAGCTTTCTACGAAACATTATTGATTTTCTGGCGTTGATATAAACTCAAACTCGTGGCTAAACCTGAAGCCTTTACTGCTAGCCGTGTTGTGTGCGGTAGTACGCACGCGCAATATTATCAAGTTCTTTTTCTGGGACTTGCTTACGTAGTGCTGCCTTACTGCCACCTGCTGGGAAATTGATGCAACTTATTCAAAATGCAAATGGTTCTGAAAGCTTTTATTTACTTATGTTTATATAAATTATGTATCAAGAAAAAACTTTGTAGATTTTTAAAGCCATTAAAAATTGCTAACTTTTTTGTTTTCTAGTTTGAGTTTTTCTGACTCCAAAATTTCAACTTCAGCAGTACTTCAGTCACACACACAATTAGTCGGTGAGGATAAAATCTTGGAAAAGCAAGTTTAAAACGGAGATAAATCAAAATTGTTGCGCTCTATGCTTTCATTGTGGTGATTTTTATTTATGATATTCTTTGATACCCAAAAGCTTACTCATTCATAACATATACAACTGTACAGAGCATAGAAAAAAGCACTTTTATTACGTGTCACATTGTACAATAAAAAATGAGGCAAAAACCATCAGAAAGAGAAAACAAATTTGAATGTCTTCCATAAACGTGGGCTTGTGTTGAACTGTGGTGTACATATGAATGCTGTGTTTAGAAGGGTCTCATGCGTGTGCTAAGAGGTGGGACCCTGTTGGGAGGCGTGATCGCTATATCCAGATAGTCCCCGATCTGAAACCTCTGTGACTGCAATGTCATGGAGTCATCTGCACCTTTCCTGCCAGAAATGGTGCTACCGATGTCTTTTAACCTATGAGGAGGACAAAAGGTTGTAAGAATATTGAAGATCTGTTTGAACAATGTTTAGTTGCATCAAGGAAGCACACCTGTAGGCTTTGGTCCTAGGTTCTGGAAAGACAATTGCAAAGCTGAAGTGTGTTCCTTTTTTCCTGGCTTCTGGATAGACTTCCTTCACCAGGCTCGTCAGTTCCTTCAAAGTAGCATCCATCCTGAACAGAAATAACCAGACATTAAAGGTCCTATATTGTGCAAAAATGGACTCTTGTGAAATTTCAGTCATTTTATATTGTTACCTCATAAAAACATACCTAGAGTTGTGTTGTGTTTCAATCACACATTTAAACATTTATTATTTGTATGTCTACATCTTCACCGTTCAAAATGCTCTGTTCCACCTTGTGATGTCATGAAATAGTAGTTTTCATGTTAACAGCTATCTTTTACCTTTTGTTTAGTAGAGATTGCCAATTCCAGGGCTGAAATTATCCAAATTAATTCAAGTGAATGTGTATGGAGTTAAAAACACAGTAGAACACTTCCTGTATTGCCACATGACATCACAAGGTAGACCAGATTATCCTCTGATGTGGAGAACTTTGCCTAAACATGCAGGTTCGTGGAGGACCAAATATGCAGAACATGAGAATGAAACAAAGCACAACTCCAGGTAGGTTTTTAATGAAGAAATATTATAACCGAACAAAAAATAGTGTAATCTATGCCCTTTAAATTAGGGAAGGGGTTGACACGGACATATTATGTATTTCATTGTAATAACTGTATACAGATCTCACCATGTGTAAATCTGCAGTTCACTGGACGGTACATTTCCTCTGGCAAACTCGTCTGCCCTGTGGTGTCGGCCGTTGTTGGTGGTAAATACACGAAGCAGAAGAGGGCAAGTCTATGAACAGACAAACCGAAGTCATGCATTATTATTATTATTATTATAGAATACAACCAAGAAAACAACCGGACAGTGCAGGCTTTTCATAAAAGGCATACTAAACTAGCAATATGCGCACTAGTAAAATAGTGTGTAAGTAAATATTTCATTTGTTCACGATAATGTGTTGTTTTGTGTTGCACGGCAGCTAGGGTTAGCATTGAGCGAATTGCCAAACTAAGGCCCTGTACGCTACCTTTTCACGATCGATAGGTTTCTCCGGCTCCTTCTTGATTTCTTCCTGTGTGATGCGCGATTCGAGAGCCATGATTTTTAGTTTTTGGCAATAAAAATCAGCTTATGTCCCGTAAATTGATTGAGACGATGTACAATGGCTCCAGCATGCAAAAAAAAACTAACCGGAATTTCCGTCTGTTGACGACTCTCACGCTGTGCTCAGCCACCATTAGGTAGCGCCCCCTGTTTGTAGGAGTAAAGCATTTGGGGTTTTTAAATATTATTAATTAGTATAATGATTTATTAAATAGAAGCTGGTGGGCGCTGTGGTAATGAATTCATGGGTAACCTGAATACAAAGTTTTTTTTTGTTGTTGTTGTTTGCTGTTTGTTTTTATTCTATGGCAACGGAGTGGTTGGCTACTTTTGTGGCTGCCTGGCTCACAAACTGGGCAGTTTTTGAAACTTTTTATTTTTTGAGCTCAGTTTTTAACATCCTGTCATGGGATTTTAACCCACTAAGAAGAGCAGCATGTGCAGTTCAAAGGACACAAATAAGGGACAGTTGGAATTTGAGCTGATGAGCTGTTTCTCCTGTATCCATGGAGACCATGCAAGAGGCTAGCTAAGGAGCTCGTGAAGGAGCTAGCTATGGACAGGTTGCCACAGTTTTGTTTTGTTTTTTGTTTTGTTTTTTTTTGTTTGTTTGTTTTTTACACCATATGTGGTAGCAAATGTGGCAAAAGATCTTCATAGGAAAAACTTTGAGGCAATGAACACAAGGGGCTGTTGGATTGTGTGAAGTTAACTGTTTGTTTTTCTCGTAACCATGGAGATTGTGCAAGAGGCTATGGACATTTGAGATGCTACGTGCTTTTTGCACCATATGTGGCAGAAGGTCTTCCAGAGGAAACACTTTGAGGGAATGGGCCATTTCATCACACCACACCATTTCATCACAAACACCACAGCAGAGTAAGAGCGAGGCCTTTCCTATTGTGTTCATCTGGTTTCCCCTGGACACTGCTGTGATGCTGCAGGACACAGAGGAGGAACACTTTTGGCCCTCCCTCTCCTCAAACTGCCCTGACACAGGATCTACTGACCCTACCTGACCAGTTCTGAGACCTTTGACTGAGACATAAAGGCCACTGAGAAGTGCAGTGGAAATGTTGCAGCAACATCAACTGCAACAGTTTGGTGCAACAAAACTTGAATTTCCCTTGGGATTAATAAAATATCTGTCTGTCACTCTGTCTAAGAAAATAGTAGTTCAAGAAAATTCTTTGAATGAGACTGCACATTTTATAGAATTGTTAATGTGTATTTATTTACAGATAAACAAAAGGAGGTCTTAACAATGTATTATCTTCACAGACACCTACACTCATATTCATACCTGATAAAAACTCAAAAAGAAGAAGGAAGATATCCATTAATTAATATGCATCAGGAAAAGGTGCTGCTGTGATTCAAAAACTGACTGTATTAGAATCATTTACACCTACGACTTACTATTCTTGCAGACAATATCAATCAGTTCTTGGAATAGTTTATTTTGCTCCCACTCTTCCACAAAAATGGTCGTTAGTGGGATGAAGAGCCCCACTGTCCTGCTGCCCACTCCTGCCACATCCTATTTGTGTCCGAAAACTTCATCTACACTGGGTAAAACTTCAGTGACATTAGTTTAAAAAAAAAAACTACCATTTTGATCTATTATAAAACTAATGTCATAAAGACAGAGATATGGTATTTTATTTTAATGTATAAGTTAAACTAAACACAGCCATTCGCAAGACATAACTATAAATAAACTAGATTTTTTTTTTTTTTATTGTTTTTTTTTTTTATTTGCTTGTTTTACTCAGTTCTTTTTTAGGTATAGAAACAAAGTTGCTATAGTGCTACACTTGAGCTTTCTGTTGATACCAGGAACACAGCGTAGTGTTGTTTCTTCTGCAAAGAGCCCTAGTGTAAAATAATCTTTGATCAACATGTTACTGAAATTGTTTTCAAAATGTATTCTTATTTTGTATTATATCCTTGGTAACCTGGAATGGTATATTTTCCACACTCTTCTAGTTAACAAAATTCACACTTTCTTTTTACAATATGTGTATTTTTATCCTCTACACTACATATACATGAGTAATTCATATAAAATCCATAAGAATGATCTGGGTTTGTATTGTGGTACTGTGGGTGTTTCCGGTGTAATTTTAGTGGCATGGGGTGAGTCCAGAGCAGTTCTTGGTGGGCAGAAGGTTCACCAGTTCACATGAATGCCTTCTCTCCTCCTCTTCATGTCATTCTTTTTCTTCCTTTTGCTATTTTGCTTCATACATTGTCTCCTTCCATTTTCATTGTACTGAATGAATGCAACCACGAACTCAGCATCGGAGCTATGTATCTGCATATTTTGATTCAAACTTTGATCTTGTTATTTTCTTCAGCTAACCTCATGTTTATACTTGTAGGGTGTCTTGGCCTGCCTTATATCTTCAGTTAGTGGGAGCCAACCGCCACTCCACCAGCCTGGGTAAAATCTGGCTCTCAGTGCTCTTCATTTTCAGAGTTATGGTTCTTGTGGTAGCAGCTGAAAGCGTGTGGGGAGATGAGCAGACAGACTTCACCTGCAATACACTTCAGGTAAAGAAATACGCATAAAGAAGACATGTTTTAACTGACTTTTCTAGAAATCAGCATGCGTCACTCAATACCATGACTGCAGTCTTGTCATGCAGAAGATAAACAGTGCCAAAAACAGCCTAGTCTAATATGCTAAGTAAAATGTTTTGGTCTTAAAAGATTGGCATTACACTAAATCAAGCAATGTTATAATATTAGCCTGCCTTGTGTATTGAAACATACCTGTTCTGTGTTGTTTCATTCCTGAACACTTTCACTTTTGTGACAATTCACAGTGCTGACATTTACTGCAAGTTTTGTTAATTTCTATTGTTTTAGCCTTGTTTAAACTGCTTCATTCCACTATAGGCAACCCCTGTTGCATTACATTTGCTACACTGTGTGACCTCTACCCTTCTTTGTTTGATTCCTCTTCCAGCCTGGATGTGAGAATGTCTGTTATGATCAGTTCTTTCCAGTTTCACACATCCGTCTGTGGTGCCTGCAGCTCCTGTTTGTATCCACTCCCACTCTTTTGATTGCTGCTCATGTGGCCTATAGGAAACGCAGAGACAAGAAGCTCTTACAGGTGGGTTGCAGTCATTTCTATCTACACATGTACATGTTGACAGTCTCTTCATTTTTAGGCTTCCAGAAGAGCTGGCTTTCTATCCACCAAAAATCAACTGAGCCAAGAGGAAGAGATGGAGAACCTTAAAAAGAGGAAAGTTTCAATTGTTGGCGCCCTCTGGTGGACATATGCATTTAGTATCGTGTGCAGACTGCTTTTTGAGGGAGGCTTTATGTGAGTTGTAATGAATAATACAATTCATGCATCAAATATCCCACCACATGAACCAGGTGCACTTCATAGACTGCACTGTGATGTTTTAGTTCAGCAGTTTTCTCCAGTCACACTGTTATAGGCCTACTGTTACTTGCAAAAATCTTCAGATTTTCTACCTGCCCTACTACATGTATCTCCTCCATGCAGGTATGCTCTGTACATGTTGTATGATGGATTTCGGATGCCCCGCTTGGTTCGCTGTAACCAGTGGCCCTGTCCTAACCTGGTGGACTGTTTTGTCTCCCGTCCCACTGAAAAGACCATCTTTACCCTTTTCATGGCCACAACAACTTCTGTCTGTATGGTTCTCAACATCGCCGAACTGGCCTATTTGATTGGCAAAGCCATCACAAGGTAGTAAAAATTATGTTTTAAGATATCAATATGTGTCAATCATTACATTTGTTTTTCCAGGGCAATTCTGCAGAGATGCAGAAAGAAGAAAAAGCAGAATAAAGCAAACCCCAATCTGCTTGTCTCAAATTAACATGAAGAGAAAACTTAATTGTCTTGGGCTAATTATACAGAAACCTTATAATTTTACCATGAGACCCTTTCACATGAGATCACATGACATGTTCCACTTTGATGTGAATGTTGATTTTAAGGTATCAATAGATTTTAGCCTGTACAAGTCTGTGTGATTTATTATCACATTGGCGTGTGTTTGTCGCCCTCTATTGGTGGATATATGATTACAGTAATGAGGTAAGGTAAAAATTTTACTTGATTGTATGAGAAAGTAGTCTAGTCTAATGCATGGTGTTTTCAAACAGGCCATAAACAAATAGTATTGCTTTATACGATATGACTCTTGTCACCAGTATATCTCCCAGGTTTCAATTGCCGTCAGTGACAGATGGATTAGGGGGACGCATTCCTTCCAAAATATATCACAGAAAAATAAACAACGCACCAAACTCTGTTAATCATAGGTGACCTTTTTTTTTTTTTTTTTTAGAAAAGGTGCACTATTAGGTCTATGTTCCTCCATCACCTATACTTATCTCACCATTGATTAGGCTGTCTGTAGGCCTCTATAGGGCAATAAATTGTAGTCTTTTTGTTTTATTTCCACAACTATTGCATCACATAGCAAAGCCCTTATTGAACGTGATGCAATATGACATAGGCCTACATTGATTTAGCCACAGTTGTTATAGGTCTTCCTTGAGCAAGTCTATCATGTGCCTCATGTTTTTCCGTTAAAATTAACCCCCCCACCCCTTTCAAAACAAGTGTCATTTATAGCGGAAGTCCTATTTTATCTGAAAAATCTGATTATTTATATGAAGGAATACGTTTTCAAGACCTAATTTCCTGCTTGATTCCGCGTTACCATAACATAGTCATCTCGATAAGACAACATAAAGCTATTTAGGTGTATTTTCAAATTTTACATACTTTCACAGATTGACAATGTATTCTTTTATGATCCACAGTCTGGTCTGTCTCGTGCCCCTGCCCATTAACGCCCTCATTCGCCCCCTCCCCCCGGGCACCCCCTCGCGCGCCCCACGCACGGGACTAGTGTGTGACAGTGGCGGTTGGCCTTGGCCACGGGGGACGCAGCCGCTGCGCTTCGCCTTCGTGGGACAGGATCCACTCGCACCCCTTCAGTACGACAGAGCAGGCTCGATCTGTTCCTCTATCTCTGAGTGAATACTTTCTCTGTCTCTCTCCCGCCCGCATCTCCATCCAACCCCACCTGTAGCTGCCCGGCCGCCCCGGAGGCCGACGAGGTTTGGAGGAGAGCAGAAGACGCTGCGGGGAGGGAGACGTGTTCAGAGGAGAGGGTAAGAGGTGATGCTGCTGACTGATGCTGTGGGTTCAAGTGGGAGGGAAGAGGAGGGATTATCATCTTCCACCTGCGGGATTAGAGGCTCCTCGTGCGCTTCATTCAGCTCACTTACGCGCACGGTCTGGATGGCACTAAACCAAACTTTACAATTCTTCCTAATTCTAGAACACAATAAAATGAGTGATGGTTTCACCATTTTACCAACAGTTAAAGGGCACTGTATACAAGTTTAATTCCCTAGCAGGGAATAGTTGTCTATAAAATTACATTTTTTCTATCCTTGTTTTCCATAGGCCTATTAAAATCTTTACAGGCTAGGCATACCCTACGTTTAGCGTGTTTGAGAACACTGGCATCAGGTTCATACATACATTATGTCACGTATTCTAAGACCTTTTCCATGTAAACTTTAGTTATGTTAGTATGTTTATTTTTAATGACTTTTAAAAAGTTGTCGTTTCAGGTCTGAAAAGTAGAGCTACTTTTCATGTAAGATTTGCACTTGTAGCTCTTCTTACAGTAGAACGTGTTTCTTTTTAATTGTAATATTTGTGTCTTGTTCACCAATACTTTTCTTTTATTTAGTGGGCTATAGTATGGATTTGGCATTGGCTGGTAGCATTTTCTTGTTTCACAGTATCATATTATTTGCATGTGTTTTTGGGAGTAAGTGGCTGGCCAAGAGTTAACTGTTGTGGCTGTTTTAGCACAAAGACCTGTGATCCATCAAAAGCACACTGCAGCCAGGACAATGTCCATCGAGCAGCTTCTCTATTGTCTGTGCCTGACAGATGGTATTTCATCACGTCAACACATCATGTACATGTACACATACCTCAAGTAGAAAAGGCCTCCAATTTAGGGACTGGTTGGTGATTTTTGCTCACACTATTTACTTTTTGGACATCTCATTACCAATAACTGTTTTTAACTGGGTGGTTTGGTTTTGTAGACAAAAATGTGTCGGTATATTTGATGTTTCAGAGTCATAGCCATAGCCATGATAAATGCAGTTTTCTTTATGACTTTTATCTACTCTTCAAAGACCATCAGCCTGTAATAATGGCCTGGTCTGATCCATTTGGTGTACTGTTGTGTAGTTGTGAATGTGTGTGTGTGTATGTGTGTGTGTTTGTGTGTGTGTTTGTGTGTGTGTGCGTGTGTGTGCGCGTGTGTGGGGGTGCGTGTGTGTGCGTGTGCGTGTGCGTGTATGTGTGTGGTTGTGTGGTATCAGTCAATCCCAGGCAAACATTTGCTCTCCTCAGCATTCCGGGGATGTGATGAGTGCAGCATTCAACAGGGACAACCTGTTATCCACTCTTTCACTTCCCGCAGATGGTGGCCTTTGTCTCAGTGTCCAGCCAGGCCTGCAGCAGCCTCACAAATGCCTCTACACACATGCATGCATGTATGTCTGGATGCAAATGGCTATAGGGATAATGTGTGTGGCTGATTTAGTGTCAAATTAAATGTGCAAAACATACATTGGCATTATCAATGAAGCTTAGTGGAGCATCTTTTGTCTCATTACAGGTACAGTTTTGTCCCTGATTTTATGGTCGATGGATTTATCACTGACAAAACAACATATATTTAGTAAGTTTGCATTAATCTTCTTAGCAATGGGGCAAAGCAATACAAATGCAACACAAATTGTTGTGTCTCCCTGGAAATCACATGTTGCTGTCTGCGCAGGTTAGAAAAGTAAAGCATGGGTGACTGGAGCTTTCTGGGGCGGCTGCTGGAGAATGCTCAGGAACACTCCACTGTAATTGGAAAGGTGAGTCTAACACAAATGTGGAATAAAATGATTTTCAGTATAGTAAACTCTTCAAGACATCAAACCCAGTGCAAATCAGTCATAATGATTTCCATATTGTTAGCGTATTGTTGTTGTACCTAACACGTGCTCTAGTATCTGCATAGACAGGTGTTTGATAAATGATAACCAGCTCCTCTGCTCTGTGCTCAGGTTTGGTTGACAGTCCTCTTCATCTTCCGCATCCTGGTGCTGGGGGCAGCAGCAGAGGAGGTGTGGGGCGATGAGCAGTCGGACTTTACCTGTAACACGCAGCAACCTGGCTGTGAGAACGTCTGTTATGACGAGGCCTTCCCCATCTCCCACATCCGCTTCTGGGTGCTGCAGATCATCTTTGTGTCCACGCCCACGCTCATATACCTGGGCCACGTGCTGCACATTGTGCGCATGGAGGAGAAAAGGAGAGAGAGGGAGGAAGAGCTCCGAAAGTCAGGCCGACACTTGGAGGACCACGACCCCCTTTATCACAATGGAGTGGGGGATGGAGGGGGCAAAAAGGAGAAGCCTCCAATCAGAGATGAGCACGGAAAGATCCGCATCCGAGGAGCCCTCCTCAGGACCTACATCTTCAACATCATCTTCAAAACTCTGTTTGAGGTGGGCTTCATTCTGGGACAGTACTTCCTCTATGGCTTCCACCTGAAACCACTTTACAAGTGCCGGCGCTGGCCTTGTCCCAACACTGTGGACTGCTTCATTTCCAGGTCAGAATGACATTTGAACACTTAAATGGCTTGTTGTGGTCTACAGAAAATGAATGTGTATCTATTTGAGTGGTAATCATAATTCTGTTGTCTTTCTCTCTCAGGCCAACAGAAAAGACAATATTCATTATCTTCATGTTAGTGGTCGCCTGTGTATCCCTGATTCTCAACCTGCTGGAGATCTACCATCTGGGCTGGAAGAAGGTCAAACAGGGGGTCAGCAACGAGTTCTCACCCAACTCTGAGTCACTGCTGCTGGGTTCAGATGGCCGAGGGGATGCAGTGACCATGGCAGAGCAGAGCTCTCCTCCTGTGCTGGACTGTTTGCCCACATACACCAGTGTGAGTGAGGTGAATGGAGCCCCAGCTGAGGGCGGCACATACAGTCCCAGTCAAGTGCCCACGGTGATCCCCTTGAATCCCAATACGTCAGCGGCCCCTGTCCCTCTGAAGGGGGACAGCATGATGCTCGAGGCCATTTCCAGTCCTCTTTATGAGAAAGTGAGCATCGGGAGCCACAGTCACATAGCTGCAATGGAGCAGAACTGGAGCAACATGGCACTGGAGCTCCAGTCTTCAGATGGTAAAAACTCCCCCCTCTCTGACCGCCCTCCTGCCCCTTCTCCTCCCAGCTCAGCCTCCTCTTCCCCTCGGCAGGAGATGACCCCTCCACACCCAGATGAAGAGCTGCTGTCCTCTTTCCCCACACTGCCCCGTGATACCCCCCTCAACCTCATCGCACCCAAAGAGGAAGCAGAGAGTGAGGAGGGGGCCTCAGCGCCTAAGCAGCCCCCCACACGACGACTTCACCATAGTCACCAGAGCAGAGATGCACCCGCCTCCGGCTGCCCTCCTGACAGACAACCAGAGGTCCAATCGAGCCAGCAAGCCCAGTATCCGCGCTCGCCCCGATGACCTGGCAGTGTAGCTAAACACACAACACATCACACCATTGCAGTTTTACAAACAGGCCTCGGATTCAGCTCTTTCACGTAAAGGTGCAGTGTGTAGAGTTTAAGGGGCTCGATGAGCTGAACAGAATGTAGCATTCATTTTGTTTTTAATAGCATTTAATCTCACCAAGATACATTATGACTGCTGTGCTTGCATTCTGTTAAGTCACAGAATAGTTCATTGAGAAGAACAATGGACTCTTGTAAACCCACATTGATAGATGTCGTTAATGAACCTGGCCATGTCAATTTAATTTGTTCCAGCTGATCTACAGTTGGTTTACTGCATAGTTTAGCTACATTAGCTATTGTTAGATGGCCACACTTGAATGTAAAGTTCATTTCCTAAGGTGAACCAAAGTCATAAAACATAATATGTACTGTTCAGCTGGTGGTGATGGTGGCTTCCATTGCACCCTTAACAGTAGAAATAACAATCAGACAGAAGCATGTAAGTTTACTGTACTGCACAAGCTGCTGAAATGTAATGTGGGAAATGCTTAGAACCTACACAGTGCACCTTTAGCATTTATACATTTAAATTGCAACATCATTATTATTCTCATTGGCTTTGTTTGTACAAACTAGGTCTCCAACAGCTTCTATTAGTTTGACTGTCTACTAACCTGCTCTCACTTCTCTAAGAGAAGCCAAGAGAACCACGAAATGGAGAATGCATACGAAATATTGCCTTCATATAGGGACATGAGTAAGGAATCTGTAGCAGTTTTGATGGTGGTAGTGATGGCTGGACTAAGTAATGCGTGTAGGAGCATAAGGCAGAGAAAATACGTAATTTTATTAATTTTTTCTTTTCTTTTTTTGCTGGAGGACAGTCGGTGATAGGCTTGCACTTTTGTTCTTTTTCTTTTTCTGTGAGCTGTTGGCAGAAGTGTGTGTCAGTCTGAGTCTCTATGTCTTTATTTCAGCCTGTAGTTTCAATGACGAGGGGGATGCAGCGATAGTTCACTTGTAGAAGTAGATAGGAGACTTGTCTGAGGCAGTCCCACCCTGAGGCCTGGTCCATAGGCTCCACAGGCTGTGTGCACATACATTGTTTTTATTGTTTTTAGAAAAGATACTTTAGTTCATCAGGGGCAACTATATAAAGTCTATAAATATGTAAATAAAGTAGCGTTTATAGGCTACACAGGATGTGTACATGGCACCTTCTGTTTGAAAGTTGTTTCTAATCCACTTGCAAAGATTTGGAGCTTATTCTGACAAAGGCACCACACGTCACTTTATTTAAATTAAAGATCATTGCATTGCAGCTTGGTCAGAGCATTATATCAGTTCTCTTCTGGAGCTTGTGTTTGCAGTGTGTTACTGGACTGTCAAGTTAACCCTCTCTGTTCTGTACATTATCTAGTCATTTTTAGACTAGCTTTAGAGTTTAGATTTCATTTGGGAATACAACAGCACAGCATAATGTGAATGAGTATTATAGGTCTCACTCAGTATTGTTTTATTTCCCCTTTTATTCCTGCCAAAAGTTTACGAAAAGGCTTTTGTAGGTTCTTTGCCTCACAAGAAATTCCCTGCAGCTCTTATTGAAAATGGCCAAGTGTTGAGGAGCAAACAGGAACAGAGACAACAAGGGAGAGTGCTTTGGGGTGAAATTAGTTTTGTACATCTTTATGTTTCTTGCTATGCTTACATTAGTTTTGTATTGCTACTTGAAATAAATAGTATTCAATCCTTTGATATTGGTTGAAGATAAAGTACAAAGAAACTTTAAAGTTTTACATTTCAGAAAGAAAAAGTGAATATTTTTTTAAATTGAAATACTTTTTACACAAGATCTAGTTATATGCTTTTATCTGACTAATAAGAGCACAACTCATCACATCAGATTGTATGTAGTCTTTAAATGTTGAATAGTGGCCCATGTAAATAACTCAGTAACTGTACATGGGACTGGGATGGTACCTAGTACCAAATTTTTACCATAGACCTTACATTGACCATTTGCAAACTAGTTAACCATTCTTCAGGGTTTTTAAACCTAAATATGCTAAAATATGTTTCTACTTGATTAACCAAACTATATACCATATACGCTGCTTGCTTGTCAGATGTTTACAGACTGAAAGATGTCACTGATTCAACCAAAGATACTTGCAAACCAAATGCCAATGAGATTGAAGAAACAAAGAGCACTTTCTAAAGAACACACAATAGCAACAATTTCGATAGCTACAACTATACAAACTGACTATCAAAGCTTTCAGAGGTGTGCGCAAATATTTTTATCCAGGAGCCACTGTTAAATTTTGTTACCGATTGTAAAATGAGGCATATTCATTTATATTGCGGAAATGTTCATAACCTTGTTGTTCCGCACTGTTCATAGTATATTTGATATGTAGATTAAGATTTGCACAGGTAGATAGTTAGACCACTTAAATGATGCTATAAATAGAAAATAACAAAGGGTGTCCTGGGAGGATGCATATTAACATATTTGTTTATTTATGGGAGAAGTGCTACCAATACTGGACTTGAACTGCATAGTGACTCTAAAAGTGACTGTTTTTTCTGTCCTTAAGATGGATTTTTAGATTTTTGGGCCCGACTTTTTCACCATGGATGTGGAATTTTCATGGTTCTCCCAACAACAGCTGAGACATACCCCATTGTGTTGACAAGAGGAATGCTTTGACTCCCAATGTTCAATGTCTCTGAACAGAAGTGCCTTGTGTCTGTGTAAGAACATGTTGATGTAAATGTCAATTTACCTCAGATGTTTACAGAACTGTTACTGAATAAAACATTTTGTACCAACCCCACTTTTGATGACACTTTCGGTCATTTCTCATTACTAAAGTACTCTGTTACTCAATGTAATGTATTTTTAATATTCATGAATATGCTAATTGACATCACCTCATGTTATGCTTCTATAATTGAATCAGCTCACATACAGTTCTGTGTAAATTATGTAGTTCCATGTTTTGCTGGTCTTTCAGTAGCCTGTGCACTTGTGTCCCAGAGTATGTGTGTGCCCTCACAGCCTCGCCCATGAAGCTGTGCTGAGGCAGGCACTTCCATTATTCCCACTGAAAGTCCTGGGGATTTTGTCAGAACAAAAAACTCTTCAGGATCTGAAAAGGCCTTGAATGGCGGTTAATGCCATCACAACTCACTGGACAGCAGACTACAGTGTGCACGTGTCCCTGCTCCCAAAAGAGACTGTCTGCTACTGTACTGTTGAGTAGGGCTTCAAACCAAATTCACAGGAAATTTGATAGTGAAAAATACATCAAATCTGAATCAACTACAAAGTTGTACAGTTTCTGAATATTTCAACCCCCAATTTCAACTACAAATACTGCATTAGACTGCATTACAACAGCTTTATGATAGTTGTATAATTAACTTTGATCCATTTTATTTAGAAATTTACAGCCTGAAAATATTATAATAATTGAATTAAAAGGCAATCAGCCCAACGCTGGGTAGGGCCCCCTTGTGGTCAAAATGAAAACTAATCCACTCCAAAAATTAAAGCAAATTAATTATTTTTAGTATAACTACTATACGGTATAAGTACTATACTTAAGTAAATGAATAAATTCAAACATAGTACAAAGACTTTAGCAAAAGGGTTTATTTACAAAGAAAAAGAAAAGAAACCCTTGTTATTAGGCTATTCATTCCTATTTTACAACGTTATTCCTCACACCCAAACTGCTGGGCAGGTAAATTCTGAGGCTGTGGGGCTATTCTGCTTGCAGTCAATAACATGGGAGTTGCATATTCAAAATACACTCCACCTTGGTATAGTTTGATCCCATCTGAACTGCAGTGGGCAGCATCAATGTTTGACAAGGGAAGGGGCAGGTCTCGGAGTACAACCCTAGGAGTGGCACTCAGGTCAATGGCCCGTAAACTGCGACCTGTAGAAATATGTAAACATGCAAGTAATGTTGAACGTTTTTGCGCATGTTTGAAATGTTGTGAAAAAACTAAATACTAACCTTGAATAACATACACTGTATCCTCAGAGGGACACACAAAAGCCGCGTCTACTTTTCCTTCAATGTTCAACTCTTCTTTGAGGGTTTTGGGGTATCCTTCAATAAGAGTGTAATGGGCATCTCCTCTGTAGATGTACACCTTATCATTCTGCACACACATTTTGAACACAAAGTCAATTTAGATATAGCCAATATTACATAAAAGAACTGCGCTCAGTCCTACCTTGATCATGTACATTCTGTCAGTGTAAGAGAAGACTGCATCCACTCCACTGGCCACCTCTCTCCAAGACCTTTTAATGGGGAAGGCATGAAGACCATCTCGAGCAGTGTCCAAGCGCATGTAGATGGGACCTGAAGAGCACAATAATTTCATTCAGTTCAGTCACTGTACAGGTACGATTATGATTCTACCACCATTGCGCTAATAAACGGCAGGTAGGCTTCTGTCTATGGTTGCTAATACAGCCAGAACCCAAATACAACATAGACCTAGTGTATGAAACACCACTGGATAACTCAAAATTACTCACTTCATTCCATGTACAAGTAAGACTCGATAAATAACAATAATCTTTAACAAAAATAGAAGAAAAACAGAAATGTTACTTTGAGCATAAACATTTAGAAGATGAATTATCAGCAGCTTGCAGGAAGCCCACCCCAACACACCTGACCAGCGGCTAACAGGTAAGGTGGCTAGCAGCAGAGCAGATGCTCGCTACAAGATGAAAAATGGGTAAAGTAACCCGTAGCAGGTATTTACATTGATTTACTAACTTGAATTTAGTTAATTACATCCTTTCTATGGTAAATGTTAGATAAATGTTTTTTGTCACACAGTACAGGTAAGTTAGCTTGAATGAATGGCTAATTACTAATATAATTGCTAATATAATTTGGTAACAAGATATCTAGAACCGCCCTTCTGTTGAAATAAATATGTAAAAACCATGGTATTGTAAATTAATGTAAATAATAATATTAGGAAATACATGTTATAGAGAAAGTTTGTTTAGGCTACTATAGAAAACCACAAATGTGACTGAGATTTGAAGTAGCCTGTAGGCTAATGTTAGGATAAATAACTAGGCTTAGGTGGTGTATAACTACTGCTATGATGTTATTGATGTACTGCTATATTTTATTATTGTACTATTATAATTCACTATACGATGACCCAGAAAACAGGGACTAGATAAAGGATGAGGGATGCAGAGATAGGTTCAGTTCATGTACAAGATATTCTATTTCTATCTATATGTCTAATCAATTAACTAAATAGGACAAGGACTTATTGATAGGGATATGCTGACTCACGACTCATCACCCTGATCATACCAGCAAGATGCTCCGGTAAGGGGAGTGAGATGAATCCAGGGGATCCTTGTCACAATCAGATAAGATTGTGCAACGTGCCAAGAGGCCTGGCTGGCTTGTGCACCAAGGAAGAGGCACCAAGTCTAAACCAAGGTCGCCTCCCACTATAGTTTGCGTATAAAAATCATTGTATAGGAGTAAATATTCAGTCTCTGCATGGGAATGTCAGCAGAGACTCCTTGTACAAGTATGACTTTGGAATAAGTAAATTATCTGGACTTTATTTCTGTTTCAAGTGTAATTTTTTTGTCTAAGCAGAAACTAACGAACACGTGAGGAAAAGGGTTATTTTCCTCAACACTAGCTATGTTGTTAAATGTTGTTTTATGTTAATTCTTACTAGTATATCATTATTGTGTATGTCTTGGGTTTTTACCTGCAAAGAAATACGTCTTGCCGGTATCATCAGTGGTAATGGCATCCAACTTGATGTCACTGCACTTGGGACGCTTATAGCCATGCCCATGCCCTAAAATGGATGCAGAATATTTTTATTTAGTGTGACAAGGTCTAACAAAGCCACTCATTTGCTTTGTGTTATGTTTCTAGGCTCACCAAACCCTTTGTCACATCTCATGAAGAAGTTGCGGGCATCCTTGGGGTAGTTTCCGGTGACCTGACCTGTCACTGGGTGGAACCTGGTGAAGTTGTGTCCATGGAAACAGTAGAAATGTTCCAGCCAACGCAGGGCGGAGGTGCAGTTCGGCAGGTGCGTCCACGACTTTGTCTTCACTGCCTTGGTGGGGATGTCATACACGTATACATCTTGTCCTACAGAGAGGTGGGTAAACATTTACTTTTACTTGGCTAATGCATCCTATGCTATTTTATTAAAGGACTTATATAACTCTGTTTTTTTGATCTATGTTATAAAGCTGTTTTTTCATGAAAAACATAACCAAAGTTGTGTTTTGTTTCATTCACATTTTGAACAAACCTTGCATATTTAGGAGTTCACTCTGTTCCACCTTATGATGTCATGTGTAATACAGTAAATGCTCCACGGTGTTTTTAATCTCTATGCACTCATCTAAGATCAATTAATTTTAGATGTGGAATTGCTAATCTCTAATGAACTAAAGGTAAAAGGTACCTGTTAACACAAAAACTATTGCTTCATGATATCACAAGGTGAAATGGAGCTTTGGCAATGTAGACAGACTAATAATAAAGGGTTCTCAAACTTGTGTGAATGAAGCAAAACACAACTCCACAAAACTAAGTTTTTGAAGCGTTATTCACATTCTAACATGGCTACCACCAATCAGTGGATCTGATCACTCTACTAATTTAATCATTTTTGGCTACTCTACCCATGCATTTACAGTTCAAGAGTTAAAACACAGACTATTTAAAGCTATCTGGCTATCTTTTTTATATGCCAGTAATATATCATTATATCAAATTTTATCAGTATATTTTGGCATTATTATTTAATTTTTTTGTCAAATTAACAACATTGAGCCATTAAACGCATGCATTTATATTGTAGTATTTCTAAATTTTGTGCCTGTAAGTTCACATACCTTTAAAGAAAAGCACAGAGTCCGATTTGCATTCCGTTTTAGGACACTCCACTGCAGCACCCAAGTGAGAAGGCACTCCTTGGAAGTCCTCTTGGATAGTTTTAGGATAACCTTCCTCCAGACTTTCGTTATAATAGCTGAATACTTTATCATCCTTTGAAAAAACATTGCTATTGGTTGTGTGTCATAACAGATAAAATGATGAGGCTCGCTGCAGCAGTTATAGAGACAGGGGTGATGATTTTCAGGTGGAATTACAGTTGAATTGGAGCCAAGAGTACTGCGATGCTCACTTCATATTTGGAACGTGGTAGCTAGCGGGTTAGCCATACAGTCAATGGTTGTGAAACTTACCTGGAAAAAATAGATGTGGTCGTGGTCATTGGAGTTTTCTGGGTTGTGCATTCGGAAAGCAGCATCAACATGACCAATACCATGAATGTCGTCTAGCTCTTTGAAGAAATTTGTAGATGGCTGAGCATCACCTTCGTAACCCTTCCATAAGTGAGAACCTAATGAAATGATTGAAATTAACTGTTTTGTACATTTAGAGACATTGTTCTATGAGAATTTTAGCTATAATTAAGACCAGTTGACTAACCTTTGAAGAAAAAAGTTCTTCCTTTCTCATCAGGGACAATTGCATCAAACTCGATGCCTGAACAGCGATCTGGAAGTGCAGCCTGTGTGCTTTCTAAAATTTGGGGGCAAAATATGTTAGTAAGAAATATAAAACATTATTGATTAAAATAAAAGGTTATATACCTGGTTCTGTTGGTTCTTGTCTTTGAAATTAAATAAAAAAGAAAGAAAGAAAAGAAAACAAATACATTTGATTACACAATGATGAGTTCAAATGAGCAGTGATAGTAGTAGTTATTCATTGACATTGAGTAAATACAACTTTGGACAGCTTCTTTTAGGATTATGAAATGAAACAAGCAGCATGCTAATTTAAATGGACCCTTTTAGAGAAGTTAATTACCTTGTCATAATCAATTTACAATGTGCATTTGACTGACTGTAGTTGATAATACATTAGAAACAATATGAATTTTGCTTATACCGTTGTGCTTTTAATTAACTCCCATATTGATCTTTTGTTTTGTCATTTACAAGTTTATTTAAAAGGTTTTAACTCAAATTGCCTTTATCAAAAAGTGATTTGCCCTCCCAGACTCCACCCCGACCGTAAAGCTGCCTCCCTTTTTTTTTTATTCTTCTCATCCAACTCCAAATTTATGATAAGCCTACAAACCAATTAGAGGTAAATGGATCAATAAGTGGGCTAGTACTTTACTTTGCTTTGTTTTAACTTTGCCATTGCTTTCACGAAAATGTGTATATTTAAAAAGCTAATTATACTCACGCTGGGGCTCCAGAGGTAAAAGCAAGCAGCAGGCACAAAAAGAGGAGGGTTGATAGCAGCTTCATTTTGGTGTAGTGAAGAAGCACTAATGAGGCAGAGACTGACTGCAGAGAGTGTCACTGTGTGTGCAAACAGCTGAACTTATACCGGTGTGTGTGTGTGTAGAGATGTTAGGTAACCGTGTTTTGTGAGTTTTTTCAATGACATTTTGGAAAGTTTCGCTGTTGACCAATGACTGATGTGATGTTAAAGTACAGTGTTTATTTGTTGAATTGTTCTTTTAGAGATTTCTGGTAATGGTTGCGGAATATTGGAAGAATTTGTTCTCTTGTAACAGTTACTCAATGTTAAAGCAAACAACAAAGAATGGTAAATTGCATTTTATTCGTATTTTTGATGCAGAAAATATAATGTTCCCAGTCCCCAAGAAAAAAAGTATGATTTTATGATTATCATTATTTGTATTTTCATAATCAATTTCAGACATTAGAAATGATTAGTGTAACAGACTGCCTTTATATTTAAAACCAAAGCACCAAAGATTGATTTAAAAAAAAAAGCAACAAGAATCCCAGTATATAATATATAAGAAGTTTATAAAGCATATCCAAATAGTAGGTGAAAGTAAAAACTCTTCATAAAGTTGGGTATTGTTCTCTTTACATGCATAAGTACATCATAATTAATCCTCCGGATGGGACTTGTAGCGGTAGATCTTGACACAGTGGTTCATGCTGTCAGCCAGAGCCATGTGTCCATCAGGAAGCAGGGTCAGGCCTCTGGGGCTGCTCAGGTTGTCATTGACCAGGGGCCAGCCAACGCCCTTGGATGGATAGATGAGCACACGGTGGTACTGCTTACCCCAGTCAGCCACAAGGACATCCCCATCACTGTCAATGCACAGACCCCAGGGACTGCTCAGGACAGGCCCCAGCCCCGAGCACACTCCCAGGATTCTGATGGTGGTCCATCCAGGGTCCAGGACTCGAATACATGGCACCCGCCCTGTCTCATTGCCTCTCTCTGACACTGCCATCAGCCCTGTGCTGAGACAAGTAGCCACCAGATATGGCCTGTGGTACCCCGTCACCACTGTGCGCTCCAGTCTCACTCCCGTTTTAGGGTCCAGCTTTAGTGCAGTGAGGCTGCCTCGTTTAATATCAGCCACCAAGAACTCGTCATGTCGTGTTACAGTCACCCCTCTGGGTGCATCCAGCTCTTCATTAGAGGAGCCAATCATTGTTCCTCCAAATGTTTGCAGGAGGCGGCCATGACGGCTGAAAACCAGCACTGCTCGCTCTGCTGCACAGGTGAGCGCGATAAGGCCATTGGAGTTCACAGCCACATCGAAGAAGTTACTGATGCGAGAAGGCCTTTCTGTTCCGGTAGGAGACACTTGTTGAACGAGATTCTTCTGTATGTCTGTCACTTGAATCCGAGCATTTCCACAATCTGTTATATACAACTGTCCATTAACAGTGGCATGGAGTCCGCTTGGTAAGTTAAAGTCATTTCGGCCTGATCCTTGTTTTCCAATCTGTTTGATTAGAACAGCAGCATCAAGTGCAGTAGACACTGTCTCCTCCTCTAATTCCTTCAAATGAGGCTTCTCTGTGTTCTTTTTAGTTTCTCTGGCTTTCTGTACTTTCTCTCCATCTATAGCAGACATGGACAGTGATCTGCTCACACGGTTTAAGCCAGAGCCTCTGGTGAAACAAGACTTAGATCTTGACTGTCTTTCTGAGCTTGCACTGGCACTGTCTGAGTGGGTGCTGCTTTTACTTGTATAATCTGAGGCCAGCTGCATTCTGTTGATCTTTCTGATTCCACCTCTGTCTCTCTTGTCGCTGGTGATCAGTGGGCGAAGCCTGCCTGATAGGTCAGCTGTGGACATTGCGCGGCGATGCTCCTGCTTTAATGACCCATTCACTGGAGTATTTACATTGTAAGTATAACAGCAGTCTTCACTTTCAGTTGGAGATGGGGGACTGCCACTGTCCATTGACTGAGTTGAAGTCTTTTTTCTGAGTAATGTTTGCTGGGGCAGTGAACGCCGTCTTGTTAAATCCACTAGGCTGTGTCTCGACAGTAAACCTTTTCTTTTGATTTTTGGGGAAACTGCTCCAGCAATGCTCCTTATGTTAGTCTCTTCTGGAGGACAGGAGGGTTCCTCACATGAGACCAGGACCAGAGCCTTTTGTTTCCTTTTGTTTTTTATAGTAGGTCTCTTCTTACCATTTTGCCTCCCATCAGATTCATCTCCCTCAGACTCTCCCTGACTGAACGCTGGAGGAATAGCCAGGAACAGATCCTGCCCTTGTGTCTCCGAGCACACAGACTCCAGCTCCTCATCCTGAGAGGACTCCGATGCTCTTCGACGCCTTGGTACAGGAGATGTTGGTGATTTAAGATCATCTTCATTCTCTGTAGAGCTTGACAAGCGCAGTTTCCTGACCACACGCATTTTGCTATCGTTTGGCTTTTTAGTTTCTCCTGGTTTGCTGGACTGTGGGTCTTTTCGGATTTCAAGTGGAGTAATGTTGGTGAATGTGCCTTCTCCTGAATGTAAAGCACATTTCTGTCCCTGGACACCACAGACACCAATGGGGTAGGTCATCCCTTGTTCTTGAATTTCAACAACTCCAAGACTCAGAGTTTTAGACCAGCCAGTTGATACAAAATTGACTCTCTTCAGAGTGAGCGAGATTTCCCATGGCTGTGTGACCTCTGATACCCCTCTCTGGAGTTGGTTCTTGTTGGCACCCCCAGCACTACTGCCCCATCTTTGAATCTGCTCCTTCAGCTGAACAATTTTTCTAATCTGTTGGTCGACCATTGACTGTACAACACGCACAGCTGCAGCATTCTCTCTTTTCACTTGGTCGAGCTGCCTCTGGGCATCTCTGTGATCTTGTTCTATCTTTTCCAGCAGGCGGCGCTCTTCTCGTTGGGCTTCGATCACAGCATTGTCTAACTGACGGTTGACTTCTTCCACTTCATTCTGCTGTCTTTCCCTGAGGGTCAGCAGTTCTTGTTCCCCTTGCTCGAGGTTGGCAAGGGCCTGCAACACCCATGGAGGCGGAGAGGACAAAGATATGGGTGTAAAGATGGATTCCCGTGGGGTGAGGGAGGGGGGTGGTGGTGCAGAGGTCTCTTCTTCTTTCTGTTTGGGAGTGCTGTGTGACAGGAGAGCTGAGAATCCTGGCAGGGGTCTTCTTTCCGAATGGGACCTTAGCAACATTGTAGAAAGTTGCCTGGAACAATCCTTTTCAGTATTTTTGTTTTTCTCTGTGAAGAGAAGGGGAAAAACAGGGATAGGTTAGACAAGTATGTTTACAATACGTACTGTTAGATCATCAGAGTTAGATCAGTGGCATACTTTTGATTAATAAAACCTACGCATCATTCTATTATCAAAGGTTTCAGTATATGTAAAATAATTCTTTAATCCCTTGGGAAATGCCTTTGTGCTTCCTGTCGATCCAAGGATATCATATGTGTACATTTGTCTCATCTTTATAGAACTGGGGCACCGGCCTTTTTCTTGACATGTTATCCACCTGACACAATATTCTGTTTCTCACAGACTCAAAAGTGGTCTCATATAACCACTGTCCTGCTTTCGCCTGCGGTTTGTACAAACAGAAGTGCAGCCAAAATGCCAATCATTAGCTCATCTGCCTTAAAATTACAAGAGTAGCTAATATATCCACTATAACTCTTTTACCTACAAATTTCTGTTGTTAACTGAACTAAAATTAACTGAAATGGTGCTACTTGATGGGGCCAAAATGTACCAAATTAGCCCTTGTTTTTATTACTACCATTTATATTCTTACTCTTTGTTATTATAATATAATGTGATGTGTGAGCTACTGTGTCCAAATAATTTCCCTTGTGGATCAATAAAGTTTTTCAATAATCAAATGTAAATCTAAATAAGGACATTTTATTTTATGCAGACAGATAGAGACTATGCTGAAACTGCCATTTGCATTAAAGCTGTTATATCTGTAGCAAATATAAAGCCATACATTCTTCTTAAAGGTAGTCTTTAATCTTCACCTACACTCAGTCCGTCCTATCGCTTGTCATTGAATCTCAACAGTCTTCTGGTTACTTCCGTGTGCAGTACAGACCCCTATTGTCGGAAATGGCATTACCTATCAGCTCGAGGCACTGAAACTGAGCCCCGTCTTTCATCATAGATATTAGGTATGTGACATGCAGCCTGATCAGGAGGCTACTTGAGTATTTCAGAGTGACCATATAATTTGCATTGGATTCTGATTCTGAGGGGCAATTGTGGGTGCGTTTGTTAACAGAGTAGATCTAGTCTGAGCCAGTTACCCTCGGAGCAAAACAACAAGGCTTTTGCATGGATGAAAGGATTGGTGTCAGTTTACGGCTGCATGTTCACAATACAGTCCCCCTGGAAACATATGACCTCAGATCATCAGTGGATAAAATCTGTTCCCATGTTTTTAAACGATGTCAGAGATCTTGGTTTCAGACAGGTTTTAAGTGTGAGTCTCTAGGGAATATCTGGAAAGTTGGAAAAATTACTGAAGGAAGTTGCAAAATGAATAGTACAACATTTTGATTGCTTACAAAACAGTTGATTGATAAATTAAATCAAATTAATTAAATGTTTGTTTATGTTAATGTATAGGGGAGAAATTCTAGAGAGTGTCAGTAGCAAATCCCTGTTACTCTCCTGGACTGTGGACACTGTAGCCTCTCAAATTTCTCCACTTTAATGTTGAATGAGTAGCACTAGTTGCTAAGTTACCAGACTAAGCTCCCGTTTGCTCAAGTGCAGAGACTATGGAATAAATAATACCATTCATAATTGACAAGAGTTTGCAGAAGGTCCACATGCATTCCAACGCATCAAGACCAAAGTATGCTATGAATATTCACTGTGGCATTTTCAATTTAAAAAACCTAAATATGCAATGAATTTTAAAATGTAATAAAAATTCAAACATTGAATTTTTCACATAGTTCTTAGCACAGTAATCTCAAAATCTAACTTTTTTTTTTGTTATAGCTGAGATAGCTTGCTAGATAGATAGATAGATAGATAGATAGATAGATAGGTGTTGATTTGTCTTAAATGCATCTATAAACATAACTTTATCTGTTACCAAACA